ATTCTAAATTAGTTATACAAGCTTTAACATTAATTTTATAAATTTTATTTCAGGTACTGTTTTTCTAATAATATTCACTTGCTACTATTATTATGGGACAGAGGGAGTACTATCAAAAAAGAAAAAGAATAGTTACATCAAAATGAATCCTGTTAAAATTGTAATTATAATTACTGATTTTTTTATAAATTGTTATTTTACTTTTCTCAGAGTCAATGATTTTAACATTTAAATTTCCAACCCAATCATGTAACAAGTTGCATCCGCAGTCGCATAATCGATGCAGGAACGCATATTCGAGGCACGCACACAGTGCTCGACACAGGTATACCAGTATACTGGTGTAAATTCGTTTCACACTGAAATACCGTGTTGCATTGCAAAGAAGAAACGATCGTGTTCAGAAAGTATAGACACATGCAGGTAATTCGTATTTCCAGAGTAATCTGCTAGCGAGGCAATTCTCTGGGCAAACTTGGAAGTGCTCTGAGACTACGCACACAGAAGAAACGATGAAAGTGAGAGACATTGTTGATCGGTACCTTCTAAAAATCATTTCTCGTGCGAAGGGCCGACGGGTCCCTGCTCGAGCTGATCTCGATGGCTTCTCTCATTCTGGTTCACGGATCACCCTCTCCCCACTCTCCTGAAACACAAGAAAAATTATTTCTTTAATTACTACGTTCCTATAATTTTAAATACAAACTTAGGTAACACTCAGACTCAAAAGATTCTTATTAACAAAAACTTTGAGATTTTGAAAACTTATATATATATAAATAAAATTTAATAAGGTAATTACAAAATAATTAAGATTGGCTTGTATTTTACTGGTCAGTATTTAAATATGAAGCTATTTATGAATCTAACCTAACCTAACCTAACCTAACCGTTTAGTATTTTTATACTGACCATTTTGGTAATAAAATACTGACCGGAAATTGATTTATATACAGACCGAAAATGGATTCAAATACAATTAATTTGTTGCTATTAAGATTCCATCATAAATACTTTCATTCAATTAGAATAGCAATCAGGGCCGGCCCTGGGCCTAGGCAGGCTAGGCGGCTGCCTAGGGCCCCCACAAACGAGACGAAGCTCGTCTCGGACCCCCGAAATCTCAGGGCCGACCCTGATGGCAAGAGAGTTTTATAAAAATTCAAGATAGCAATATTTTTTTCAAGAAACTTATTTCTAGGGCTATCAGACATTTAGGTTCCCGCAAGATAGGTCACATCGATGAATTTTAAAGCTTCCCGGTGAAAATTCGAATACTCGCGTAAGCGTTTGGGTTCGACGGGCAAACGGGCAATAAAGCTTCCCAGCCATCTCCATGGGGAAACGTCAGCGTTTAAGCAAAGGAGTTTTCAATATTAGATAAACTCGATCCTACCATTTGTCTCGCTCTCTTTTCCAATAAACAGCATGTTACATGATAGAATCTCTTGGAACCAGGGCCGGCCCTGGACCTATGCAGACTAGGCGGGCGCCTAGGCCCCCCCCAAGGTCCAGGGCCCCCATAAGACCAGTAAGTATTATTGATATATGTACACCATTTTAGATTTTGCGTCTACGAATGCAAGAAGAGTAATGTTTACTTTAATGTTAATTTTATAAATTTCATTTGAGCTACTTTTATTTATGTCCCCGAAATCTCAGGGCCGGCCCTGCTTGAAACAAGTAACTCTCAAGTATTCTGAACGTTATATAGAATATTTAAAAAAACATCTAACCAGATAAATTTGGTATTTCTTAACATATTATCATAATGCAAAAATTCTAACGTTGAAATGGTTTGAAATGAAAAAATTAACAATAAAATCTCTCAAAGCATCGTTGTATCTCACAAACGAGATTATTCGACTAGGTGACTTTCCATAAGCATGCAAAACGCAAAAGAAGAAATCACCTGTGTCCGTGTCACAATAAAAGCCGACAGGTTTTCCACACTCACGGCATAATTGACAGAAAAAAAAAGAGGAAAAAAGAAGAAATGATAAAAAGTTGTCCACGAGGAGGCACAGGCGCGCGAGCACGCGAGATTGACTGCACAAGCTCACGCCAAGCGTAACTTAACAACAACGTCGTACACGCCACTTAACGCTCAACATCGCGCGACGATTTTTCCTTCTTCTCTCGCTATAGAGCGGATGAGACGCGACTACTTTCACGGGGGTCACGCGGTCTCAAACTGCGCGAGGACGTGTATGGCGTCGTTCAAATAAAAGGGGGGAATAGACTACTGCGCAAAATCTTTGTCGTAAAGGGCGGTTCGATCGTCGTTTCGGTCCATGTGACATCTATCACTTTCTTTTTTAGATCATCAAAGAATTAATCAGCTAGTTTCTTAGTCCGAAGATTATCCTCTTGCAAGAATCTCATTTGTCTTGGTCAAAACGAAGAGAAAATTAGTATAATGAAACTTTCTGATAATTTAGGTTCAAAAAAAAATATACTGATCGAATTGAGTAACCTCCTTTTTCCAAGTCGGTTAAAAATAATTGTTGTTACTTACTTGAATCATATAAGTGAAAATTAATAATACAATTTAGGTTAAAAAAAATATATACTGATCCTTCTTCGAAGTTGGTTAAAAATAATTGTTGCTACTTACTTTAATCATATAAGTGAAAATTAAAAATGCAATTTAGGTTAAAAAAAAAATATACTGATCCTCCTTCGAAGTCGATTCAAAATAATTGTTGCTACTTGAATCATATAAATGAAAATTAATAATGCAATTTAGGTTAAAAACAAATATACTGATCGAATTGAGTAACCTCCTTCTTCGAAGTTGATTAACAATAACTGTTGCTACTTACTTGAATCATATAAGTGAAAATTAAAAATGCAATTTAGGTTAAAAAAAAAATATACTGTTCGAATTGAGTAACCTCCTCCTTCGAAGTCGATTAAAAATAATTGTTGCTACTTGAATCATATAAGTAAAAATTAATAATGCACTGTTACCCAATATTGGGCAATTAATTTACCAATGAAGAATCTCAATCAATATCAATAATTTCCTACAAAATGTAATCCTCAAAATTTCCATAAATCAGTAAAAAATAATTCTACAGACAGAAGCTGAAATCTGAAAGGGAGATAAGAATCTTTTCTTGAAACAGTTTACCAGAGTCATAGATACTTGATACAATAGGGTGAAAAGAATCAACGAGATTTGCCACGTCGGCATTCAACTGGTTCCTGAAACATCATTGTCCAATTCCGCTTTCCGTTTCACGTTCTATCGATCACGAAGACACAAGGAGAGACGATGAAGAAATATAAAACAACCTTCATAGAGGAAAGCAGAAAGAAACGACTGCCTTCAAGCTGAATGACGACAATCTACGTACATCTTGATTCTGATCTAAGGAAGTCAAGAACTTACGCGGCTACTTTATTTATCTTTTTTTCTAGAGAAATAAAGCGGAGAGGGGGGGGGGGGGGGGGGGGGGGGGGGGGGGGGGGGGGGGGGGGGGGGACACCGGTTGCTTTAACGATATCATTATCTTCAAAGAAAGTTACAGAAGGTGGAAAGTAAAGCTATTTATACGCCTCTCTGCTTTTCGCCCTAGGGGTGTCGTTATTCTAATTATGGATTTCTCTCGTGTAAAGCGAGTTACGAGTAATTTTATCGAAGAAAAAGAAAGAAATAATCGATCCGAAGAAAGATACAACTGAAAAATTGAAAAGAAACCGGGACAATGAACTTTACGGTTCCGTGTAAATCATGCAGGGAGGATAAAAGTAAACCCTGACAGTTAAAAAATAAATATCAAAAAGTAGTCTCCAAGGTGGCGATAAACTTAGGAGAAGCAGGGCGCAATTTCGGATTGCACGACAGCGTAACCGGGCTTCGATCGATAAGGGATAGGTTTAAGGGCGAACGTCTGGATTAAACACGGCGATCGTAAACCTCTCTTCTCCTGATACCGTAGTACGTTTCCCTAACGTTTGCCGGGCGACACCTGTCAGTGGACGTGGACTCGTGACAGGAACACAGCGTGCACGGGTCTAAAACATGGAATAAAACAAAAGGCAGAAAGAGGAGAAAATAAAAGAACTGGTTTTAAATGCATTTGAATAAGTATATAACAGAGAGGGAAGAAAATAATGAAACTGGGTATATGAATCGAGTGAAAGAAACATTGTGAACAGGGTGAAAAGGGAGAAAGTAGAATAAAAAAAGAAAAAGAAGACGAGGCACGATTTCGTGGTGGCGTGCCAGAGCCGATGGTCCCGGACCGGCCGATCGATATACCCTTTTTCGAGAGTGCCTTCAACCGACCCTCCCTCGGCATGCTGCCACATACCGCCTTCGTTCCTCTCTTCTCACGAGGAATACGCGGCGGTTACACGCGCCGCGTGAATGCTTAGCCGAACGAACGGATCCAAGGGTATGCTGCCCCATTAGACGTACCTTTCACCGGCGAACGTACGGAGTCGTCCCAGTAGTCCCGGTGTAATCCGTTCCTCGCGGTTGCCGAGGGTGTCTCGTAGGATTTTTCAGCGGCCAAGAAGGAAGCGGCCACGGAGTCTTCCGGTTGCAGCTTTCTCACCTCACCGTATAACGCCACGCGGGAATCAATACGCGCGCCTGCCTCAAGCTTCTCCCTCTCAGTCCCTCACGCTCACTACTACACCGCCCTGTCTCTGTCTCTCCCGCGGTACCGCACTCCCACGGCCACTCTATACGTCCCTATACGTCGTAGTTCCAGTCTCTCCAGAGGCTGTGACGCCTCGTGCACTTGGCCGAACGCGAGACACCAGAGCAGCCCTGGTATCGCTACATAGGGTAGCCACGGTAAACGATACCTCAACGACTGGACCGAGCCAGCCACGACGTGACACGCGTCCCGAGGTACAACGTAACACGGAAACCGAGCATTCGCGTGACCACGGTGTGCAACGCACCGCGCCGCATAACCACGACTACCCGGAGCAGCCGGGCGGACATGTTGGTAGAGGGTAGTGCGCACACGCGCCCCCGCGGCTCTTCTTTTCGCGTACTCGCCACGGCCCACGGGCTCCTCCAGACGACGCTGAATCAATTTTTCTACCGGACTAAAGTCGATTTTTCCACTTCCTTTTCCTGTCTCTATGATTTCGATGATTTCTTCGAACCGGGTACCGTTGCTGACACACCTGTCGATCATTAGGTTTCGTTGGAAGTGAAGATACTTTTCCAGGGGAAGATTTATATATAGGCTATTGTTACCTTTCAAAGCTCAATGAGTTTATTGATTCTAACCCTGTTTCAACTGGTTGAATATTTTTTTTGGATCTCCTTTTTTAATTAATGCAACAGGTTATTTCAATCCATGAATGGATTTTTTATCGCATCTCCTGGAATTAATATTGTCATATTTTATAGGAGATTCTTTAGCGTGGAACATGTTGCATCTTTCAGAAGTATTAATTAAATTATTAGTGTCACAATTTTAAGGTTTTTACATTGAAGAATTTAATAATTTGTTATAATTACTGCCTTTTAAGTAATTCATTTTGATTCTTCTATCTTCTAAATAATTAATGTTTCTACTAATTTTCAGGAGAATTTCCAGGCAACTTTCACTTTTTTCAACTGTGTATCATAACTTTAGAAGCATCATAAAAAAAATAACAAAAACTCTGTTTAATCATTTTTATGTGAAATCTTGAAATTTATGCGAGTGGCTCTAATAATATTAATTGAATTAAATCGGACTCCATTTGATTTAATTAATAATTTGATCATCAACTGTGAATATAAACTGCAAAATCATTTATTCGCCATGAGATTCCGTTGCCCGAAGAAATATACACCTCTGCATAGTTTCTTTCCGTGGAAGAAAAAAGGTGCCGGTAACTCTTGGTGAAAACTAAAATATAGATTCGCCATGGAAAATTGATTCTGTGCCAGTGTGCGACGAGTCCTGGCTCCTTCTGCTCGTTCTCAGGCTGTCGAACCCTCGCACGCAGACGTCGAAATTTTTCTCCTCCGCTTACCTCTCCTCGTCGCGTCGACGACAGTGACAGAGGAGCGTATGCACCGAGCTACCTCGGTTTCAACAGCTCCAACGAGTTGTATTAAATTTCTTGCCTGACGGTAAATAGCCTTCCGTAGGAAACAATGCTTATCGAACATGGGGCTTCCATTTTTTTTAAATCCTTTCTCCTTGCACTCCAGAAGACACCAGGGACCAGTAAAATTTCTTCAAAATTTCAATTTTCAAATCTTCCACCTGAAAGAAATCAGCTATTTTAATATACCACTTTTGAAATAGAAAGAATATTGGCTAGGTACTTTTGTTCCAAAGAAACAAAAATGTTTCCCTTCGTTTAAAGTACCTCCCTCGTACGGCAATTTACATGTTCGGGATTGTTGGAGTTCGAATTCCAGTGACCCAGGTTCGAGCCGGTGGATCCTGTTTCGCGTACAGATTTTCCAGCGTTGAAACTGATACACTCTAGCTGAAAGACAAGTAACTTTCATCGATCTTGTTCGGCGATCCCATCATCCCCCCCTCCCCCTCGACTGCAGGGAATCCTCTCTCGTTTTTGCGTTTAATTGCTCGTCACGAGGCTCGAGCCCGAATAAATTTCGAAGCTTTTCATGGGAAATTTTATCGAACGTCTGGAAAAAGAAAATTGTAATTAACGACATTTTCAATTAGAAAATATTGTAATATTTTACATACAATTAATTCAATCATTGTAATAATATTTCCTTCTGTAGAAAAATTTTCAAGGAGATCCCTAAATGCAAAGTTATTCCTGTCCAAGTATCGTTATCCAATTTCCTCGAGTTTTCAAGATTCAATCAGTAGCAGCGTTTGAGACGGAATTACTGCATCGATAAATTGTGTAGGAGGATTCTTCCTGACTGGTTCGTTCCGTTGGGACAATTTCTCAACGGTCAGGGTCGGCTATTATGGTTTTCTCCCCGAAAGCACGTGCAGTAATCACCGTATTTTACGAGGTGCTGTTGAAGCACCGAGTATTAGGTCGATACAGCAGACCTGGCCGCGACGGCCGCTTCTGAGACACGCTGATTGCGGGCTGCGTCGCTAATTTTTTTTTCTCTCTCTCTCTCTCCCCCGGGTGAAAGATCGCAATCAGCTGGCAATTGTCGTACAACCGTTGCACCGGAGACTGCATTGCACCCTGGATTGTATGTTAAAGAGGAACTCCAGGGAAGTACCGTCTGCCACGAGTAGAGCCTGCCCTGCCACGCATTTTCCCTCAAAACTTTCTGAAACAGAAAATATGAAACTATTGGCTAACTTGCAGAGATTATAATATGTAATTTTTATGAACTTAACCCTTTAACTGGAGGTGTGGTTTGTAAATCACATGTTAATTTTTGCTGATATCAAATAGGGCCTGTGGATTCTATAGCACTAAAATAAAAATAAAATAAATACAATAAAAAAAATCTTTTAAAATAGAATATCAAATAGGGGCTGTGACTTCTATAGCACTAAAATAAAAATAAAATAAATACAATACAAAATGTCTTATAAAATAGAATATCAAATAGGGGCTGTGGCTTTTATAGCACTAAAATAAAAATAGAATATATACAATAAAAAAAATCTTTGAAAATAGAATATCACTTCAGTAATATCATTTATAATTAGAATGTAATCGGCTGTGCTAAAAGTATCCACAGTTAAAGGGTTAAAATGATCCTTTGCAGAAATGTATAGAAGTCTGATCAAAATAAAGATTCAGGGAAGAATCCAATTTCTCGCGAGTTCTCGTTCGATCAACGTCGACGATTCGTTTCTTTTTTTCAATTAATTCTTAAGCACGCCAGAAGAGAGTAATTCTCGTAACGGTTGGCATCTTATCAAGTAAATTCATCCGAGTGATTGCGGGAGGAACCCGAGGAAATCCAAAAGTTAAGTCACTCTCCCCGTTGTCATTCCCATCGAGCCTAAACGTCCTACTTCCGGTTCGGCTATTCTGGCCTGGATCGATTGGAGAGACCGCCTCGTGTCAAAAACACTCGGCAGAAAGACGTCGCTCGTCGATTCCGACGACTAGCGGGCAGATTTGCTCATAAATTTTAGGATGGTCTCTAGCTGGCATTCGAACTTCGACGATTCTCTCGCATCAAACTGTTCCTTTGCTTGTAAACAAGTTCGGTTACCTCCAAATAGATTTCTTCATTATCCAACAGTGAAAGTGAACCGATTCGTCAAGCATGAATCACTGAGAACCAGCACCTAAAAATATAAAACTAAATCAGTCTTGTGTTTCATTATACCATGTATGATATATTTAAATTTAATATATGGTTTTCAAGGAGATCCCTAAATTTATTTAAATTTAATATATCATACCTTCTATGATATATTAATATGATATTTTTAACTTTATAAATTTACATGAAATAATTTAATCATTTTTTCATAATGACTGGATACTGATTTAGGGATTCTGATATATTTAAATTTAATATATCATACCTTCTGTTATCTATTTAACTTTATGAACTTACATGAAATAATTTAATCATTTTTTCATGATGACTGGATACTGATTTAAGGATGCAGTGAGTGCTTCAAGTAGTACAACCTGTAAATACCGCGACCTAGGGGAACAGATCACTCATTAACAGTACTTCTGACTTTTGCATGATCATGCTAAATTAGACTGTGAATACAACCTCAAATCAAGAGCCAGAATGAAATTATTTAAGTTTATAATGACCCATGAAATTTAAAAAAAAATCTCATAAGCATACATGAATTGGAATTTTATAATTGCTACATATATAGAAAAACTTAAATAATTTTTTTTTTAAACATATGTTGATTTTCAATAGAATTATGAAATGTATATAAATACTAATTCCTTCCCCCCCACTCCTTAGTTCCAAAAATTCATATATGCTATACCTATTTTGACGGATGCGAGTCCGGCAATCTAGCTATTAAGCTTTACAATTTCAATATTTCAATGATTAATGATTAACAGGGAGAGTGAACTCGGTTAATGCTCGGATTTGGGTTAATCTGTATGGTTAACGCAACAGAGAATCGCAAGGACTTAATAATTCCCGATGGTACGCCGGCCCTGCCACTCGACCTGGAGTACGATGCTGTGATTGGACGGCATTTGAATGAATGCCATCCGGCATTCACACCTTTTTTCCAGCCCCTTCCTTTCAGCCCCGACCCCGTCCACTGTGAAATCCCCGATGTACTCGACGGTTACGGTAGTTGACACGCGAGCAGCGTGAGCGTGTGCTCGCGTGTACGCCTCAACGTCACGCACACGAGCGGGCAGGGCCGTATCAACACCTTTCAGCGCCTTCGCTTTAAACGCATTAACAATACAAAATCTGTTTACTGATTCATATAGATAATTATTTCTTAATGATTACCTCTCTATGACTTTCAACTATTATTATTATTATTATTATTATTTATCTAACATAATACCGATTTAATCATTTTAACAGATAATCCTCTGTACTTTGAATACAGTATTCTTAGATCAACCGTTTCTAGGATTAACTTTTAATGTAAATGGAAAAGAGTTACTTGAAGGAAGGGAATCCTTTGCTTGAAGATACGCAGATCTCAACAGAGAGAGGTTTTATCGGATAAATTTCAACGGATTCAAAGGTTCCTCTTTAATCCCGGCTATTCCTCGATAGTCCAAGAATAATATCGATTATTTATTACGATACAGAGGTTTCACCCTCCAAAGGTATTTCCACGAAAGCCTACCCCCCCCCCCCCCCCCCCCCCCCCCCCCCTCCTTACGTCGCGCTCGCTCACTCTCTCTTTACCCGGGACAGATTTGCATCGTCGAAAATTAATCGTTGTTGGCCTGGAAAAGTGTGTCAAACGTCTGAACCGATCGATTATTACGCTCGTGTCGTACGTCCTGCCGATTGGTTCGTATTATCGTCGCTCTGGCGATTCGAACCCCTACCAGTGACAATCAGGAGACAACGTTACAACGTTCAAAATTGGAAGTTATTAAAACGTGTCGAAAGCCTCTATCTTTACAAGCCTTAAACTTTTGAATTATTAAAAAATTTATAAAAATCATAGCTGTGACTGCACTCTAAGGCTTATGAAATTTCAAATTGCGCGTACAAAGCTCGTGGAAAGTTTAAAGTCCCTAAAATTCATCGAGTCTGTGCAACTTTTTACGTAACTTTCAACTTTGTACACAATTAAATTGTTGGGAAATTCGCGGCATTAAGGACAGAACGTTCGCCGGTAACTTTGCAACAATTTACAATGCAAGTGAAAACGTTCAGATCGCTGGGAAGGTCGTGGGATTAAGAGTTGAATGATCGTTGGTAACCCCTTCGTAAAGGGGGCCTAAGTTGATACATCACTGGTACGCATACGTCGATCCAGGCGAGCGTGCAGCTTACATACGAATAACGACGGCGTCGTCGACGACGACGACGCCGTCGACGAGGACGAGGACGACCGAGGACGCATTACACCCCCACCATCACGTACTACGAAATACTACGTTCTGTGATGCGGTGCAATTAAGCCGGCAACCCCTCACCCTCCACGTCCTAGGTCGTCCTCGCCCCCCTCCAGTAGACTTCGGACCAGCAGGGGCGCAAGTCCGTCTCTTCTTTTACAGCCCCTACCCGCTACTGCCGTTTATCCATTCGTTCATTCATCAGAACACACTTCTTTAACCGGCTCTCGTCGCTTGAACAACGTATAACCGTTGAGAGAGGAATGCAGTTGCTTTGTATGAAACTTCTTGCACAGTCTTGACTCCATAATTTTTCTTCGAATGGACTGGAAGTTAAGTGAAACAGAGGCTGGTTTGAATAATTGCCTTAAATTAAATTTGTGTATATAAGTAGATTGATCAGATTCAATGGATGGTTACCTATTGGTCAATACGATTGCTTTATTAAAATAAATATTAATTACTGGTACAGGTACTCCATGTTCTTCTTATTGTCAGTTAAGGTTATCACGTGGATTAGAGATGAATACCTGCAAAAAATATAAAGTAACTAGATCTGATTTTTTTTTTACTGAATAAAATTGCAATTTACCATTTTTTCATTATCAAAAACGAATTATCATTAACCGAAAAGTTTCCGACTGCCCAAAATCTTCGATAGTTAAAATTTGAATCTTCGATTATCGAAGATCTTCGATTGCATTCGATAGTGACCGTTAACAATGAATATATATATATGTATAGCTTACACATGCATTAATAAATAATTTAATTACTTACATAAATGAATGATTTTAGATGTTTCCACACTTCAATTATGATAATGGTTTTATAGAGACGAAATTAGCCGTTTCACAAAATATGACGCAATATGGGGGGAGAACACCATCGAACATTCCTAACCTAATAAAGCCTTAAAGTACCTATCAATTTCTAACAACGCATGTTAAATATTCCTTTGAAATCTATCAATCCATTAGATAACAGTAATAAATAATATGAATGTTAAACTACAAGTAATTGTGATTTATGTTATGAAGTACTTCACCTTTGAAGAAGCCAATGTCGAGGCACAGTTCTTTATTCTTTATAACAATTTAAATTTTGATGTCTACATTTCACACGATCTTTCAACAAAATTTTACCGTTCTGCCATAATTTCGAAGATTCCTGAAGATTCCTTTTCTTCAGCTTCGTCTCTAAGCTTTCACACGTGACCGCGACGGTTTTAAACGGTTTCAAACGGTTTCAAAAACCGCGCCATGATTCCTTGCAAACTTCTGATCCTTCAGGTGGCGCCATCTTTCGAACGATCCCGTGAATAATGATTTGACGGCTTCACCTTTATCCATGCACGTGTGTCTGCGTGTTGCACGGATCGTTCGATTTTTGGCGCACAATTAGGTAATTTCTGGAAGTTATTTTAAGATCGATCCTCGAAGAAAGTACAGAGAAAACGAAGGATTGAATGACATACAATATCGCTTAATTTTAACGTGAGTCAGTAGTTGAAAAGTGATCGCAATTTCTTTTGTCTCAGCTGGAGGTGTTCCGTTTTCATTATTTCGATTATCTACCTTTCTCCTCTATCTTTCAGTTTTTTATTTTTATTTTGCGAGCACCGCTCGTATTCCTGTCATTATCACACTATTGCTTATCAATGGAAAATTTTTAATAACCGTAACGAAAATCTGTCTACCTTGCTCTTTCTCTCTCTGTCTTCGTCTTTCTTTTTCCGTCGCCCTACTTTGTCTCCCTCTTTCTGTCCATCTATCTCAACCTGGTGGTTGGCTCGTGTAAAAAGCCATTTACGGCGACAGAGATTTATTGAATTTTCGAATTTGACGTTCCGTTGGATTTAGATTTCCTTTAGAACACACGTGCCATCGAACGCCTAACCTACAGCTTACGTAACCGCTGATTCCCGGCTGCTATATTTGAAGGTGAAGGAAAACGACGCTATACGTGTGCAATGAAATTTCAGACAAATAATGCCGTCCGACGCGAAAAAGAAACAACAGCAAAAGAAAAAGGAGGCGGCGAAGGCCAGACAGTCTGGAAAGAAACCGGCTCAAACACCTCAGACAAAAGGCGCAGAAAATGGTAAAGAGGGCAGTCCTGGTGTCGGAGTCATTCAAAATGGAACCAATGGAACACCGATCAGTGCAGAAGGTGAAACTACATATCGCTTTCAAAGTTGTAGAAATACAATATTGAAAAATTAATCTGACACGATGGTCTTTCTTCGTTGCAGAGGCTTTATGTTTAAAACTGGAAGCAGACGCCAGACTCAACGCAGAAGCACGTTCGTGTACTGGATCATTGGCTTCCCATCCGCGTAGTAGGGACATAAAGATATCTAATTTTTCTATCACTTTCCACGGCTGTGAATTGCTGCAGGACACTATGTTAGAATTAAATTGTGGTAGACGTTATGGTTTACTCGGGCTCAATGGTTCTGGAAAGTCTACTTTGTTGTCCGTACTTGGAAATCGAGAAGTTCCTATCCCTGATCAAATTGACATATTTCATTTGACCAGGGAAATGCCTGCTAGCAATAAAACAGCTTTAGAGTGCGTGATGGAGGTCGACGAGGAACGTATTCGGTTAGAGAAACTTGCTGAGGAACTGGTGGAGTGCGAAGAGGAGGATGCTCAAGTGTGTTTTTGTTTATACAGTTTTGTATATTCTACCGCAGTAATTGATTTACATAAAAATGTTTGTTCAAACAGGAACAACTTATGGATGTTTACGAAAGGTTAGAAGATATGACTGCTGACACTGCTGAAGCTCGTGCTGCTCATATTTTACACGGTCTGGGCTTCACTGCAAAAATGCAAAGAACTCCTACTAAAGACTTTTCTGGAGGCTGGCGAATGAGGATCGCTCTTGCTAGGTACGTAAGACCAGGAATCATCAATAAAATATTATAACAATTTTGGAGTAACGATGGTGCTTCTTTACAGGGCTTTGTATGTAAAACCTCACCTATTGTTACTTGACGAGCCTACCAATCATTTGGACCTTGATGCTTGCGTATGGTTGGAGGAAGAGTTGAAAACATACAAAAGAATTTTGGTCATCATTTCTCATTCACAGGATTTTCTTAATGGCATTTGTACAAATATCATTCATGTGAATAAGAAACAGTTAAAATATTATAGCGGTAATTATGAAGCTTTTGTCAAGACAAGGTGAGTTAAAAATGATCAAATTAAATTGCAGAATTAACAGAATTAACATGAACGTTTATATGCTAGGATGGAATTACTGGAAAATCAAGCGAAACAATATAATTGGGAACAGGATCAAATCGCTCACATGAAAACTTACATTGCACGGTTCGGTCACGGTTCGGCGAAATTAGCCAGGCAAGCACAATCTAAGGAAAAGACTTTGGCAAAAATGGTAGCGCAAGGGCTTACAGAAAAGGTTGTCAACGACAAAGTACTGAACTTCTACTTTCCTTCTTGTGGAACTATTCCACCTCCTGTTATAATGGTTCAAAACGTTAGTTTTCGTTACAACGAAGATTCGCCTTGGATTTATAAAAACTTAGAATTCGGTATAGATTTAGACACCAGAATTGCATTGGTTGGTCCTAATGGTGCAGGGAAGAGTACTCTTTTAAAATTGCTATATGGAGATGTAAGTTTAACATGGTCTTTCAATTAATGCAAATAATAAAAGTATGTTAAATTACATCTGAATACATGATTACAGTTGGTTCCAACGAGCGGCATGATACGTAAGAACAGCCATTTACGAATTGGGAGATACCATCAGCATTTACATGAACTATTAGATTTAGATATGTCGCCTTTGGATTACATGATGAAGGCTTTTCCAGATGTTAAAGAACGCGAAGAGATGAGAAAGATCATTGGTCGTTATGGGTTAACCGGTCGTCAACAAGTATGGTCGCTTAAATAAGGATTGTTAACCCTTTCGCTGCTAGGCGAATTTTTAAACTAGCACCAGTGGCCCAGAAATTGCATATTAAAAATTTTGTCATGGCAAAGAACTGCGAAATGTATTAAAATAACAGTACAATCTTGCCAATGGCACATTTTTCTTAGTAGTGGTCAACGGTGCTATGGAATCCCATGGGACCACACTTTTGCTGCCAGGCGAATTTTTGAACTTGCACCAGTGGCCCAGAAATTGCATATTAAAAATTTTAAAATGGCAAATAACTGCGAAATGTATTAAAATAACGGTACAATCTTGCCAATAGCACATTTTTCTTAGTGGTGGTCACCGGTGTCCCATGGGACCATCGTGGCAGCGAAAGGGTTAATCTAGTTTTAGAGATTTCTAATACGCTAATTGTTGTTTCTTTAATATCAGGTATGTCCAATACGCCAGTTGTCCGATGGTCAACGTTGCAGAGTAGTATTTGCATGGCTTGCCTGGCAAGTACCACATTTGCTCCTTCTCGACGAACCTACGAATCATTTAGACATGGAAACAATCGATGCTTTAGCTGACGCAATTAATGATTTCGATGGTGGAATGGTACTCGTATCTCACGATTTCAGATTAATTAATCAGGTATGCAGTGATAAAAAAAAAAAAATGAAAAAATTCTGTTCATGCGTGTTAATTCTTTCTTTCTGCATAGGTTGCAGAGGAAATTTGGGTATGTGAAAACGGTGCCGTCACAAAATGGAGCGGAAATATTTTAGATTACAAAGAACATCTTAAAAACAAAGTTCTGAACGACAACCAAAAAAGGCAAAAGGATTTACATAGAAGCAAATAATGTAAACAGTAATCCGCTGTGCTCCGTTTCATTTTCCTCTATATTATGGCAACTTTATCTCTTCCCCCCTTTTTTGGACATTTATTCGCAACTGGGCACTGAATTCACGCTGCTGTGTAGCGTTGTCAGTGATCGAGAGTTTTTTAGTTAATTTATTTAAATGATACAGCAAGTTTTTCTGTGACAACTTACAGGATTTACTCATGGTGTATTTGCCATGTTAGGTATTCAACGTCAATAATGTACTGGAAGAAATATTAATTGGATGCATACACACACATATATACACACAGAAATACACACGTACGCATAGATTATTACGGAATATTAAAAAAATAAAACACGTTTAAATATTATACAAGACACGAAAAAATACTCAATTTTTCTCTTAAAATTCAACTTTATTATAAATTCCTATTTATCTATAAATTAATTTGATTCTCGTAGATATAAAAAATATATGTGTATAAACAGTTATAAATACTTAATATAGTTGACAAATGACATGGTTCTCGAAATATAATTTTCATCTCAGGTATATATAAAAATACTCTGATATTTAGTATTAAAGGAAGACTAAAAGATCGCGTATATCCATATCACAAAATATCTCTGGTGTTCTTTATCGTGAAAATATTTGAATATATATATACATATATATATATATATCCTACAATATTTTTTAATACGTCACGAAAATAATGTATGCATTTTTGTAACAATTATGATTGCATAACATGTAAAACACTAAATATTGTCAGTAGAAAACGAAGTTGCACTGTTGGGTTTTGGACCTTCACGTAATAAAAAAAGAAAAGATACATAATACTATGTATACCTTTAATCTCGTACAGAGTTTTGAAGAAACCTAATGTAAAGACCCAAAACCACGAAAAGGAGATTCAGCTACTTAAACAGGTGTCGAAGCTGGTACAGAGCAAGCAATCTCCTGTGCTAACGCAGCATTCCTCAGAATAGATAAATGGGAATCCATATCGCTCAAAGCCTGATCGATGAATGCTAATTTCCTGGCATGACTTTTTGATACTCCGTGTTTAGTAACTAACGCCAAATGTGTAACAGCTAATACTAACGCTGCTACTCTGGCTTCCAGAAGTCTGGCATCTAACGGTGGATATAAGCTTCTAACCACATCGTCTACACGTGGTGGAATACGTCTAGCAACCTGAAATATGTAAGTCCGATAGCATTGCATAGAAGTCACACGTAAAAGTATTCGCTTACATCAACTATTTCCAACGGAACAGTATTACTGTTCACTGTTCCTGCGATAGCAGTCAGGCTTGAAGCCAATGCGTGGCAAGATCTTAATACAGCGATACATAACGGAGCTAAGCCAGTTGCATCATCGACCCATCTGCAGAATTGGTAAAATTAAGAAACTTTCAATCGTTGATTAAAACTTTTTCACAAGATATTATCAAACGTATTATACCTTTCAGCACCAGCCAGCCACTCGTCACTTTCCCACGCATCCAAGCCTAAACCAGAAAATTTCTCTCCTTCTAACAAATCTGAGCTCAAGTCTGGAGAATCTTTTTGATTCTAAATCAAGATCATAGAAACATTATTAACACTTGACACTGATACGCAGAAGAAGAATACTGAACTTACATAATAACATCGCTGCCTTTTACAAATTACAAGCAATACTAAAAATGCTCCAAGGAAAACAGCAGCAAGTGCACCAAGTGCTACAGCTACTACTGTTTCCATACCAATAGCACCAGCTGTGGTACCAGTATTGCTTATGGATACCGGTGAACTCATCATTTGAATGAGTTTGACAATTGAATAATTTTATTTAAATCAATCGTAGTATCCTCGTAAACAAATCATGAATGCTATTCAAAGTATTTCTTCTGTCTAATGTGTCAACAACAGTGTCGAGTTTCCCGGTGATAGTCGGTGGGAGGCGGAGACTGTCACGAATCTTAAGCTTCATTCATCAACCTATAATTCCTGTTTGCATCCTTTAGCTATACCATGATGTTATGTAATTCGAAGTTGATGCTAACAGGTGGTACGTTTTGTATTGTCCATTTATATTAAAGAAAAATTGTAATTGAAAAATTACTGAATGTATGTATCATACTTTATTATATGTTCATTTTAATCTAAATTTAATGTACATCAAATATTTATATGGTGTTAAATATGAATTAATATTTAATTTTGTAAATATTAACATCATGTAATTGTATTTTATTGCTTAGAATATTGAATGTAATGTATTTCTTTATTGCAATAAATTGCAATAAACTATTTCATAAGTTCTATTTAATATGATACTGAATCATTTCTAGGACCTGCATATATTGATTAATATGTGAAGAATGATGAAATTTAAGGACATCTATGAATTTTTATTTAAAAAATAGATAACCAGGAAGCTGAAAACATGGAAAAAAATGATTTGTTCATCAGTCAGGTGTCAATTAAATGCATACCATTGCATGAACTTGGCAGCACTGTAGAGAAACGAAATAATTCAGTGCATTTCATAGTCATATGTTTTCTGTCGTGAAAGAGTTGCTGTCAAATTTGGTGTTATTCGTGAATATTCTATGAATGAATAAATACGATTCATCATGAACAGTTGTCATTTTAGCGACAACTTATTATCTTCATAGTTCTGCATTTTTATTACTAACTTATCGAGAGGAACGTAACCTGTTTTTTTAAATCGCTAACAATTGATTCGTCAGCTTATTCAGGTTATTGTAAACCGTAAGAATTTTAACAAGGAATAGATAAAACACATTGCAAAAGTTAGTGAATCAAAACCTAAAATACCACGTGGTAAATGTCATTTTTTGCATGGTATTTCTGCACCACATTTAACCTGCAAGTATTACAGTAAAAACTGAGGATCAAAAGATTTCACTAAGGAAGTAGTGTGCTAAAGTATTACAAATACTTGCCAATTAGTTAAACATTCTGTAGTCAATATGAATAGAACAACAAATAGTGCGACGGCAAGACTTAAACAAGATTATTTGCGCCTTAAGAAAGACCCTGTGCCGTACGTTCTTGCAGAACCAGTACCATCAAATATACTAGAATGGTATATATCGTTAGTATGTTCGTTTATTATTAACAGTGTTTTGACACTAATTAAGAATTGATAGTATTGAACATTATTTATTTTGCAGGCATTACGTAGTAAAAGGTCCAGAGAAAACCCCTTACGAAGGAGGATTTTATCACGGCAAACTTATATTTCCTGGAGAATTTCCATTCCAACCTCCTAGCATTTACATGACTACTCCGAATGGCCGATTTAAAGTTAACACAAGACTATGTTTATCCATTTCTGATTTTCATCCTGACACATGGAACCCAGCATGGAGCGTATCTACTATTCTCACAGGACTACTTAGTTTCATGGTAATTGTTAACGATCAATTGAAGTTTGGTCAAAATTAATGGTTAACTTTGATTTCTTTTAATAATAGATAGAGAAAAGTCCCACCCTAGGAAGCATTAACACAACAGATTATGAAAAGAAACAGTTAGCTGCGCAAAGTTTGGAGTATAATTTAAAGGATAAGATGTTCTGCGAACTCTTTCCAGAAACTGTTGAGGTAACGATAGCTTTTTACATATGTATATTTTATTAGTACATCCACTGTAAAGTAACTATTGAAACATTCATATTTTATAGGTTATAAAAGCCGAATTAGAACACCGAAAAGAATTAGAAAAACAGGCGAGGCATCAATCGACAGCATCTGAAGTTTCGTCCTTGATACGTGACCAATTACAAAGAGAACAAAGTCCTTTGCATAGTGCACTTACTAATCTCATTGTCATTATAGGCTTTGCAGCATTTGCTTATACAGTTAAATATGTATTAAGGAGCATTGCTATGGAATAAGTTACAAGTGAATACATAGGATTTGTCTCCATTATTTAGGTAAAATAAGTAAAACGAAAGTTGTGATAACAATGCGTGCAGATCTTGAGGAAAGGAATGAGAAACTTGATCGAAAGATAGACTTCTAGAGTTCAATATACCTGGTCGTCTGTTTACTGAATTTACGTCGTATTACTGAATCTCTTGATTTCAAATATGCCAGTATACTATGGGTGTTCGATAGATTTTTATATCAAAGTTACTTGTAAAATACATGTTGTATTATACTTGAAAATTTTAGACATTATAATCGCGAGACAAGAGTAACTCGAGGGTTTAGCGTTAGAAACGAAAAAATATCAATAAGTTTTTATCCGTTTCCGAGAGTTTAATGCTGTTGATTAATTCGAATCGGTTTGATTAACACCATTGGCTTTGAATCGAGTTCTGTTACGCGAATTTCCAAAGCGTAGTTCGTCAGTGAACTATATTTAGTAATTATTTGGTAAATTATAAAAGGGAGAGAGGGAGAGAGTGAAAGAGGTAGTATAATAAAAGAAGAAAAAAAAATCGTAGGGGCTTCCCACCATTATGAATGAATTACTGGGCACCAAATAATCTCGTTACAACTTTCGTACTGGAATTTTGTCCTGATGACAACATCAATGAAACAAAAAGTAATTGCACAAATGAAACAGTCGACGTTTGCCTCTGCGATGTGCCAATAAAACTAAAAGTCGGAGTTTCTAATTGAATCGGACTAAGCTTAATAGAGCATAGCTTGTATCACAAAATAAAGTATGCCGATCTTGTAAATACGTGTAGTAGGCTAGTAAGATACATGTAAAATCAATGGACACGGATTTATCTTATAAAACAGAAAAAGAAAATGGAAAAAAAAAATGAAAATCATTGTCAGTATTCATCATTCAACTCATCTATGACCGCTGAAAAAACAATCTTAGGAAAATGTACTTAAAATCTTATTCTTCAGAATATAAAATGTGTACATAGTTTCAGTTGGTTTGAAAAATATTGAATATTTTGTTTCAGCTTCAAACTATAATTTTTAAATAATGATAGTCTAAGAAGGACATTTTTTTCCACTAGAACAGTTTAAAAGAAATTGCAGCTTGATTGTATCTACATTAACACGTTATATTATATTGTAATAATATATAACAATAATGCTGATGACAACGGAATCGAAATAGAATCAGTAAATTGACATTTATATCATGAAAAAAGAAAATGAAAAACGGAATCAGTTTTATTTATAAATTAAACAATGTAATAACTTTTATATACAAATGAAGAACGCTTATTTTTGTCTTCATTTTTTTGCGGTCACCCATTTATCTTTCAAATATTTATAAAAATATTCTTGAAATTTTTTTTACAGTGGTATACAGGGTAAGTCAATTAATGTTATAACGTTAAGTTACTAAAACGTGATGTTTGCAAGATCACATGCCTGTAAAAAGATATTAAATATTTTAATGTGAACAATGATGAAATACTTTTGATTTCTAAAAGAGTCATAATTGCGTAACAAAATCATAATTCGCGCGTACAATTGTCCGTTAAAATTGTTGCGCGCACATGCGCAGTAGCGCCATCTACAATAGCGATACGTTTGAAAGCGACCGTTACTTTCTACCAGATTTTTACAAATATTCTGCTATTTCTCCAAAGGTTAATCATTTTCTCTATTAAGTATTATATTTCTACTATCATTCTGACCATAAATTAGTTTGTTCTAATTAAAATTTAACACACATATTTGCAAGTAACTCTACCTTTATTCACCACTGGGTTTAACCGTTTTATACAAAAGATAAGACGACACATGTATCTTTGTAAGTATATCTTTTATTTGAACGTGTACGAATAAACTATTGTTATTTTATTATAATCATGTGAATATAATTCCATAATAATTGATAAAAAAAAAACATTGCGATTTATGATCCGTAGTCTTAGATCCGTGACCAAAGATGTCGTCGCTGTGAAGAAAAGACCTGAAACTTATTTTTTTAATTTCCAAATTGTAAGTAACTGGATAACAAATTTTTCTTACATGTCTCGTTTAGGACATATCAATGTTCATTTAATACGTAAAATTTATTACATATAAACATTTAAAATTAAAATGTTAATTTATAGATGTTGGAGTGTCGATAACAAAATTTTGTAGGAGTTTATCTTGCGATTGGTAGTCGAAGTAAGTACTTTTTTATTTATTTGATACACGTAAGATCAAGATAAGTGCTTTATCTGAAGAGTGACGCTGTTAAAAAACTAATTCACAGTTTATCGATCAGAAACGAGAGCATTCGCAACGCAGTGGGCAGTTTACCGGGACGATAAACAGTTAGAATTTTCTTTGAATGCCCCGTTGTCCGAGTGCGCTCGGGAGGAAGGATACATCCTGTGAATGTGCCTTTAACTTTCTTACCGGCGCTGTGTTTATCTTGTTGCCGGACTCGGAGGCGCATACTGCGAATCGAGACGAGCAAAGACAAGATACTTTCAGTTAGAACAACAAACAATGTATACTTACCCAAACAACAGTTTTGTTACCCAACAATTGAGCGTTTCAATAGATGATAGTTTGAATTTCAAACAATTGAAACTTAGCGTTCAATGTTAGGTAAAGAGCAGGGTATAACAGAAATTTATTATCATCATATTATAACGCAGAAACATGTCCGTGAGTTACGCTGAGACGTTGTACGCATGCTCGAAAACAAGGCAGAAAAATATTATATGTGTACTCTTACAATGATAGTACAGTAAAATCCTTATTAAGGGACACTTTTTAAGGGATACATAAAAACTAATTACGTCATCATTGTGGGTGCTTCGACTACTTTTTCTTTGATTACTCTGTAAAAATTTACTGCGCATGTCTATCTCTTGCGGTTTAGGACTGTACAGGGGTTCAAGGTTATCATGAGATTGTGGCACCCTCGTTTTATTAATTTTCAAACCATACCAATTGTACCCCTTTTGATATTTATACAGAGCTAACTGTTGCATCTGCCATCTGTGGCTTCCTGTGAACCAACAGCACGGGGATCCGACTTAATCCACGAAAACATGCCGCAAAAGAAGCAAACAGCAATTTATTCGACCACGAAATAACAAGGAAGTCGTATTCTGCCCCTATGCTTAGCTTCCTCTTTCTGAGACCCCGATTTTCACCTCCCTTACCGATCATTTCTCGCCTGGAAAACGCCCCATGGGAGTAAATCACCCAGTCAGGCGCCAGGACACTTTGGTCTCGCCTGAGATCCTGCGAAAATAAGATACACATGTCTGCGACGCTCTCTTATTTCTTTCTATATGTTTAAATTTTTAACCGACTACGAAAAAGGAGGAGGAGGATTTTTTTCTGTGTTTGTTCACCGATTACTCCGAGACGGATGGACCAATCGGAACGAAACCTTTTGCATCTTGCAGAGTATGTCTCCCAATTGGTCCCATTAACCTCTTAACTTAAAAGCCCGAGATTACTTGGGCAAAATACACTTGTTATAATATAATTTTTAAGTTAAGAGGTTAGAAAATAATTTTTCATTTTTTCATTGCTAAGGATTATTATTGCAAAAACCAGGAAGTTTCTAACCTCAACATAAGATGATTTCAGTGACCCCTTAAAGTATGTTATCAGGGGCATGATTCTGAACAAATTTTGTAAGTCTGGGTTCTACTTTCCTTTCCTCTAACTAATTATATTTTATTCACCGATATTATTCTTGTTTCCTGTCTATCCCGCTGCAATTACCATCAAAATGGCGAGGAATTTATTTCCGCGCAGATCACTATTTATACCGCGCAATGGCAAATTCGGAAGAGCCTGCATCCCGACGAACTGTGACAATAAATCGGATTTACGATAAGCTGATTCTTGGTAAAAGATTTATAGAGCCATTCGATACCGGAAGCAACAGGAATGCTCCCCTTTTTGCCGTAATAAAATCATTGCGTCATCGGATACTTACATGTGTGCGCAACTTGGAATATATTTGGAATTTTATCATTGCGAACTAACGTCTAATGCGTTCAAACGTGTTCCACGGGGCATAGTTTCGTCAAAAACTGGTCCAAGATGATTTAGACCCGTTAATCAGTTCACGGGACCGTTTGATGCCCTCGTTTCCTGTCGCGAGGCGTAGCCAGGATCTCATAGGACCGTTCATCCGCGTCGTCGTTCCCCCAAAAAAAAAACTATCTCGAGAAATAATTAACTCGTGGGGACGAGCTCATTACGCGGCTTAATTAGGTGCCACTGGTAGTCGTGTTCCTGATGGCGCGCTAGGGAAATGCCTCACTGGATTGGTTACCGGTTCCGCCAAAGGAACCAGCCTTTTAACTATCCCCGCCTCTGGTTTCCAATTGAATCCATTTCCTGAAACGCTATTCACTGGAACTGCTTTTCCACTGTAAATAGTATGTTTTAAGGCATAAAGTCAAAGGAATTTTTTTTTTTTAGAAATCTAATTTGCTTTGCCTAGGGCCTAGGGCCCCCCAAGGTCCAGGGCCCCCATAAGACGATTTTACGTCTAAGAATATTTACTTGAATATTAATCTATGTAAATGAAAATCTAAATTAGTTATACAAGCTTTAATGTTAATTTTGTAAATTTTATTTGAAAAACTTTTTTTCTTTTTTTTTATGTCATATATGTGAAGGGGCCCTTTTTTGGCGCTCGCCTCGGACCCCCGAAATCTCAGGGCCGGCCCTGAGACCAACCTCCATCGAGAAAATCTGCAAGATTTCGCCAGTTTCTATTTCCATCCGCGTCTATCGGCGTTCAAGCATTACCGGCAGCAGGGTGGTTTCCTCACTGGTGTATTTACCTACGTCCCGTTGGAGTGGCACAGCCCGTTGCAGAACGGTTTACTGCTGGCGTAAAACGGAGCACCGTGTCATTGGATCTCTGTATATATATATATATATGTGTGTGTATGTACGGTGGACGAAGGAGAGGGTTGTGCCACTAACGACGGACCATTCATCATCCGAGGGAAAACGAAAGGAGTGACAGAAATTGCGGTGATTTAGTAGGAAAAGACAAAGAACAGATGTTAAGTCTCTTCCCTATGTCTATCTGTTTCTATCGTTCTTATCATTATCAAACATTCCAGCCTCCGATTTAGTATAGGGCTGCCCCCCCCCTTCCCCCCTCTCTTCCGGGGGGAGTTATCCAGTTGGATATCACAAATATGGTGGTTCCAGGTGTCGAAGTCTTAAGGGAGCGGTTCCCCTCAACAAAGCAACAATTACAAGTTCAGAGAAATGCCAGCGTCGTCCCTGCGTCACTTGACCAACAGCTTCTTGCCTTCGTCCGCGTGTAACGCTGCAAATCATGGAGGATTAAAGGATCGATCGGGTGTCCGTGAAAAGAAGAGAAAAAAAGCAGCATACAGTCACGCACAAGCCACCGGCAGGATTTCCATCAGGGTTCCCGCGTTCGTAAATAAACCAGCGAAGCGTGGTAGGTCGCTATGTTTAGTTTAGGTGGTTTCTCAGATTTCTGGGATCACCATGGGAGAATGTGACAGGTCTTCCAGCTACCGGTCGGCTGCTTTACGATCGGCGAGGTTACGCTATTAATTCCACCGCGGCTGCTCCCAGAGAGGGGCCAACAGATAGCGACTGTCACTCTTTTTTCTTCTTTTCTAAGAAGGACCTTGGTCCTTTTATTTTAGAGGCAGTATCATTCGAAAAATCTCTCCATGTTGGGATTGGGTTGATTCATAATTAATGCGGCTTTTTTTGCAACTCCGCCCCTGAATTTCGATTGTTCGTTTCTGGAATATTTTGTAGAATATTGAATAAAATAAAATGAGACAAAATGCGATGTCAATCGACTATAAAAAGAAAGATAGACATAAAGTTGAGGAGTGATTATTTTCTTTGTTAGTGATCTAGTTACTTTTATTACTATAAGTTGTAGCTTGGCTAGTGTCTTTTTATTTTTTTAGGTATCTTACTGTATGTGCAATTCGTCAAAATAGAAATTATAAAGAAAGAAGAATTTCATTAGCAATTACTATTATTTTAGGAATATATTTTTCTTCTCTTCAATTTATTGAATATTTAGAAGCCCCATTTTGTTTTAGTGATAGAACTTTTGGCAATATCAATCATAGTGTCCGTTCGTCTAGTGTATTTTGTAATTTCAAATAAATGATTGAAATTCTAAATTATTGAATATTCTAAAGCTTTTATCAGATGATTATGTTAATTATTTTAACGCTTTTATTAAATAATTAGATTCATATTTGCTGCGGTTAAACTTGGACTCCCAAGTCAGTGCTTTTTTACTAGACGAACGGACAGTATGATTGCCTCAACTGTCGTCACCAAAAATGTTATTTTCTCTTTCTTTCATTATTATAATAGTAATTAGTCTGTGTTTCTTTTAAGTACATTTTAGGATATATATATATAAATAATAAAATAACAACAATATTCGTAAAAAGAGCGGGAAATATAAAGCCGGATTAATTATGAATCGACCCAATATAATAGTTTATAGAAACGTTAGGCAACACGGCGATTAAATTGTTAATTAAAATTCTGATTTCGATTAAGGAAGTAAACGTAGAACGGAGTTAATGTCGCGCGTCTCGGGATTCTAGTGTAAAGGGGACCAAGGGTACCCCGCGGAGGAGAGACGGAGGAGGCTGGTACAGGTCGAAGAGGTCGAAACGAACATCCGGTGTTCATGGATTGGCCGCGAGACGACTGGTTGACACGGTTTTTAGCCAATCGGGCGAAACTGGGCGTCGCTGGCCGCCGTTTCCTTGCAATAATATTTGCACTGGCTCGTCTAATCCATTAAGCCTGCCATCGGACGGCGTTTGGTAAATTATTTATCGGCTCTTCGCCGACGCCTCCCCGCTTCTCTCTTCCTCGTCTCTGATGTTTCTCTGAATTTACGATCTGGGAATATCCATACGTTTCGCGGTTCAATTCGTCGCCGGCGTTTCCCTGCGCCATGCGACTGTGTCCTTTAAACTTTTAAGACTTCCGTCACGTGCTTCCGGTTCGTTTGGTATTGGGAAAGGATGAGAATTAAAGGCGCGAAATATAAAGTTCATTGATAATTTTATTGCAAGGCTCGTCACCAAAAATTAATATAAAAATACTGTACATTAGAAAGACGCGCGAGTACATGCTGGTAATAACATTACAAATGCATATTGGCATCGTTTAAAGGAATGGAAGTCCAAGTTTTCATTGTATCAACTAACAGAACCATAGGAAAATTAGAGTTCATCCCTCTGGAAGGATAGAAGATATTCTTTTAGCATTCTTTTCAAAATTTTTATTAAACTAAAAATCTGTCCAGTTTTGTTATTCTTAGTCTAATAATACAATGAAGTATGTCGAAGAAATTTATAAGAACCATCAGAGGACGTTTACATTGAATTTAATTAAAGATTATTACTATTTACAAAATTTACAGGAATAGTCGTCGCTAAAAGTATTTTTTTTTTAAAGAAAAAAATAATAAATTATTGCGTTTTCCGGCCACCGTTGCAGCTAAAGAAGCTTAACTTAACGCTAAAATAAAAATATACATTATCTCTTATGATACAGTCTCTTCCTTAGAATATACATCTTAAAAACTATTTTAACAGCCTACACTGTACAGAATTTTTGGTATGTTTAGCTGTATGTTCAAGGCACTCGGAAGGCGCTTGATTGTTTATAATTAAGAGAGGTATATTTACTATGATACAAGATTTTTACAAAAGAATGGAAAGAAGAAATCTCGAGTTTGTAATTTCCAAAAATTTTCCTCGGCTCCTGAGGTTAAGGTTAGGTTAGGGTTCGAATGCAGAATCAAACTGCTAGAAGCAGAAGGGAACTATGATACAAGATTTTTACAAAAGAATGGAAAGAAGAAATCTGGAGTTTATAATTTCCAGAAATTTTCCTCGGTTCCTGAGGTTAGGGTTCGAATGGAGAATCAATTAAACTGCTAGAAGCAGAAGGGAACTATGATACAAGATTTTTACAAAAGAATGGAAAGAAGAAATCTCGAGTTTGTAATTTCCAAAAATTTTCCTCGGCTCCTGAGGTTAGGGTTAGGTTAGGGTTCGAATGCAGAATCAAACTGCTAGAAGCAGAAGGGAACTATGATACAAGATTTTTACAAAAGAATGGAAAGAAGAAATTTCGAGTTTGTAATTTCCAGAAATTTTCCTCAGCTCCTGAGGTTAGGGTTAGGTTAGGTTTCGAAGGCTCGAATGGAGAATCAATCAAACTGCTAGAAGCAGAAGGGAATGTAAGGGGACCACTGATGGCACCTCGTTTGGCTTTTTTCAGGAAGATTCAGTGCGGCAATAAAGAGGCTGGCGGATTTAACGCAGCGTGTCTTCGTTAAGCGAGTCAAACCGTGGCTCAAACTTTTCCTTCTTGCCTTCTCGGTTTAAAATAACCGAGCCTGCCTTCGAAACATCCACGCGGAAAGTCAGCAAAAACGTGGAGGAACCTCCGTACCAAATATCGGACCCGACCGTCCTATAAAAGGATTGCAGTTCTCGAAAAAAAAAAAAAAAAAGAAGAAGAAAAACAATATTCTAACCGACCTATGGGCGCCGAAATGCTCATTAATGCTCATCTCCCCGTTGTTTTGTTTAACCGTCGGCACCGGTTAAGGCTTGTTTCCATAACGTCGAGACGCTAGCTCGCTCGGCATCGTAAAAGAAACACAAAAAAGAACTCGTAAAATTGTAGCAACGACGCTACTGTCTGTCCCGATGACGGGGAGAGGAACATTAACTGTCTCGGAAGAACCTCTGACAAGGCTTGATCTAAGAATTTATGAAAACGAAAGCAGCATCGTTGAAGATTTAACAATGTTTCGAGAATCTTCAACGGGTTGTTTGGTTTTCCATCAGGGTATAGCAGTTATTTGCTAAGCACGCGACCAGGTCGACGATTTTCCTGGTAAACGAAAGCCTCGAGGAGCCATAAATTTACCCTAACGGATTCGCCACCATCGCCTCGAGGGGTACCGAAATTGGCAAAGGGAAATCATTTTGGGAATTCCAGCCATAATCGTCTATTCAACGGTTTCATTGTACATGGAGGACCTCCTTTACATATTTGGAGGGAAATATTTTGAAAGGAACACACTGTTTTTGTGGAAATTCATTCCTTTCCACTTCATACTTTGGAAGAAATGATTTTATTCAGACTACTTGAAGTTTATTTTAAATTAGCTGCTCCAGTTTTGTGATCATGAATTAAATTAAACTATTTATTAAATGAAAATTTGTATATTGTTAAAAGATAAGGCTTAATTAAAAGAATCCTCCATAGTTTCTTCTTATTAATATTAATAACTTAGAAAAGTACAGAACAAGGAAACAATAGAGAAATGCCAACTAACAATGAAGAAACAACTCTGACAATAACAAGAAATTGAATGTGTTAATTAGTAATCAAAGAACACTGAAGGGAGTGTGACAGTATTCTGTACTCTTTATCAAGAGAATATTCTTTGGTCCAGAAAATCAAGCAGCAACATGCTTGAACATTCATCAATGGCAAAACAATCTTTGGTTTAATTGTAATATAATTTTCATACTTTCAAATTATTAAGTTTTAAGTGATTTTTCCAAGCTTTTGATTCGACTTCAATTCACAGAAACTTATAGATTTGAAATTGTCATTCACTTGGAGAAATCATGGACTTCACTTCCATTTCTAAAGTTACAACAATTGTCTTTTACCAAGTAATCACTGTACGCAACAGGAGTTTCGATATTTTCGAACCAGCGAAAATAGGAAATCAACGTTCCTTCTTTTTACTAAGTAACGTTTACCTGGTTTTCAGGTAAGAAGAACAGTATTCTTCATATGTTCGAGTTCCAGTCGTCCTCCATTCTCCATACACTGAAGGCATAGGAGAGTTTTTCATGGGCCATATAGCTGCAGGAAGATGAAGTTATTTCTCTGGCTGCCAATACTGCACTTCTTGAATTTCTCTCTCCTGAAAAGCAGACAATAGACTGTCATTAATAGGGATTCATTTTTCAAAAGAGAAGAATAGTAGGCAAATGAAGATATCAGCTAAGTAAAAGAAGAAAACTGATGGAACCAATTGGTGTCAGAGTATCCAGATCTCTTTAATCACCTGAAGTTATGGTACACTATGCCAAGCACTAGTTTGTCTTGTACTATGTCAACTGCTGATTAAAATACAGGAGGATCTTTTGTTTGCACAATCAATACAAACTTATTTTAAAACTACCAGAAATTATATTCTCAAGGAGAGACTGTTATAGACAATTGTGTACCCATAGAGGTATTAATATTTGAAAATGATAAGTAGTTTCAAAACTTCTATAAAAACATTTTAATCTTAAGATCCCCTCAGTGTTTAAAATGATTTATTTAATTCCAGGAAGTCCTCAAGATACAAATCCTTTCTGTATAATTCTCTGAGGGTCTTTCCACTGATCTATGGAGGTGCTGTGTTTACCTTTCAACTGGTTTGTAAATACTATCCAGAGGAGGAGAAATTGAGTCGAGTGGGAAAAGTGTTTACCTGAAGGGTAGCTAGGCTCTGGTACAAGGGCTAGTGAAGACATTGAATCAGAAGATTTCTTCACGGGGGTCTGTTTAATTACACTATGCTTTAAACAAACGCGAGCTAGTTTCTGTAAACAGGCGTTTTACCGACGGGGAGACATCTATCTATCAACAACAGCTACTTTAACATCAAGATTTAAATGAAGCAAAAATAGAAGAAGAAATTTATAAATATTGCAAGTGTGCAATGAACATTGAAACTTACCACTGTCGTCTCCGCTGTCTGTGTTCTCCATGTTGCAGTGCAACACCTGGAACAGGAAGTCGATGTACCTCGTGGCCAGCTTCAGCGTCTGTATCTTGCTTAGCTTGTCGCTAGGCAACGTGGGTATGATCTTCCTTAGGGCTGCGAATGCCTCGTTCAAGCTCTGTGTCCTCTGCCTCTCCCTGACGTTGGCCATCACCCTTTGGTTCTGGACTTCCTCGAAGGTAGCACCACTCTTTCTTCTCACCTTGCTCTTCGTGGATGAAGCGTTGCTCTCCGTCTCAGACTCGTTCTCAATACTACTGGTCTTCCTCTTCCTCTTGCCACCGTTCCTGGACCCCTCGACAGTGTAGCTCTTGGTCGAGGAAGACGGTTCACTTATCTGACTCATCTCCAGCTGTTTGTACCTCTGCTGATCAACGTCCGGCTTGTACTCCAGGACGTCAGGCTTGTACTCAACGGAGTCCACGTGGTGGTAGCCCTGCTGCGACTGCCTGGACACGATCTCCTCGCCGCCGGATGAGTACATCTGCGGAGACGGTGTCAGGTAGAGATTCTGCTCGTGGTCCCTGCTGTGGTCCGACAGAAATCCTGGTGAATTGTCATGGATGCGTCTGTCGTAGTCTGTCTGGAGGTCCCTCAGGACTTTCCCATTGGGATGATCCTGGTACCTCTTCTCGTCCTCTGGATTCTCGTACATCAGGTAGGTGGGCTGTTGGTATAACACTTGATGGTGATGATGATGGTGGTGATGAGTCTGGTACCCTGGCAGGTCCCTGTGTTCCGGAGGGCTGCTCAGATCCATCAGGTGTGTCGGAGGGGAGAATCTCTCGTAATGGTCGGGGGAGTTGCTGGCCGAGCTACCGGTGCTGTGGGGAATGCCGGAACTATCGTGGCTGTCCAGAAGGTAGAGACCTTGGATCCTCTGCGCCTGGAGGCTCACTGGCTGCGTCGCTTGCATGATGACTGATGGTATATCCTCACACCTCTGCAGCTGTTCAATACTCGGACACAAACATCACCACAGTCACTTTATTACTCGTCGATCAACTGTTTACCAAACTGTGACTCGTTTTAGAAATTTGCTATCTTAGAATACTGACACTTGGGACACCGGTCTTTTTTCCGACTTCTCGAGCAGCTTTACCACCGGGCACGTCTCTGCTCGAGGATTCAGACTCGTCTGAAGGAACTGGGCCTCGGTCTGCCTCTTCATGTCAAGAAGGAACCCCGCCTCCGAGCATGGAGCTGCACCCCTACCCTTCTTCGCATACTTCTCTTCCCCTACCTGCACCTTGCCCCTCTCTACCCCTCCCACGCAGGCCCCACCATAGCCACTGGACGGTTTCTTTTATCCGTCCCGTCTGTCTAGTCCCCACCCACGAATGTATGTCCATGGAAAGAAAGGGAAGAAGCGAAAGAACGTTGGAAATTAAAGGGAGGTGGGGTTGGTTGATCAAGAAGAGGAGAGATACAATGTATCTGAAAGGAGGGGGAACAGGGGAGGAGGTGGAGGAGGAAGATAGGTGAAAATGAACTTGGATGCTATTAATTTAATTTTTTATTTATTTCATATTAAGTCATTTTAACTGCCACAAAAATGAAACTTTAATATGTATTAAATATATTGCAATTATTGGTGTTGACCTTGATTTCATGATTTTTATATTTCATAGGACCCTGAAGAGAAAAGATACCAGTTTTTGCTATGTGGAATGATCGACCGTCTGGGAGGAAAGAATTCTCTGGTTGAACTTGCAACGTTTAAGAGAAAGATGAAGAGGGAGGTACAGGGAGGAACGATAGAGAAGGATGAAAGTCTTGAGGGACGACCCATGTTGAATATTTATATCGCGAGGAGCCAGTGAGAATAAAGCGAGGGATCGCGTGGAACAGGCTACGATCTGCGAACCTTCGCGTTTGCATACCATGAAATGGCGCGAAAACCTGAGAATCTTCGCCTAATCGAACACCATGATCACTGTAATTCATCTTGAAACTAAAGATACTCTCCCTAAAGATTTAAACTTACCCAATGATTTTCAAATGAACCAATTAAGGATCAGATCTTTATTCAAAAATTAATTAATTAAATTGTAACAGGGGTTTGTACAAATACCGTTCAATATCATAAATTGAAGTTACCAAAGGAATGAGCTTTTCTGATAAATCCATCTTTTCAGATACTAAAGATACTCTCCCTAAAGATTTAAACTTACCCAATGATTTTCAAATGTACCAATTAAGGATCAGATCTTTATTCAAAAATTAATTAATTAAATTGTAACAGGGGTTTGTACAAATACCGTTCAATATCATAAATTGAAGTTACCAAAGGAATGAGCTTTTCTGATAAATCCATCTTTTCAGATGCTTTCAAGTATCCAAACAAGAGGGGCATCCACGAGGCAAGGGAGTAACAAAGGTGCAAATTGATGCATTAAATATCGGCGTCGGGACGTTTTAATCTGAAATAGAAGCAGAGAGGATGGTATTTTCCGGTTGGAAATTAATGCATGTAGCGTGGAGCGATTCGAAATCTCGGCGTGGCGAACAGCTTGATGGATGACCGGGCTGGATTGCCGGGACGTGTTTGTTGTGACGGACGAAAGCTCTTTTGAAGGTGTCTATAAATTCCGCGTTTCGAGCTTTCACGAGCTTCTCCACGCTTTTCCTCTCCACGTGATTTACCATTATTTTCTACCACCACGAAATTTCATACAGAATCTCTTCTTAATAAGGCAGGCATTTTGAAGAACTTAAAAATTTTCAAATATAATTAATTCAAAATTTTTAAAAAATTTTTTAATCTTGCGAATTGGTCCCTGCGTTTAAATAGTAATTTCTCCACGTGATTTACCATTATTTTCTACCACCACGAAATTTCATACAGAATCTCTTCTTAATAAGGCAGGCATTTTGAAGAATTTAAAAATTTTCAAATATAATTAATTCAAAATTTTTTAAAAATTTTTTAATCTTGCGAATTGGTCCCTGCGTTTAAATAGTAATTTCTCCACGAGATTTACCATTATTTTCTACCACCACGAAATTTCATACAGAATCTCTTCTTAATAAGGCAGGCATTTTGAAGAACTTAAAAATTTTCAAATATAATTAATTCAAAATTTTTAAAAAATTTTTTAATCTTGCGAATTGGTCCCTGCGTTTAAATAGTAATTTCTCCACGTGATTTACCATTATTTTCTACCACCACGAAATTTCATACAGAATCTCTTCTTAATAAGGCAGGCATTTTGAAGAACTTAAAAATTTTCAAATATAATTAATTCAAGATTTTAAAAAAATTTTTTAATCTTGCGAATTGGTAATAGTAATATGTTAATTGAAAGCGATTGCAGTGATAGCGATAAGTTTACTAGAGAATTGTAACTGAAAGATAGTTTCTGTTTGCTTTCAGCAAGTCGAGCCGGAGGTTTGTCGTCGGCGTCGAAACGCGTTCATCGAAAGTGAAGACATTAGCGAGCTTCATCATCTCTCGTTCGTTTTCGGGGAAGTGAAACGAGAAACAGAAAATCTATCCTGGCATCGGGCCAAAGGAAAATCAGATCGCCAATAAAGAGGCCGATAAACAACGCGGCCAAACACCAAAATAATACTCGATGCTGATCAAAGTCGAATAACTCGCGGCGTCTTACCGACCTCGTGTGTCAAGCCACTTCCTTAAAACTTGAAATTACTGTATCGTACCGTTCCGACCCCGTTTCTCGACGCCTCTTGGCAAACGATACTGTCGCAGAGATGATTTTCTTCCATCGTTGATGAAGAATTATCTTCCATCCACTTTCTAGGAATATTGATGAGGAAATGAAAACTGGATTCTTCAATTCCACTATTTTTTTCTTTTTAGGAAATTATTTTTATTTTATTTATTTATTTTACATTGATTTATTATAGATTTAAGTATAGATTTATTTATTTTTATGGATTTATATAATTAGGATTTGTTATAGATTATTATAGATTTATTATAGATTTATTATAGATTTATTATAGATTTATTATAGATTTAAGTATAGATTTATTATAGATTTATTATAGGTTTATTACAGATTTAATTATAGATTTATTTAATTAGGATTTATTTATTTTTATAGATTTATATAATTAGGATTTGTTATAGATTATTATAGATTTATTATAGATTTAAGTATAGATTTATTATAGATTTATTACAGATTTAATTATAGATTTATTTAATTAGGATTAATTTATTTTTATAGATTTATATAATTAGGATTTGTTTATTTTTTATAGATTTATTATAGATTTATTACAGATTTAATTATAGATTTATTTAATTAGGATTTATCCACTTTTTATAGATTTATTAATATAATAATAATAATAATAATAATAATAATAATAATATAGTTTATTCCCATTGCGGGGTACAAATGCTATAGATTTATTATAGATTTATTTATTTAATTAATTAATTAAACCTTCTTAGATTCTTCAGTAAAATTTTGCAAAATGAAACACTTAGCATTATTAACAAAGCTAACTGACAATTGTAATAGATTGCAAAATTCTTGAAGACCTTGGAAGCTTTGAAAGTCTTCAAAGTCTCCATGTATGTACATTTATCAAAATCTAATAGTAATCTGAGATTTAGCAAGCGTATAAACTGGGCGACAATTTGCAAGAGACAGAATTGAATGAGCATCGCTATTCACAGCCTTCCTGAACATCTTGGTACGCGACATTCGAAGGGTTGTGCACGTGCACGCGATCCTGCCTCATGCACCGTTTCACGATATTAACGCGGACTTAATTGCGCGTGTTGGGTCGCGTTTAATCGCCTCGTACAACTGATGCAAATGTGTGCTTCCCCATGTACCACTTTGAAATAATGGTAATTGAATATGTTTTAAAGAAATACTTTTTATTATAATAATTGTAACAATTGTAGACTCTTGTATTTATCTTCTACTTTATTTAATATTAATAAAATTCTTAATTTACAGAATCTGCAGATTGTACCAGACAGTATTAAAATTAGGGCAATAAAGAATATGATAAAGGTAAAGGACTGTTTCTATTTATTCAAAATATTATCTTTTATTCACCTTCTACTTTATTTAATATTAATAAAATTCTTAATTTACAGAATCTGCAAATTGTACCAGATAGTATTAAAATTAGGGCAATAAAGAATATGATAAAGGTAAAGGACTGTTTCTATTTATTCAAAATATTATCTTTTATTCACTTTCTACTTTATTTAATATTAATAAAATTCTTAATTTACAGAATCTGCAAATTGTACCAGATAGTATTAAAATTAGGGCAATAAAGAATATGATAAAGGTAAAGGACTGTTTCTATTTATTCAAAATATTATCTTTTATTTACCTTCTATTTTATTTAATATTAATAAAATTCTTAATTTACAGAATCTGCAGATTGTACCAGACAGTATTAAAATTAGGGCAATACAGAATATGATAATGGTAAAGGACTGTTTCTATTTATTCAAAATATTATTTATTATATTTACACACTTTTGTACAGTGATAGTAATAGTAACGTTTCTTTGGAAGAGAAGTGGACGTATTTCCCCACGTACCTGTTGCCCTAACACCTAGCTGGTACCACCTACTGTAATTAAGAGCAACGGGTGTTCACAAATTCCAAAGGAGACAGAGCATCAACACGTGAAATCCGTTTTAATAGGAATTTATGAATCAGGTAGTTTACACCGGTGACAGAGAGGAAGGTGGTTAATCCTCCAGGTTCAATTCGGCCACCAGCAAAGCAATTAGCACCTGGTGAGCACCGACCACCTCCATGGACCCTCCCTCACTTATGGTGGTAAAAGGGGCGCCGTGCCGTCTATCGAGTGACCATCTGGTTCCTTTATGACGGGGAATCCCCGGGAATTTGTACGAAATGACAATCTAAAGTGACCTGTAATCTCGTTATTCTTTTTAACTGGTGGATAGAAAAAACATTTCCAGAGTTGTTAAATTTTTCACACAGTTGATCAGGTAAAATCATTTGTAACATATGTACTTACTCCATTATTATTCCATGTAGCTTATAAATAAAATAATTTTTATTTTGTATTGCAGAAATAATTGTTATAGGAAGGAGTCCATTTGTTGTTATCAAGAGTTTAATATAGTTTGAAAATTATTAATATGAAAATAATTATTCAAAAGCTTTAAAAAGAAGTAATTGTTATAGATAGGAGTTCATTTGTTATTGTCAAGAGTTTACTATAATCTATAAATTATAAGTATGAAAATAATTATTCAAAAGCTTTAAAATGAAGTAATTGTTATAGAAAGGAGTTCATTTGTTGTTGTCAAGAGTTTGGTATAATTTGAAAATTATTAGTATGAAAATAATTATTCCATGTAACTTATAAATAAAACCATTTTTGGTTTGCAGAAATTATTGCAGAAATAATTGTTATAGAAAGGAGTTCATTTGTTGTTATCAAGAGTTTAATATAGTTTGAAAATTATTAATATGAAAATAATTATTCAAAAGCTTTAAAAAGAAGTAATTGTTATAGATAGGAGTTCATTTGTTATTGTCAAGAGTTTACTATAATCTATAAATTATAAGTATGAAAATAATTATTCAAAAGCTTTAAAATGAAGTAATTGTTATAGAAAGGAGTTCATTTGTTGTTGTCAAGAGTTTGGTATAATTTGAAAATTATTAGTATGAAAATAATTATTCCATGTAACTTATAAATAAAACCATTTTTGGTTTGCAGAAATTATTGCAGAAATAATTGTTATAGATAGGAGTTCATTTGTTATTGTCAAGAGTTTACTATAATCTATAAATTATAAGTATGAAAATAATTATTCAAAAGCTTTAAAAAGAAGTAATTGTTATAGAAAGGAGTTCATTTCTTGTTATTAACATTTTGGTATAATTTGAAAATTATTAGTATGAACATAATTCCATGTAACTTATAAATAAAACAATTTTTATTTTATATTGCAGAAATAATTGTTGCAGAAAAGAGTTCAATTATTGTTATCAAGAATTTGGTATAGTTTGAAAATTATTAGTATGAACATAATTCCATAAATGTAACTTATAAATAAAATAATTTTTCTTTTATATTGCAGATATAATTGTCATAGAAAGGAGTTCATTTGTTATCAAGAATTTGGTATAGTTTGAAAATGAAGAGATAACGTTTTGTTCCATTGTCTTTGGATGCTGAAGAAAATTCCTCTCACGTTTATAGGAAGCATCTTCAACTTGCACAACATACTGGACAGCTTTCAGGTCCAACGTTTATGGTAGCCATTGAAGGATGGAACAGTGTGGCAATAGACGTAGAATGGTGGCCCATGTGTCGCTACTTGCTCGACCATGCTGTTGGAAAATTTGCATTTACGAGCTAGAACGGCAACCCGGAACATGTGTTCGCGACCTGCCGAAAACAGACGGTCGAAACACATGTTTCCTTTGGAAAAAGGTGAAAGTCTTTGATGAGACCGCGAGGGAAATTCGCAAGGTTACTAAAGTACAGTGGCGAGCATTCCAATGTCTCCTTTTACAAATTTTTAACCAATTTAATCATTGCAAAATTTTTAATAGTTTTCTTGCTTTAATGGACAGTTCCAAAGCTTTCAAGAATTTCAAAATTCCAAATTTAATTAATTATTAATTAGAATCTCCCCTTTCACATTTTTCCAACTCTGGTCATTGAAATTTATTTTTACATTTTATTTTCTCTATTCTGAAATGTCTTAGGCATGAAAGTCACTGCCATTCACTTGCAAAATCTTTTTTAGCCTGCCAAGAAGAAACGTGTCCTCGCGCACGGTGCTCCTTTACCTCTCCGGCAAATGCCGTGTGTTCGACACATGGCGAACGATGGCACCGGTGCAAACATTGTAGAAGCTATCTGTCGGCGCGGATCGTAAAGGCAGCAGCGTTTATAATGCGTACGGCCTAGCCCAGGGACACTTTCCGAGCAGCACGTGGGCAATAACGTGAGCTGAAAAGCCATGAGATATTGTCGTGGATATTTCAAGTTTACTGCCTGTCCACCGATGACAATACCTTCCATCCGCCGATCTACATCCTCCGTTTCCGATGCAACTCTTCTCCATCAAGATTCAAGATTTATTTTAAACAAAAATTGCGAAAAGCCATATAACGAATCAATTATTTTGAAATTCAATTGGATCTGTACCAATTTTTTAATTTATAAAGCAAATTTATTCTTTTTATTTGCTATAAAAATGCTTACATAAAAATAAAAGTACAGCATTTTATTTTGGCCATATAACGAAGTGCCATAATTAAAAAAGGTCGTTATAGTGAAATGCCCTATAAAGAGCGATTGTATCTTAATTATGCGTCAATTAGAGTGCAGAGAATATTAATATTAAGTAGATTCTATTTTATATTAGAATTTACATTAGAAAGAAGAATGTACACAGTTCTGTTGAAAAGAAGGTAAACACCACTCGACTTCCAATGGCGGCATGAGACCAGAAGTCGAATGCTCTTTATGATTCTTGAATGGCGACAAGTGCCTCTCACAATGCCACGACCCTCGGAAATCTTTCACGAGATTCCATTATCGTTTCCGCTGCTCCTCCCGTTTTACCTTCTTATTGTATTCTTTCCATAGATTCTATACACATCATCATGGGATACAAGAAATTACCTTAAAACTTCAATGAGAATACTTATTATGTGATAATTACAAACATGATGACATCATATTTTTCTTAGAATATTCAGTTTACTATGATTAATATTATATTTTACAGGTACTCTGTGTTTCTACTTAGGAGACATGATGGGAAGTATATTGAAAAATGAAAAGAACATTTAACACATAGGACTTCAATGGGTAGTGGCAGCTCGCATATAGGCACTGTGGAACTGCAGTACCTCCTATTTCCACTTGATATTATCGATAACATTTAATATAATGAATCCTTTTTTCTTTAATTCTTTCTTTATACTTGTACAATATATAATTCTTAAGCTTAATGTCAGTATAAAAAAGATACAAAAATCTTTGTATGGAACTGTGGGCTTTGCAGTTTCAGCGGCGTGGTATTTGACTGTGTGCGCATGCGCACATAAGAAGCTGCGCACGAGGCTGCGCAGTAGAGAAAACACTGTCGCTCCCGCAGTGCCGGTTTTTTAAAACAAAGGTTAACAATTTTCTGGAGCAGCACCCCCATTAATTTTAGCTACTAGCTGCCACTGTTAATGAGAATACTTATTATGTGATAATTACAAAGATATCATATTTTTCTTAGAATATTTAGTTTACTATGATTATTGTTATATTTTACAGGTACTCTGTGTTTCTATTTAGAAGACACGATAAGAAGTACAGAAGAACATTAGAATTCGTGCCATTTAACACATAGGAGAGATAGTAACGGTATGCACAATCACCGGAAGACCGGTAGTCGCTAATCTGCCTATTGTTTTCAACGTAAATATTTTTCTGGCTTGTTAATCCGAATTACGGGTCTGACTTCGACCGATTAAAGATCCTTTCTCAATGAGCTTCGAGATTTGCCAAACAAGATTTACAGTTATCAAGCTGCATCTTCTTCTTCTTCAGCAAACAGCAGACATTGCTAAATTAAATATAAAATTAAATATTCACCTATTAATAATAAGGCACAAGGTAATTCAAAATTAGAATAAATTAAAATTTTATTTTATTTCTTATTTTAAATCTTTTATGGAATTAAATAAAAAAATCTGAAGGATTTAAAATCTCCTGTATATCTTGTAAAAAGGAAAGTTATATAAATAATTTCTGATTAGATTTCATTGATGTTTGTAGATTCCAAAATGTTGGAACAATTGTTGAACAGACAGAGGGATGTCCAAGATAAGCAACGTGACCAGAATCTCATTAAAGGTGCACGGGGCACCGTGTGATCACCACGTGCTCGCCAAATTTCTCCAGTTTATATGACCAGCCATACTTGTGACATGTGTTCGCCAGGAACGTCGAAAGGTCACCGACGTCCAATTGCCCAGTGCAAACAGGTAGCACGTGCAATCACCTTCCCAAGGGTTCTCATTGTAAGCTGTCACGTTCAAAGAAATTTATGGTCCTCTTAAAAAAAGAGTACATCAGTCACTGTGAATTAATTGACAATTTCTATATTATAATTACAGATTGGTGTCTTTGAAGGAAACGATACTTTTCAAAAATTGTAGGCACATTTTTGTTGATATCTGTAATTTTTAATAAATTATTACTGGAAGACAATGCTATCAGCAAGGAAGATTTTGGGAGAACCATAAAAACTAGGAATTCGTTTACCTGTTCTACAGCCAATTTTGACCAGCAAGACTTCCAGGCTGGATTATGGAAGTTTATTAGCCCTGTAATCCAAAGCGACGTATTTCCCCATGGTACCAGTAATCCATTATTTTCAACACGTTCCTTCCCTTACCGAGCTAAACGGTCAAAATTCACCGTTTTTCTGAAGAAAGGTATGTAACTATGATTCAATATTTTTCAATGAATTTCATTCACAATTTTCCTGTAACTAAACTGTATGGAAAATAGCATTTATATGTGTATAAATATTTATAATTCAATTGTGATTGATAATTATTAATATCATTCTTTTTAATTAAAATTCCAGGTACTCTTAGATTACTATCATCAAAAGTTCAAGTGATGAATTCTAAAGAATCTTCTTCACTCTCCCCTCTAAAAATGCGCTTAAAGGAAAAGGTACTAAATAGAAATTGGATTGCACTGGGTATTTCCAAATTGCTCAAGGTGGCTCCGTTAATGGCCACCTTCTGTGACCAGGATCACCTTCATTGTCCTGTTGCTGGTGGCGTACTTGCTGGGGACCACAGGGGGTCCTTTGAAGAACCGAGGCTACTTCATCTTTGTCCCAGGACGTTCTTGGCTTCCAATAGTAATCAGGGACAATTTGATCAATTTTTATTTATCATCAATTATTTTTATTTATATTTTATTTTTAATTACAAACTTACATATGTAGAACTAAAATTAATTTGAATTTTATTTTTAATTATAATCTTATTATGTAAAACTAAAATTAATTTGAATTTTATTTTTAATTATGATCTTATTATGTAGAACTAAAATTAATTTGAATTTTATTTTTAATTATGATCTTATTATGTAAAACTAAAATTAATTTGAATTTTATTTTTAATTATAATCTTATTATGTAAAACTAAAATTAATTTGAATTTTATTTTTAATTATGATCTTATTATGTAGAACTAAAATTAATTTGAATTTTATTTTTAATTATGATCTTATTATGTAAAACTAAAATTAATTTGAATTTTATTTTTAATTATGATTTTATTATGTAGAACTAAAATTAATTTGAATTTTATTTTTAATTATGATCTTATTATGTAAAACTAAAATTAATTTGAATTTTATTTCTATTTATAATCACATCAAAATCTATATTTGTTATAAGAGCAGCCATCATTATAGCCACTAATGGCCAATCAATTTTGAAGAAAATGTGCTTAAAGTTTGATTAAACTGATTGTCATAATTTTTTAGGATCATTATTGGATAGTAAATAACGTGATAGACGAATGACGTTGGTCGACCAGGGTGGTCCTCTCTCACGGTTGAAGAAACCGACTTCTGGAAGCGATGTATACACGGTGCACGCGTCGTCGACGTCGTGGACGTGGCCAGAAAGAAAGTCGACTCGAAAATCAAACAAACAGCCGACGACGCGACGCGTCGCGTTTCTGCACTTCCGTCGTCGCCGTTTGTTTATTGGTGTTCGTGGATCACTGTCCTGAGAATCTTGTACTGGTTACCCTTTTATAACATCTCTTATGAGTTATGTAACACTCGTACAATCTAAAATTAATCAAATCGAGATGGGTCATAAAACAAGTACAATTAACAATTCTTCAATCAATAGTGTATCAATTCAGGAAAATAATATTAAGGAATGATTTAATATTTAAAATGTATATATATTGTTAAACTGTAGTCCTTGATTATTTTTCAGTACAATCTATAATTGATCAAATGGAGCTGGGTCATAAAACAAATGCAATTAACAATTCTTCAATCAATAGTGTATCAATTCAGGAAAATAATATTAAGGAAATGATTTAATATTTAAAATGTATATATATTGTTAAACTGTAGTCCTTGATTATTTTTCAGTACAATCTATAATTGATCAAATGGAGCTGGATCATAAAACAAATGCAATTAACAATTCTTCAATTAATAGTGTATCAATTCAGGAAAATAATATTAAGGAAATGATTTAATATTTAAAATGTATATATATTGTTATACTGGGCTAATTGTAGTCCTTGATTATTTTTCAGTACAATCTATAATTGATCAAATGGAGATGGGTCATAAAACAAATGCAATTAACAATTCTTCAATTAATAGTGTATCAATTCAGGAAAATAATATTAAGGGAATGATTTAATATTTGAAATGTATATATATTGTTAAACTGTAGTCCTTGATTATTTTTCAGTACAATCTATAATTGATCAAATGGAGCTGGGTCATAAAACAAGTACAATTAACAATTCTTCAATCAATAGTGTATCAGTTCATGTAAGTATGGAAAATAATATTAAGTTTGATATTTAAAACGTATACATATTGTTATACTGTACTAACTATACTCGTTGATTATTTTTCAGGTTATAAGTGAAGAAAGGAGAGAAAGGATAAGATTGTGTAACGTTGGAGGTTCTTTACACCCTTGTAAGACGGACCTAATGAAACGTAATTCATTCCCATGCACCTTGAGGAGACATCGTCTGGCGAACACATGTCCCCGTCGGATTTTATCCATTAAGAAAAAGTCGTGCCCTTCGTCGCACGACATTGGCCGTCGTCGAACATTGAAACCCGAACTCGCTAATTCTACTTCGCTCCAGATGCTGGCCTAAAGGGTTATTAACCAAGAAAAAAATACCTACGTTAACATAGATTATCATTTTTCTATTCAAAATGTACTTTCTTTCTTTACAAACATAAATTCTTACAGGAAGAAAAAACACCAGCCACTGGTTGCTATAGAAGTTCAAAGAAGAAATAGTCGTCGCATAGTCACATTTGTTGCTAGATTACGAGGACGATAAATTTGACCCGGTGAGACTAACAACCGTCGGATTAGCAAAGGCTGTCGCGATGTCAGCGAGGAGCTTCTAGTTTGTGGCTTGCAATTTATGTATCTGCTGAAAATCAAGCCACGTTCCTCTACAGTCATATCCAAGAATTTATTTCAATATTATTACTCTGTTTCCTCCATCAAATAATTATCACTGATTTCCAGAGGAAATATTGAATGCTAAAGGAATCCTTGCGTTTCTTCTTTCAGAATCCCTGTCCAGCAGTGTCAAGAGAAGAAACATGATCCCCTGGGGGGAACAACGGTGTCGCAAAAAGTCCGGAAGTGAAAGAAAACAGTGAAAGCCGAATTGCAAACAGAGAAGAAACGTCTCGAGAGTCCCTGGGCTTATTGTCTCTGCAATTTCAGAGAGGCTACCTACCGTTCCATGTGCAGATTCTGCACGCTCCTCTCAGGAACACACGTGTTCGCCATCAGCTGGCCCAAGTGGTTGTTTGACCTTTGTTTCTTCTTCTTCTTCAACCCTTTCTGCTCAGTCTGTTACTGTGACAATTGTTGCCATTTATTTGTCCATCATCAGAAATTTTATTGATTATGTATTTCTTCATTTTCAGATATATCTGTGCTATAATTTTCAAGGAAATGGAATCGAAGGAAAAAATGAGAGGGAATTTCTCGAATCAACGTCTTCGAGGGGGTATTAGACCCACGTGAGTATCGTGGACCCCGATGTCGAGGCTGTGGCTTGGAAAAAAAGGGCCTCACGGGTTGTCGTGGTCTGGTAGGGCCTCTAGATTCCTCAGTGGGGGTCGTCCGGACGCCTCTTTCATTTTTCTCTCAATCCCCAAGGATCCATTGTCGTTTTTTCCCTTCCAGTTTGTAATACTGAAGAGACTTGTATAATTTGTTTAAAGTTTTCATTAAAACCAATGAATTTTATTTCTTCTTTTAGGTGAAAGTTAAGAAGAAATGTACATATGTAATTAGAAGTTTCATGGTTTGCTGAAATTCTTCAGAACCCTTGGGTCATTTGGAAGGACCTTGAAACATTAAGGGATGCACACGTGCGTTCCGTTTTCTCTTCATTGTTCTGCGGAGGAAGCTGGACAGTGGAGTTTACCGTGGAGCCCTTGGAACACCCGGGACGTGTTTAAGTAATTAGAAAGCTGAGGATTCTTAAACTGGACTTCAGTTTTGGACCTCATGTAGGGCGACAATAACATAAGAATAAAGAAGAAATGTGAAGACTGTCGGTGTTGGGTTTTTTTGTTAGTATGAATGGAAGATTTCAGAGAAGTAATATTAAAAAAAAATTTAAAAAAAGGAAAATACATTCAGATTTGAAAAATTCCATAAAATAACAGAAGAAGAATATAATAAAATATACTAAATTAAAATAATTCTATTAAAAGCTAGTATACCAAAGTAGAAAAGAAGAAGTTGAAGGCCAAGCTACTAATTACCAGTGAGATTTGGATCTCTCAAGGCATCACGTTTTTCTGGAAGAGTTGAATTTGGCATTTCTTCACTTGTGAAGGAAGAAGAAAAAAATTAAAAGATAGCATACCAAAGTAGAATAGAAAAAGAAGAAAACGAGTTTAAGAAACTTGAAACTGATGAACAATTTTGAAGGGCAAGCTACTAATTACCAAGATTTGGATGGGTGGATGCGGTGAAGTCATTTTGGAGGTTCTGGACGCAGCGGTGTTCGGGTCAAAGGTTGAGCCCCTCGAATCTAAATGATCCTGCTTCTTAGAACAAGAGAATCGTCAGGACACGCGACACTTCCCGATTCGAAGGAAGCGTGCCTGTTTCATAGTTTTTCTTCTCTATGGAACCCCGTGGTTCTGAAGGACCACCAGAATCATCTCGATGATAGATTCATCGTTGCTGTTTCAGTAGGTTCTATACATGCTACCAACTGATACAATTTGTAAAAACTTGCTGGTGATGATAAATCATCCAGTGGAATATGATTTTTCAAGCAGAAGTAATTAAAATCATGAAATGAATCTTCATTTTTGATAAATTGTATTTCTTCTTTAGATATAATAATAAAAGTAATAATGAAGAAAAGGAATTGAGGTATTTTAATTTTATTTATAGTGAGATGGGAGGAGAGCCATAGGGAGGGAGACGCCATTTTACTTGAGATCCCCCTTTATTCAGCGTTGGCCAATCGCTGGGAGAGAAGGTTCACCTGTGCAGGTGTTTCAGGAGTTCCATTGGATGGTGAGAAACAGGTATGGGGCAGGTGATACTCAGCTTCAATGGACGTCTCTGCTTCAAGATGAATTCTTTCTAATATTTTCTCATTTAGGAATTTGCAAAAGATCCATTTTACCAAAGAAGAAAATTCATTTTGATGCGAAGAGAAATGATATTTGAGAAAATTAACATGGATAGCTGCTTTTTTCTTATTGGAAGCTAAGAATAGAGGAAGGACAGTTGTGACCAGGTGTGACAGACGCTTGCACTTGCTTTCGTGACGGTGCATCACCTCATGCGTGCTACCGACTGCTCCGTTTCGTCGAGACAGCTGTTCTCTGATGTCGCTCCTCCCTGCAGTTAGACAGGGCACCATTACAATGTTGCTGGGTCTATCATTCAACCAGTAACTAGTTGCAGAACACAATTTAGCTTCAATTGTTTTCCTATTTTTATATATTCTTCTTTTCTTCTTATCTACTCTATCTTTTATTTTCTTCCATTCTGAATGAAATTCCATCAATTTTTTTTTCTATTTTTATATATTCTTCTTTTCTTCTCATCTACTTTATCTTTTATCTTCTTCCATCAATTTTTGTTCCTATTTTTATATATTCTTCTTTTCTTCTTATCTACTCTGTGGGAATAAATCAATATAGTATATTAAATCTAATATTAGTATAGATAGATAATAATATTACTAAATAGATACATTGGTCTGTGGGAAGGAAATCTTTTATTTTCTTCCATTCTGAATGAAATTCCATCAATTTTTTTTTCTATTTTTATATATTCTTCTTTTCTTCTCATCTACTTTATCTTTTATTTTCTTCCATCAATTTTTGTTCCTATTTTTATATATTCTTCTTTTCTTCTTATCTACTCTGTGGGAATAAATCAATATAGTATATTAAATCTAATATTAGTATAGATAGATAATAATATTACTAAATAGATACATTGGTCTGTGGGAAGGAAATCTTTTATTTTCTTCCATTCTGAATGAAATTCCATCAATTTTTTTTTCTATTTTTATATATTCTTCTTTTCTTCTCATCTACTTTATCTTTTATTTTCTTCCATCAATTTTTGTTCCTATTTTGATATATTCTTCTTTTCTTCTTATCTACTCTGTGGGAATAAATCAATATAGTATATTAAATCTAATATTAGTATAGATAGATAATAATATTACTAAATAGATACGTTGGTCTGTGGGAAGGAAATCTTTTATTTTCTTCCATTCTGAATGGAATTCCACCAATTGTTTTTCCTATTTTTATATATTCTTCTTTTCTTCTCATCTACTTTATCTTTTATTTTTTTCCATCAATTTTTTTTTCCAATTTTTATATATTCTTCTTTTCTTCACATCTATTTTATCTTTTATTTTCTTCCATCAATTTTTGTTTCTATTTTTATATATTCTTCTTTTCTTCTTATCTACTCTGTGGGAAGGAAATCTTTTATTTTCTTCCATACTGAATGGAATACCATCAATTTTTTTTCCTATTTTTATATATTCTTCTTTTCTTCTCATCTTGAATGGAATTCCTTTAATTTTATTTTCCTATTTGTATATATTCTTCTTTTCTTCTCATCTACTGTATCTTCTATTTCCTTCCTTCATGAATGTATAGAAAACTGTTGACTGATTTTTCTTCTTTTTCTCCAGGCTGCTCCCTCGATCACATCCTTCGTTTTTCAAACTTCACAATCGTACACGCATCGCGTACCGTCGTTCGACTGCAGTCACGCTAAATGCACCGTGCCACGGATGTGTAACGAGAGACGGTCGCTCCTCCTTTTCTTCTTTCCTCGTTTTTTCTTTTTCTTCTTCTTTTTTCCATGAAAGGCCAGGGTCCGTGGCGCTGCTTTGAAATTGGCACGCGGGATGATTTTAGCTATTCGAAGCCGTGGAAGAGGAAGAGGAGAACGTCGCCTGCGAGCCGCTGGCGCCAACGCGACAAAAACCTTTCATAATCAACCGTGTCTCCCCTCGTTTCGGCCGCCCCCTTTTTCTCAACCTCGATAACTCCAAAATCCTCCTTCTACTTCTCTCCCTCGAAGGACTGAAGAAATCAGAATAACAGAAACCGTGGACTCCAGTTTTCTTCAATGAACCTTCCAAGAAGCAACGACCCTCGTCCTTTGTCAGAACCTCTAGTAAAGGACCTCCTGAAACCTAAAACAGAAAGAAGTATGCCTGAATGAATGACTTTTGACCGTGTAGAAAACCTGAAGAACATGGTAAATCTTTTAACCATTGCTTTTAACAACCTTATTTGTCTTCGTTCAATCTATTTCTATATCTTCTGTTAATTTTTAGGTGCCACGGTAATCCTCGACTCATTAAACGCGATGAATATATTATACACAAGTGACAAGGATGGATTGCCAAAGAAAATAAGGAAGCGGTACAGCACTTGGTCCAAAGGCTCATATGGAAAGGATTACAGTGAGAATAGGTTTCATCTAGATTTTTCTTGGCCAACACCTTAAAAATAACGCCTACGTTCACGTGTGTCATAGAGAAAACACGGTTAGAGGGTTAAGAACGAGGAAGAAATTCTCTTCATTAACACATACTTCATCAGCAGCTGTTAATGAATCACGTGTTCATATATCAGCCTGAACGACTGTTGCCTCGTGTTTTTCCAAGGCTACTGATTTATACGAGGAAACTCATCGTCGCTAGACATTTTCGATGTTCAAATAACAAGGGACTCCGAAGAAGCAACCCTTTCTTCGCGAAGAGAAGAAAATTGTCTCCCCCCTTTTTTTTTCTTTAAAGAAGAAACTCCAGTACTTCAGGTCATTTTTATTATTTAATATTCTCTTATCTTAATGCACGAAGCTAAACTTTTTATCCAATCCAAGTTGGTCGTGGACGATTTTAATTAGAGTGAAGAGAAAGCGTCCGGGCGACCGGTCCGAAAAAGATAAATCGGGACGAGTCGAGGGCGGCCATGGAACTTGGATAATTTACGAGTGTCGCGAGGGCGTTAGACAACCCCGAGGAATTCTCCGGGCTACCCTTACCGGAAGCACGCTGTGAAACCGAGGGCGTCTGCACCTTCGGAGGCGCCGCCCCTCCGCGACTGCGTATCGTCCCAGAAGAGACGGACAACCCTATTTGATGAGAAATTGAAGAAAACAGAAAATGAAGAGAAAAAGGGGTAAATGGTAGGAAAGCAAAAATAAGAGAATTTCAATTACAGAAACTTCTTCTAATATAATAATAATATTTGAGAATTAAATAGTGAAGAGATGAAAAATTGAAGAAAACAGAAAATGAAGAGAAAAAGGGGTAAATGGCAGGGAAGCAAAAATAAGAGAATTTCAATTACAGAAACTTCTTCTAATATAATAATAATATTTGAGAATTAAATAGTGAAGAGATGAAAAATTGAAGAAAACAGAAAATGAAGAGAAAAAGGGGTAAATGGCAGGGAAGCAAAAATAAGAGAATTTCAATTACAGAAACTTCTTCTAATATAATAATAATATTTGAGAATTAAATAGTGAAGAGATGAAAAATTGAAGAAAACAGAAAATGAAGAGAAAAAGGGGTAAATGGTAGGGAAGCAAAAATAAGAGAATTTCAATTACAGAAACTTCTTCTAATATAATAATAATATTTGAGAATTAAATAGTGAAGAGATGAAAAATTGAAGAAAACAGAAAATGAAGAGAAAAAGGGGTAAATGGTAGGAAAGCAAAAATAAGAGAATTTCAATTACAGAAACTTCTTCTATCTTCTATAATATTTGAAAATTAAATAGTGAAGAGATGAAAAATTGACCTTCGGAGGCGCCGCCCCTCCGCGACTGCGTATTGTCCCAGAAGAGACGGACAACCCTATTTGATGGTATACCCCATGGAAAAGGGTGGCTTATCTCCCTGATTGAATGCTCGTTTCTCTTCTCATGGTTAACCATAGAAAAAGTACACCCATAGAATTGGAGATTTCTTCAGTAAAATTTATTGCTATATCTTCATCGAACCAGCAAATCTTCTGTTAACGCGTTTCTTCTTTTTTCTTCCAGGTTAATATTCGTTGCTTCGTCCAGTAAACCAGTAGAAAGTCTGAAATAATCTTCGAACCGGGAGCCGGCCATTCGCCACCGAAAATGTGTTTACACGGCACTATACACTTCACCGGAATAATTCCCGTGTCTTTTTGCTCTTGACGAAAGTGAACGAGTTTTCTTTGGCGCCCTGACGGCTCTGGTATTGTGGCACACGGTTTCGCGGTATCGGGCGATACGTGAATTCCAAGCGTCGAGGGTGGTGGCGAGAGGTTGCTTTTAGAATTTACTGTTTCCACGTTCCGATCTATTTTAATTATTCCCCACCGGTTGTCGTGGAAAAATTCCATAAATCTTCGTTAGCCGGGTAATTAGTGGCCGAGATACTTTCGACCGGCCACGGTATAAATCGCGTGATTCCTTCCAGGAACCTCGGTACATTGACGACACGAGGTGTACCAACGTGGTCCAGTGTCTCTCAAACCGTCACGATTTTCTGGAAGAATTGAATTTAGCATTTCTTCACTTGTGGGGGAAGAAGAAAACACTTTCTAAGTAATCAGATGAAGATATGGAGATTTATCCAGTGTCTCCCAAGTCATCAAGCTTTTCTGGAAGAATAGAATTTGGCATTTCTTCACTTGTGGGGGAAGAAGAAAAAAATTTTCCAAGGTTTAACAATTTTTGAAGTAATCAGATGAAGATATGGAGTTTGATCCAGTGTCCCTTAAGCTGTTACACTTTTTTGGGAGAATTGAATTTAGTATTTCTTCACTTGTGGAGGAAGAAGAAAATAATTCTTGAAATAATCAGATGTAGATATGAAGTTTGATCCAGTGTCTCTCAAGTGATCATGCTTTTCTGGAGGAATAGAATTTGGCATTTCTTCACTCGTGGATGAAGAAGAAAACAGTTTTTGAAGTAATCAGATGAAGATATGGAGTTTGATCCAGTGTCTCTCAAGCCATCATGGTTTTTGGGAAGAATTGAATTTGGCGTTTCTTCACTTGTGGAGGAAGAAGAAAACAATTTTTGAAGTAATCAGATGAAGATATGGAATTTGATCCAGTGTCTCTCAAGTGATCATGCTTTTCTGGAGGAATAGAATTTGGCATTTCTTCACTGTGGAGGAAGAAGAAAACATTTTTTGAAATAATCAAATGAAGATATGGAGTTTGATCCAGTGTCTCCCAAGTCATCACGCTTTTCTGGAAGAATAGAATTTGGCATTTCTTCACTTGTGGGGGAAGAAGAAAACACTTTCTAAGTAATCAGATGAAGATGTGGAGATTTATCCAGTGTCTCTCAAGCCATTACACTTTTTTGGAAGAATAGAATTTGGCATTTCTTCACTCGTGGAGGAAGAAGAAAACAATTTTTGAAGTAATCAGATGAAGATATGGGGTTTGATCCAGTGTCTCTCAAGCCATTACACTTTTTTGGAAGAGTTGAATTTAGCATTTCTTCACTCATGAAGAAAGAAGAAAACAATTTTTGTAATAATCAGATGAAGATATGGGGTATCTTCAGTTATAGAAATTGAATATTCAAAAGGAAGAACAATATACTAATTGCTTTTCTAATATTTTACTATCAAGTCAACAAAATTCAGAAATTTCTTCAAGGAAGAAATGAAGAAATTATTGAGGAATACTTCTGGAAATAGAAACAATAGCACTTCATTTCTTTTTCTTAATATAATTGATTGTATGATTTTCCTGGGCTTCCTTGCCCAAGATGACGTTAGAGGGGGGAGCGCCCCCCTATTTTTTTAAATGTAAATGTGATTGAATTTGGTTGGATTTGAGAGACCCTGATCATGGTGTATCGTTTGAAAAATGAAGGAGCTGAAGAAGTGGCACGTAAATCGCTATTATAGAGTTCTGAGTGCTTATAGCAGTTCTTAATTCGTGGAGACGTTTATTTGCTGCGCCGCCGAACAACGCTGTATGCGCGATATAATTTAACACGTTCCTGGTTATTTTTACTGTTCCGTGATTAATTTTCTGCCATTAAAAAGAATCATCGCCGTCGAATTTCTAGCTGCTCCGCGCTACTCCGTTCATTCTTATTTAAGACAACATCGTCTTCAGCCTCTTCTTCATTCAGAAATCACTCTGAACGTATACTTCACCTTCAATTCTTCACTTAAATATTTAGATGAAGAAATACAAAATTTATCCTTCGTTATGGTAATTCAATTTATTTCTTCTTTTCAGAAGATGCCTAAGAGAAGTGAATTGTTCGTTGGGCGAAGAAAATATAAGATGGTCGACCGTTTCATTGTGAAAAGGGTGGAGACCAAGTGAAGATAATAATCACCTTCCGTTCCCCGTAAATCTTTCCTTATGAACGATGGCGATAGAGTTGCCGCACGAAAATAGAGATTTTTTCCTGGCCCTCGTAAAATATTTATATGCGCAAATAGTCGGTAAGAGTCGAAAATAGGGATCCACCGTGAGCACGAAAAGAAGAAGTGGAAGAAGACATCGATAAGGGAGGCGAGAGACGATTTTCTTCTTTTTCTCACCCGGAAATATCTCTTTTGATCGGACTGCAGAATTTCTTCCCCCACAGAAAATCATCAAATTTAAATAGGAAGAGATACGTGAAATTCAAGCTTTGATGTTGATACGTTATTATACTTCAGAAGAAATATTTATTTCCTGGAGAATTTCAATTACAGAAACTTCTTCTAATATAATAATAATATTTGAAAATTAAATAGTGAAGAGATGAAAAATTGAAGAAAACCAAAGCTTTGGAATTATACAAAATGAAGAGAGGAAGGGGTAAATGGTAGGGAAGCAAAAATTAGAGAATTACAATTACAGAAACTTCTTCTAATATATATAATAATATTTGAAAATTAAATAGTGAAGAGATGAAAAATCGAAGAAAACACAAAATGAAGAGAAAAGGGGGTAAATGATAGGAAAGCAAAAATAAGAGAATTTCAATTACAGAAATTTCTTCTAATATATATAATAATATTTGAAAATTAAATAGTGAAGAGATGAAAAATTGAAGAAAACAGAAAATGAAGAGAAAAAGGGGTAAATGGTCGGGAAGCAAAAATAAGAGAATTTCAATTACAGAAACTTCTTCTAATATATATAATAATATTTGAAAATTAAATAGTGAAGAGATGAAAAATTGAAGAAAACAGAAAATGAAGAGAGGAAGGGATAAATGGTAGGGAAGCAAAAATAATGTCCTAAGGCTGTCTTCACCGGTGGATAAAGCTCTAAAATCCTTTCACTCGACAGATGTTGGAGACTGGAGGCGTTGGAGAATTTGAAGAGGTGACAAAATCGAGCCTCCGGTTTTATTGGAGAAGTGGACCCATTGCATTATCGAAGCAAGCGTTGGACAGCTGTTTCCTCGACCGATGAAATGTTACCGACGTTTTTGGGAATGAAACTGATCATCGAGACAAGACTGAGTGGTTTTTTCCAAGCGTGAACAGCTTGAAGATTCACCTAGAAGCTTGATAAAAAAAGGTTCGATATTCTCGGGAGAGAAATATTTATTTCTTCAGTTTCAATAAAATAATCATCAGTATTTATTTTATAAAAGTACATTTGTAATTTTTTAATTCTTTATTTATCTTTTTAGGTGTTCAAAATGTTCTTTTTAATGGCACCAATGGGAAACTTTAATTAAGTAGTTAATGCAGCCAGTTCCAACACCATTGAACCGACCAGCAAACAGAAATTAGTTGTCGACAGGCGGTTCGAATTATAAATTTCTTAGGAGGCCCCGTAACAGCTTCCTTTTTCTACCTTCCACCTCACAGTCAACTTTATTCTGTCGGTTACTTCAAAGGGAAAAACGTTTTCTTCTTTTGGATTCAGGATCTTGGTTTTTTTTCTTCCATAACAATTAACGCATTGATGCATATTTATTGATGAACTATATTGATAAATTAACTATACTTAATGAAGAAGTATAGAAATTATATAATTTTGCAAAAGAAGAAAATTGATTTATCAAATTAATTAAGAATTATAGAAATTATATAATTTATGTACTATATTAATAAATTAACTATAATTAATAAAGAATTTCTATAAATCATAGAAATTATAGAAATAGTTATAGAAATCTATAATAATAATTATAGAAATTCTTTATTAATTATGGTTAATTTATTATATAATTATAGAAATCTATAATAATAATTATAGAAATTATAGAAATTCTTATATAATTATGTAAGAATTTCTATACTTTCTATAATAATTATATAATAAATTAATTACAATTCTTTATTAATTTGATAAATCAGTTTTCTTCTTTTGCAAAATTACAAGAGTTTGTATGAATTGTTGATTGTAAATGTTAATCTTCCTTCTCTCTTGTATTTCGTTTACTGACAAGCATTTCTTTTTTTGTACAAGATCTCTGTGTGAGAGGAGAGAAGTCGTCGAGGGGACACGTCGACAGCTGCCACCAACATAAGATCCGGTTCACACGGCCCTCCCCACGCGTCCCCCTTGCTCGTTCTTTTTACACTTTTATAAGAGCTTTCTGAAACTTACACCACCGGTAGTTACAATTCTCAATCGATTTTACTTAACAGCTTAGAAGGTAGAAAATATTAATAATCTTATTTATTATGATAAGAATAGATCCATTGTATTTTTTTTGTAAACACTGTCAAGTACATGTATGTGTGTTTATTTTTAGAAGAAAGAGGAGACTAGTCGTGTGAAACTTTTTGCTAAGCAGCACTTATCAAGGACGTAGAATTTGCAATACCATCAGCGAGGAGACAGTGTTAGTGAGAATGTCTGTAAACAGGAAAACACTGTCCGCATTCATTCTCTACTGACCCACATTCGCAGAAGTCGCTATCTTTTCTTCTGCTCCTCTCGCCCTCGAACAATCGGCCATAACTCGAGCCATGGCTCATTGATCTGTCGTTTCTCGCTCTTTAGCATCCCATTTACAAGTTATTTCCATTGCATTAATCTCGACTGAATGGATATGGACTACTTTTAATGATTACTTCATCTCTTCAAAGGTTCTCTTATTTGTAAAATTCCTCTTTCAATAATTTGCCAAAGTTTATTTTAATTATATTAGGTGTACAAATTAATTCGGTACCTTTAATATTACACTTTCCTAGTTACTATTTTAAATTCGTTTATTCTCCCGCGCTTTTGTGAATTTGAAAAATGGCGCGAGATAAATTAATTCGGTACCTTTAATATTACACTTTCATTAGTTACTATTTTAAATTCGAACATTTCGAACTTTCATTAGTTACTATTTTAAATTCGATTATTTTCCCGCGCTTTTGTGAATTTGAAAAATGGCGCGAGAATATGATATTGATAAAAATAAATTCAATAATTGTAGTTACTATAACTCCTTAAAAATAAGCCATTAATTAAAAAAAGAAAAAGCACCGAATTAATTTGTACACCTAATAAATTAATAACTACAGCGTTATTATATAATACATGTATTGTAATTTAATAATTGTATCGCTTTAAAATTCGTATGGCCAAGTGTGGAGAATCTCCCACAGATAAAAAAAGAAGCACCTTCAAAGGCAGGGAAAGCAAGGACCGTTTGTCAGTGCGACGTCTCGTTCCTTCCTCCTTTGATGTTCACTGACACCCATACAAATGTATTTCTTTGAATCGAATGCCGTCAGGAGATACTGGTAGTTCCGATTCGAATTAGTAAATTAGTCGAAAATAGTGTGCGAGACGCGTACGTCAACGAAAATGAAACGGAAGAAAACCGACGGCCAGACAGATGATCCAACGACGTTGCGACGCTCTCCTATCTCCTCGTCCAGTGACAATACATGAAAAAAGAGATTTCAGTCAGAACATGAGCGAAGCAGACGTTGAAGGGGTTGGAAGTTGTAAGAACAAAAGGAATAAATGAGGCTTAGAGCTAAGAAGAAAGGAAAGTAGTAGCTTGAAGGAGTACATTTATGGTCCTATCTTTGTAGATAGTATTCATTAGGGACATTAAAAAAAAGGTGGGAAAAAATGATTCAATCCATGCTCCTGGGAAGTTGAGATCCCTTGAAGACATCTATAAATTGATCTTGTATCTCACAATAAGAGCATGACTTATATTTTGAAAAAAATTTATTGATTATCAATAATCAAATTACATTATTCAATGACATGTGGAATATATGACAGTCGTATATTCTCACATTTGTGACAGATTTCAGGAAACAGCAAACAATTTTTTTTCTCCTGTGAAAGATGATGGATTCATGATGGTCAGGTCAAAGGGAAATGTTAAGGTTCGGTTGCCATATAGGGAATGTACCATGGAGCTTAGATCCATGACAAAAAGACCGTCACCTTACACTCATATGAATAATCTGAATTTCATGAACTTGCATGATGATTCCACAATAAGAAGGAAACAAGGTTATCTCTAATTTCTCTTCTTTTATGCTTCAAACAATTACTGATCATTTTTCCTTTCAAGGTCCTAACAAAGTCAGGGTAGAAGGTGAAGATTCGCCACCAATAATTATTAGAAGTGGATGTGCAATGTTTCCAAGGTTTAGGTACATCAGGTGCTGCGTTATAATACTGTTGATAATCCTTGTCTGTGTTATTTTGATCAACCAGTTATTCCCTTATCCATTGCATGCTTCATGCATTATAAAATGGTACGAATACCTGTAATATACAGGGTGTCCCGTAATTCTTGTAATTCCCGGAAATGGGGGATTGCTAGGGTGATTCTGAACAAGATTTTCCTTTACCAAAATGTCGTTTGAAGCTTCGTTTTTGAATTATTAACGAAAAACACTGACCAATCAGAGCGCGCGTAGAGCGCGCGCTGAACCATGGGAGGGTTGGCTCTGAACCGCGCTCGGTCGTGAACAAACGCATTGGCACAGCGAGGGTATCAAAGGGAGCGTGCGATGAACGTTACATAGTCTTAAATTAAGAACAATATGGAATTATTCGTTATTCATTAACCCATTAACTGCTAAATTTTTTTTTGAATTTTTTGGACTGATAAGTTATATATATGTATATTTTTGGCGCCGAGTGGGGTACGTAAAATTCCAAAATTCCCAAATGGGGATCGTGGCAGCTAATGGGTTAATAACGAATTCCCTGGATACCCACGCTGTGCAAGTGCGTTTGATCACGACCGAGCGCGGTTCAGAGCCAACGCTCTCCTGGTTCTACGCGCGCTCTGATTGGCCAGTGTTTTTCGTTAATAACTCGAAAACAAAGCTTCAAACGACATTTTGGTAAAGGAAAATGTTGTTCAGAATCACCCCAGCAACCCCCGATTTCCGGGAATTACGGAGTTACGGAACACCCTGTATTTATTAAAATATTTTTAATGTTACTATACCCTTGGAACAGAAGTATCATATTTTCTTTTTTTCAGTATGAAATCACATTGCCATTTTTTTTCTACTTTTTATTTATAATAGTGGTGTGTTAATGGAGTAGTATGATTGTTTTGTCTTGTCCTATAAAAACCTGAGAAAAATGGGTTCTAAGATAACGTCTGTCTAGCTAGGCCGCTTCTGCAAACAATCCTGTGCATAGGGAAACTTAATATCACCCTGGATGAGGTTCGTGTATTTTCCTTTGGCTGGACGACGACACCGCTTGAAAAATATACGAGCTACACTTTTCAAACCTATGAGAACATCGCGTGTGCTTATTCTCGGTGTACTCCTTTGAGCTTTATGCTATCAAAAGATGGCAATAAATTTATCTTGAATAAGCTGATTGACTTAGGAAAAATTAATTTCATTTTGTATAATTTAGAAAACAAAGTTTGTCAATTAATTTATTGATTATATTAGGTGTACATACAAATCCTTTTTTTAATTAAGGATCTATTTTTAAGAAGTTATAGTAACTACAATTATTGAATTTATTGTTATCGATATCATATTCTCGCGCCATTTTTCAAATTCACGAAAGCGCGGGAAAATAATTTGAATTTAAAATAGTAACTAAGAAAGAGTAATATTAAAGGTACCGAATTAATTTGTGCACCTAATACTTAATGTTACAACTTTTTTTTTTGTGTTAGGACATTTGGAGAGACCTGTACTTATACAATGCAGAAATTCAGATGTCAGATACTCAACTGGTCATCTACAAACTGTGGACCACATGGGAACAGATGTCTCTACACAGTAAAAGATGTATTAATTCTATAATTTAAATATTCTATAACTTCAATTTATTTTTTCAGCTCAAAGAACCAAAACCAGATGAAAATAATGTGATCAGGGCTGTACACTTTGCACCCAACTTGAAAACTATGGAGACTATGAGGATTGCTTTTGAAGAAATTAACAACACTTGCACAGCAACGGTATTTAAATACTTTATTAATAATTTTAACTTAATATACTTTATTTGTAACCTTCCTTATATATTATCAAAGGGAGAATCTACATCAAACGAATGGTTCAGGGTATTCGATGATGGTACAAACTATTGCGATTTACATAATTTAGTGACTGAAACTGGTTTTGATAAAAGTTCAAAGTTTTTAGAAATGACAAACAATGCGATTTGTACACAATATACAATGGCAATATGCCAGTAAACAATTATTTGAATCCTTTTATATTTTATGAATATTTTTAAAAGCTGTATCGAATAAAACAGTGAATTGTTCTCATACCTTTATTAACTTTAATATTGTGCGAGGTTTTATAAAAATAAATTATAATTACGTTCGAGAATGATTAATATTGTTAATAAGTAGACTTACAAAATATGTCTTTTTTTTATAGCCTAAGTACAAGTTGCATTCAATCTTAATTATTAATACAAATACTATTCAAAATTCATTTATCATCTACGTTTTAATAATTCGAGGCAACTCGTCGAAGGCACAGTATCATTATTAAAAACACACTAACACAGAATATTATCCAATTATAAAATCGAATCTAAAAACATTCAGATAATAATAAAAAACTGCAGTTAAAATTATAGTAGATGAATACAATTAATATTTTCAATATTCCATCTGCTTGTTTAATTATTAGCTGTACAAATTAATTTAGTGCCTTTGGTATTACACTTTCTTAATTACTATTTTAAATTTGAACCTTTTCTCGCGTTTCTATGTATCTGAAAAGTGGCATGAAAATATAATAACAATAACAATTATTTCAATAATTAGAGAAAAGGCACAGAATCAATTTGTACACCTAATACAATTACATATTTTTGCAAACACAATCAGTCCAAGTAAATAAAATGAATTTACATTTACTAAAAAATACTTTAATCACCCATTATCGATGACCCATTACTGTGTCTCCTGCAATAGATGTGGCCATTTATTGCTATTAAACGACACTTTTTTCCACTTTTTGTCAAAGCATTGCATAGAACTCTGGACGACGCGCACGATGATGGTGTGGCACTAAAGAAGAATTATTTTATTTCCATAACACTATTCAAAATAACAAAGGTATCTTTTTACGTACCTTCTGGAAGGTGACCGGGCGTAAGAAGATCTAGCTTCTCTTCTCCTCAAGCGTAGCTTCAAATCGTGAGCGTCGGTCAGATTATCAAGGTCGTCGAGGCTTTCGTTTCTCTCTTCCATTAAACGAGAGCTTTCGAAATCGGTCACGTCCTCGGACATGCTAGGAAATTCGTTTTCGTAGCTGTCGATAAGATCCTCGCGATTCCTTCTTGAAGGCATGTACGAGCAGGAGAGCTCCTCGCGTTGCGTTAAACTTTGTCTGCTCCACGAGGCTACCGACTGCATTAAAGCACTACATTTCTCTGGAAGAATAATCGGTAATTTTATTAAGTGCTTGACGAATCGTTAACGAGGAAATTTAGAAACTTACGAATACAATTATTTATTTGATACCGAACGAGATTATAAAATTCTCGGGTAATTCTCTTCAGTTTTACGTAGAAGGATATAGAAGGATTCCGCGGTGGCTGAAGATTATTATAGGATGATGAAACGTAACTCCGAGAAGTTCCATTTAGATGACCATTTTGATTCACTATTTGTACCGGTTCTGCTCGTACGTTCCTTGATTTTAAACCGAATAGGCTTTGAATTCCAATCATCACAAAATGCACTGCAAATATGAATGTTATTTAGAGGATTTATGCACAAAGGAACTTTAAGATCTAGGTGACTTTAGGGACATTTTATTTCCCCACCTGCTTTCTGTCTACTATTACTAATGCATTAATAAAAATTCTGGGTAATTATTTAGTAATATGGACCACCCTCCGATGACCTTGACTTTAACATATGTTGCCAAGGTCACCCTCCTGAGTGACCTTCAGAAGATTCTAACCGTCGCTCATTTTTTATTCAAAAGTTATTAACCAAAAAATATTTGTAAAAATTATGATGAAAATGTCCATTCAAATTCAATTAAAAGTGAATGTTATTGATGTATTAGGTTAGGTTAGGTTAGGTGATATAAATCACCCTCGAGATGGGGCGCAAATGCGCCAAGGGTGAGTGGGGGGTCCCAGGGCCCTTCCTCAAGCCCAGTGCAGGCCATCGTGGGGGTTTTAGCAGGTAAGAATCCTGTACTACCCCCGGCCCCTCCCCAGGGGGGGCGGAGGTGTCTTGTAAAAGATTTCCCCCACGAAAAAAACAAAAATAAAAAAAAGGTGCTATGAATCAGGCCGCCGGCAACGCTTTCGTTATTATTTAAACAACGCTATTATTTTAGGAAAGCGTTGCAGGCCGCCAGACGGCTAAAACCTTCTGAAGGTTACTTAGAAGGGTAACCTTGACAACATATGTCAAGGTCAAGGTCATCGGAGGGTGGTCCGTATTACTAAATAATTACCAAATTCTGATACGTACTTGTCGTGATCAGCAGTATTAACACCGTCATTGAGGTGAAATCCAAACAGGCTTCCATGCCATGTTTGAGATAAGTTACTAAATTCAATGGTACGAGACCCAGAATTGTGATTCTAGTTAACAGTGGTGCGTGTACGAATGCAGCAACTACCATGGCAAGCAATAAATAAACGATATGCAATCCTATGCGATACATTCTCTGCATCTGTTCTCCTATAAACGTGAGAATGATATCAATTTCATTACTTTTATAGCATCAATATTAAGAATTTTTGTAAATACCAGTGTCACCAATATAACTAGTTAACCAGCTAAGTTTCTGATCCACTTCTGTACGCATAACGTTTGTTACGTTCCAAACGTATTGAATAGTTTCATTGATCTGTGCTAATTTTTGTAACGTTCGTTCATACTGCAATAGTGCCTCTTCGTGTTGGGCGAAGATTCGATTAGTGCTAGACTCTATTTTGTCCCAAATTAATTGCGCTTGATCCTGAATGTTTATCAAGTCTTCAAGCACCTCTTGGTGATTTTCACCACGTTCCATGGCTTGTTGCTCTAGATTTCTATTTGCTTCTTCTACAAAAATATATAAAAATTTAAATATTTTGAGAACTTAAAAAATTTTTTTAAATTGATTAGAAGAATTAATATATATTTTTCCCTCGTTTATTTACCTAATTTCTTTCTGATATCTTCTGTCATTGCGGCCAGTTGCGCGTGTCCTGATCGAATCAATGCTCTTTCGTTGCTTAATTCTCTCAGATTTGTGGCCACGATATTATGAGCTGATGTCTGGGCGTCTTTTAAATGCTTTTGCTGTTCCAACAATGCTACGTTACCTTTGGACAAAGAAGCTAATGCTTCTACTGTTTGTTCTTCCAACCGATCTTGACCTTCCTACATTAACACTCAATTATACAGGATAATGTAATTGATAGAGCACTTTCTTATACACTTACCTTTAATGAACTTAATGTTTTAATCTGGGTATGCGCTGTTTGCATTAACTTATTCACAGTTAACTCTGTAAGGGCACGGAACTGAGTACTACGAGCTGCATAACAAACTGCCCTCGCTCTATTACTCATTAAATGGTACGCATTCCACATGTCTGGATCCATGTCTGTGGTACATTGTTTTAAAGACTGAAAAAAGAATACTCTATTCACATTCAATAAGAATATTATTACACGTAACATTCCTCTACTGTTTCACATTGATTTTGTGTATTATATAAGTGAATTGTTATTACTTATTTTAAAATTGTTATAAAATTAATTGATATGTGAAAGCAGCTTGATGTGTACACATAGAGAGTACTTGGCACTATGAAACTCCAGAAATATCTCAGTGGTGGTCTCCCTGTATTCTAAGTGGGGGAACTGCAGGTTTGAACATGCCTCAGATCACCCCTCTAACATACCCTTTCATATACAATGAATTTAAATACAATCTGTTATCCTACTTTGTTAAAACTGTTAATGATGAAAAGCTTTTAGAATATGAAAGTCCCAAATATTTGTAAGAAATTTCATTTTATTGCAACTATATAGATGCATAGAGAATTTTACCATTTCTTCAGTGCATGGAAACATTTTTCTGCCTTCCACTGCAGCTTGACAGTTCAAAAGATTGACACTCAGTTTAGCCAGCTCTTCCTCTGTCATTCCAGTGCAAGAAGTTTTAATTTTCATAATGACTTTATGCTGGCAAGTCTCTAACGGCGATGACGTTTGAATCTCTGTAAATTTTGACGCTTCCTGAAGAAATTTTTCATCTTCTGTCATAGATTCATATGGAATAGAAATCAATGGTACTCCATCTGCCACTAAAACTGTAGTATCATCCGTATCTCTTCTCCAGAACCATTCAAGTACTGAAGCTCTTCCATCTCGACAACTCAGTGTCACAACAAGAAGCGTGAATAAACATACGCTCTGCATTTTCTAGCAGTGTTTCTAAAAATATAGAGAAAAGCTCTTTAGTGATTTGATTGTTAATTATAATCTTATTCTAATTAGGTATTTAAACTCATTTGTATTACCTAAAATGAGAAAATGAAAGAGATCGTTCCCTACAATTAATTATTACTTGGCAATCTGTCAGAAGAATAAGAGTTTACTAAATTAGCAAAATTATTTTTGTAATGAGCTGCTATAAACAATAAATAACTTTTATGTCTGTAATGATACAAACATGAAACTTCTGAAGAGTAACCTGCATTTGACAATCACTTTCACCGGTCAATAAAGAGAAAATGTTCCTTTATAGTTTGTAAAACTAACAACTTCATTTATATTATCGATAATTTAATGATATTAGTGTGTGACAGATAAAAATAACTGCTTCGCAGGTGAGACGCAGTGACAAGTATTTATTTTCTTCTCACCTGTGAACTATAGCTTGTAACGGACACAGAGCGCTGTGATGCGTCAGTGGAAAAATTTGAAATACAAATTCCCGTCGTATTTTATCAGGAATCTATCCATAAATCTTTATTTAATTGTTACAAACGTACAAGTTTATGCTGTATTATAATTGTTATTGCAATTTATATACGAAAAGTTATGTTTGAAAGATTTGAATTCTCTGTTTAATACGCTCGAAGTATCGATCAATCAGAGGCTTGCATTTTGTGACGCCATTACTGTTACTTTTTAAATAGACCAATCACAGCGCTTCGCGGGTAATAAGTTCACTTGCGCGGTCAATATGGCGGTCAATGGCGCTAAAATCAAAAGCGCACGGACGTTAGGGGGCCGGCTTGTCAAAAATAAAAATTTATTTCTCTAATATCGTTTAATAAAAATGTTTATTCTCCTATCATATATTTACAAAAAATAATTTACACATTTTGTACAAGTTATTTTCTATACAAAAATTAAATACTATATTATTTTTTCTCTGGAACAACTTCGCTAATCCCATACATTCCTGCTAACAATCTTCCATGAGAAGTAGGTACTGCTTCCTTTGGCGCCAAATATGGTCCCTTTTCATCCATATATACATATCTAAATTATTGTTAAAGATTCATCAAAAATATTTACACAATGAATGTAAATAAGATAATTAATTGTTGGAAAGGATACGGTAATCGCAAAACCCAGTAAGCACTCTGAGAAAGTTTAATCGGTTCGTCACAACCAGTGACAAAAATTGGGCAAGGTGGAGGTCCTGGTTGTACTCGAGGATTCAATGTAACGTGAACAGGTGCTTTCGGTGTAACCACGTGAATTCTCATTAGTTGGGCTATCAGTGGTTTCGTTTGTCTAAACAATTTTAACTATTAATATTTATATCTTTACATAATTATGAAGAATCATGAACAGTTATCTACCTGCAAGGGCATGGAAAATAAAGGGGCATATCTGCTGTGCTGGATGTCACTTTATTCCCACTGTCTTTCACGATTCCATTTCCAGTTGCTTTTAAAACTTTATCCGGAGCAGATGCCATGAATCTATGTCCTCGTGGACACTCATATTCCACTCCAACGAATATTTTCACTACAAATTCTTTACCACCTTTAGATTTCCGACCACGAATGGTGTTCATATTCTGGAAATTCTTTCCTCTTGGACAATATCCATGGGTCCCATGGTCACCTATTGTAGGCCACAAAGAACCTCTCTCTTTTTGATGTTCTAGTCTAACAGAACACTACATTATACAAAATGTACATCTAATTTAAAAATAGTATACAAAGAAATACTACCTAACGGTTACATCCCAAGGTAAAAGGAATGCAGAAGTGGGCAGAATACCGGCTTGATGCTGAAGGCCTAAATTGTGCGAATACAGGCTGCTAGGACCGAGACAAACCAGAGACCAGCTGGAAAACTGTGGCAGCAAGCCGGCTGGGGATTCTGTATGAAGCATTCCTGGCAAATATTCTGTGGTCGATGGTTGTCTGACGAGAGACTTCTCTGTAACATCTGAACACGTTAAACATAACGTTTAAACGAACTTTTTGTAGAAATTACCTCTTGCATTGTCCGCGTCGCTATCAGAAACCTCTATGACAACCTTGTGCGCATCACTCGGTGTTAAACTAGTTTTACTGCTCAGCTTGGGCACATCCTCGTTTGTTTCACTCGTGGGTGGTGATTGACCACCGCTTCCATAAGGAGTACGAATATCATCTAAAAATTTAATATTCATTGTATCTTTCGCTTCAATTTAAGAACAGTGTTCTTAAAATAAAAATACCATTCAAAGTGTTCACTCCAAGGCTACAAGCTTGAGTGTTCCCTTGCGGTAGAGGTGATTCTCCATGGCCAAAAGAATCTTTCCGCTTTGTTGAGAACAACTGTGCTGGCCTGTAGTTGTGCGTGCTGGGTTGAAAAACTGGAAACTGTATGCTTTCTAATTGTGCGCAACCACATTGCTTTGCTAGTATCTGGAAATAGTCATAGTTGGCCTGTCGTAAACTGAAAGGATCCTCCCTTGAGCCTTGACAACGTCCACAGTTGCAAGCACAAATGTATCTAACTCCGCTACAATGCTCTCTAATTGGCAAATCGCTGCAATATAAAACTTTTCATTAGTATACCAACACGTGTAATGAGATACGATCAAATTGAAACTCTACATACTTGTCGCTGTCTCTTTGGTCTGCTTGTTCCCCACCTCCAGCACCTTCGCTTCCTCCTCTGTGTATTGGATTAGTACAGGGATTGCCAGTTAAGGAAAGGACCTCGCACATCTGTCTCCCAGAACGCCAATGTTTCTCGCACTCTGCTTGCAGCTTCTCGCTAAATTCCTCAAAGAGAGGACCTCGTGCGTGCATCTCGAAAACTGCCATCGCATGAGCCAGCTTTGTCTCGTGATACGCTCTGATAATTCGGTGAAAGATATTTTCGTTAGTTTCTTATCTAACCATGGTGGATGTTTCGTTCTGTACCTGGTGTAATGTTGCGGTAGATTTTCTTGATACGTTTGCAAAGCTCGGGGAAGCACCTTACTGCATCTGCTTTTACTGAACTTAACATCTGTGTCCAGCAAACTGTGCAAAGTTAGCAGTTCCTTGTCCGTTCCATGTATGAAATAATCGTACACCTTGTTCGCCACTTCACAGAATATTTGGACACTGGGTATCTAACCAAAAGAAAATAACAGCTTTATTATTTCTAATAAATATTTAAATAAATAAATATTATTATTTCTTTGACTGCTAGTATCTTTCTTGATTTTAGAATCCTAACCTCGAAATATGCAGGTGTAGAGTGTCTTCCAACATTGTCGTCAAAACCCCTTGCAAAGGCTAGATTTATATGTTGTTGTAAAAACGATCTGAAGGATCTGGTTTCTGTAAATCCATAAGACAGGGTTACTTTGATATTTTAATTGTAATTCAAAGTTTCATTTACCAGTTTCTGTATCGTCCATTTGAACATTGGAATCTTGACTGGCCAGACTCCTCGAAGTACTACCACCAGAACTAACTTTACAACTTTGCATAAGTTTTCTTGCCATGTACCCCAAAATATCTCTGGATTCATTTGTACCAGTGTGTACATAGACGAATTCTTGGTTAGCCGGGATCGCGAACAGAGAATTAGAGCTGTAAATGAATAAACATGTTTTATCAAATAATCATTTTTATAGCATAAACATTTTAGTACCTTATATTGGTTACTATACGGTTCTTCCTTAACACTTGATAGATTTGATCTTCCAAGGAATGTTCTAGCTTTTTAATATTAGCTCCACTGGTAGGATCTTGAAATACAGAGGGGCAGGTTTCAAAGTAGAATAATACTCTTGGGGAACAAGGTCTAACATTGGACACCCAGTCTTTAGGTAAACTATAGATGCAACTCAGAACATCGGAAAGTTGTGGAGAGACTTTTTGCCTAAAACAAAATTAATTTACAAGTTTTCTATGCATACAGAGTTATACTTTTGGAAAGGATAGAAATTCTTACCTTACAATGTCTATGGCTCTAAATAAATGTACATAACTATAGTCAAATGTATGAGTTGGATGAGTAAGAACAATTACATGAGATATATGAAACAAAACGAGTAATGCTCTAGCATATTTGTCCCTCATGTGAGCCCATACGCTAAGAAAATCTTTACAGTCTTGTTTCTCTATGAATCTGTCGTACTCTGTAACCAGAGTATGCGTGTCTAATAGACCTCTCAAATGCAAATATATTGTCCTGTCTTTGGTGTCATAATATCCTTCTATTTCACACTAAAAATAACGTAACATAATTGATTACATTTTATGTATTTTAACATTTCTAATATACTGAACAGTTTCTTACAAATGAATCCTTGTTCACTTCGGGCTCATCCAGGAGACCCACTTGCAGGATTGAACTCAGCATATTTGTTTTGCATCCTTTTGCACGATATTGTGACTTTCCAAATACAGATACAATTACAACCTTTTTGTCTGTAGGTACAAAACTGAAACATTGTTATTAAATGTATTGTTAATTTTTAAAAGACCTGTTTTATTAATATTTCAAAGAATCAATTCTAAAATTTGGTATCTTTATAATATTGTCCTTAGACCTTCTGCTTGTACATTGTGAAAGAAATTTGTGTACAATGATTATTTACCTTTCTATATCACATGGAATTCTAAATTTTTGTGGTCTCATTATATGTTTGTTTATGTTTAAATAATACAGGAGTTATAACATTGTAATCATAAACAAATCGAAGGCAATGAATACGGATTCAACAAGACTGGTGCCGAGTGCCTTTGTTTTCAAGGGGTCTTGAGTTTATGCCTCGAGAACGAGCGCCATCTGCTCTATTTTAACATAAAAATGTAAAACACTTTGCATTGCAAAGTTAACTACTTTTTAGAAATCAGTCAAAATCAGCACAACGTCGAAAACTTATTAAAATAATTGTTCGAAAAACTGGCATTTTAAAAAGACCGCCATAAATTAAATATTTTTAAAATTCGATGCTTGCGCCATCTATACAAAAACGGTGGAAACTACACAACGACTTACCGACCAAGATTTCGGACGGCGACCTACAATATCAATCATAGTGTCCGTTCGTCTAGTGTATTTTGTAATTTCAAATAAATTATTGAAATTCTAAATTATTGAATATTCGAAAGCTTTTATCAGATGATTATGTTAATTACTTTAACGCTTTTATTAAATAATTAGATTTATGACATTTGCTGCGGTTAAACTTGGACTCCAAAGTCAGTGCTTTTTCACTAGACAAACGGACACTATGATTGATATTGTACATGAAGCTAGCCGGAAGGAATAATAAAATATGACTATTTTTAATTTTTCTTAGTGTATTTCGTTTGTAAATCGCTTGTGATTGATTGTGAGTCTATTTTTAACGTTTGTGACAAATTAATTCTTTTGTAATTAGCAATTTTATTTCAGTCATGATATGAGCCGGAACTTTTTAGTAATTTTTTATAATAAATAGATTTTGTGATAACTGCTAGCTGTAATTGATTGGAAATCGTTTGTGATTTACAAATATATCATTTTCATTGTTTGTGAGTGAATAATTTTCTAATTATTTACAAATTTGTTTTATAATAAATAATTGTAGTGCGCATGCGCAAAATACACTCGGGACTCTTGCCAACAGAGAGCGTATCGGGGCGTTACCCATAGTTCATATTCTATGGACAAGTGACAAGAGTTCTTTTAATTTTTTGGAGCAACTGTCATTGTGCTGAAGATCTTTTATAATGAAATAAGTTACCAAGCCGAAAGTATTTAAAGGCATTATGTAATAACAAAAATAACACAAGATAAATATTAGATAAGTATTTATTAATTAAACGATATTGCTGTCCTATTGCTTTGGATTCTCCTTTGATATCTTCTGTGATTTCTTCTGACGGTAGTATTAAATCTTCGTCTTTTAGTAAACTTAGAAAAAAGGAAATTGCACTTGTCACCACTTTTGTGCCATACAAAAGTGTAAAAAGTGCCATTCAAAAAAAGTATAAACAGATTATCAAAAAAAGTTCATTGAACGATTTATTAAAAATGTACACAAGAACATTGAGTTTATAAAGATCCCTTTACAAAAAAGAAATAAAACTTCTGTAAGAAAATATATATGTACATACCATACAAATTTGTTTAATACTCAATGAACATTTTTTTTATCACTTCACTATTTAGTACTATAGGTATTCATTGTTTAATAACCGTTACAACAGATTGTTGTCTTTTCCTTTATAAGTTCAACATTATTGTAGAATTGCTTTTAATTATTAAAAATATAATATGGCTATTACTTGTTCGTATGTTCTCTTAAATGAAATAATAAACGCTTAATTCTTAGAATAAACTTACAGATAGAAGGAAGCACGTTATACATATGTTTTCTCTTAAACTGTAGTAGTGGTTTGGTCTTTTGTTTTCAAGAATATAATTAATCTTTTCTAGCCACCCTGGGGCATGCTCTTTCAAGTAAATTTAGGAAATAATCATGTGGAAGTCCACATGATATTTGTTGTATGTGTGTCATTAGTAGATTGTACGTTTCTTCTTCGTAGATAGCATAAGTATTTGATAAATCTAATTCATCGTAAAGCTGTTTCACGCGATTCGATTTTTCTATATCAGACTGACCATAACAGTCCTACATAATTAATAAAAGTTATTAGTGTTCTTATTTAACAAAAGAATTAAAAGATACTATAAAATATTATTAACAGTATATACGTTTACCTTTAAAATTTTTCTTTGTTCTGGTGTAACACGTTGTAGCGCTACCACAACAAGCCATGAACATTTTCCCTCCTCTATATCTGAACCAGTTTTCCCAGTAGCTTCCGTGCTTCCATAACAATTCATATAATCATCTTGCACTTGGAAAAAGTGACCCATTTCTAACAAAATTGTTTTTGCTTTCCTACACATTTCTGGATCTTTTATGCCAGCCTATCATAAATATTTCATATACATAAATATAGGATTACAAAAATTAAGATTTGAAAGCTCCCCTTGTAAAGTAATGTATATAATACATATACAATTAAATGAAACTTACAAAACACATTGCCATTGTAGTTGGTAACACAAACGTGTAATAAGCTGTTTTATATTTTACGATAGAATTATACCGATCCATTGTAAAGAGATCCAAATTTGATTTTTTTCCAAAATTTGTTGATAATAAATCAAGACATTGACCCATTGACGTTTTTAAACTAGTCTAAAAATTTATCTTCTGTACCATAATACTGATTTATTTTAGAAATTTTTTAGCGTATACTCTTTACTACTTACATCTAAAAATAGTTCCATAAGGCTCACATAACAATCTTTTGACCTGAAGTGTTTTCTAAGTAATTGATATACGCACATTTCCAACATCATACCATCATTTATAGCTGCTAATCCAATATCATTGTATAAGTACCAGCATGGTGCATTGCGCCTCATTGTTGATTGATCTTGAATATCATCAATCACCAATAAAAATGCTTGCAACTATATGAAAACATTATTCTATTACTATATGGAAAATATTCACATTTTTAAGTTAACCGAATAAAAAAGTCAATACCAATTCTATACACCAGCCTAGAATTCGGGATAGACGAATATTTTCTTCTGTCAATTGATCAACAGAAGCAAACGATTTAAAGGCATACACAACTGATAATGCTCTGTTCTTTCTTCCTTCAGGAACATTATACTGTAATACCTGAAAATTAAAAAAAGGATGCACTTTTTATTATTATTATATTTATAGTATTTAATATGCAGAAAAAATCAGTCAGTCAGTTTTCCCACACTTATTTTGAAATAACTAATATACAGGATATATCAAAAACATATTCTATACATTTCAATAATGCCTGGAAGCAGAACTGGAACCATAGTGCATCTTACACCCGAGCATCACTGTATATCATTTCAATCATCTATGTATATATTTTAATTCTTAAGTTACAAAAGGATACCTTCGCCATCCATTTGGTAACATCTGGTATATCAAGACGACGACCAGTATCAGTGAGATCTCGTACAACATCCGGCCATATAGCCATTAATTCACGACTTTCATCTTTATTTGATAAAAATGTGGACTCAGTTACCGAGTACGTCGTTCGTACATCGGCGCTGTTTGATCTAAAGAATAAAAATTGTAATGTTTATTAAATAATTAATGTATACATATTACATCAGAAATTTTCAAGGGAGTTTTGGGTTTCCCCCACTATAGCCCCTTATAAGACATTCCACTGTTCTCACTTAAATGTAACATCCTGTATATGGTAGCAAGCGTGTTAAACTAATAATGTGAAATAGTAAATTAATAAATTAAATGATTATGACGTTATTAATAACTGTGATTAAAATGGTACTTTTCACGGTAACAGTAAACATGTTTAATTTCTCCATTACAGTACTTTTCAGATAAATATAACGTGACCGACACTATACGTACTTTGAATTCATTTTGAAGAAAAGAGATTCGTTGAACCGGTATGAATCTAATGCAGAATATGTTGTACGAGCTACCTTACATGCTCTATATATATTCATATACAAAAATATACAGGGTGTCTCTATTTATTTCCAAATAATTCAAAATGGTACATTTTTATGGACTTATGTACAAGTAGGTGTAATAGGGATTAGTAATACATTTTTTATTTCAACATAAATGAAAAAAAATATTGAATTTATTTCATAGTCTGTAATTATTGAGATTAGGTTACACCTCACCGATTTTGATGAAATTTAAACATGTTGTAAAATTAGACATTTTGAACAACTTTTTCCTATACGTATAACCGCCGCTCGGCCTTAGTTTTCGAGATATTTTCGAAAAACTGTTGAAACTAACACATTGAATTCCGGCCATCCGTGTGTGTCCGTGACAACGTACGCATTAGTATGGGATCGCCGCTGTTCTACTACGCGACCGACATCAATATATATATACATATATAACGGGTGGGCTTAAAAATTAAATTTAACTAATTTTCATGATTTTGAATCTCACGAGGGGAACTACCCAAGTCTTACGCTTTTGCCACCTTGTAGAGCTCGTCGCCCTGAACACGCCTGTACCCTCTTTTGGGGGCAGATGGCTAATTGTTTAAAAGATATTAACAGTTAACGTTAGTTACTCCTTACATTGAGAAGTATGACAAACTAACACATACAAACGGTTAGCTCTATGATAAAACACAATCTAACTGTCCATAGTTCTCAAATTTTTTTTCTTTTTTCTTTTTAATGATAATTTGTTTTGTTTTGAATAACTATTACAATTGTGCTATAATCATTGTATTTATTAATAGTTAATTATATGTGCTGCAATTTTTATAGAATTTAAGTTATTTTTTCTATCCAATACGTACATACATTAACATCCTTACCGCATTCGAAATTTACACGCGTTTATTTGTTTTTACAAGTTCAATTTATTTAGTTACATTCATTTATACTACCGTGCAAATTTATAATTCGTATTTACAACATTAGAAGAAGACGCAGAAGACATTAGTGAAGAATCAAAAACAATAGGGCAGAAATTATTGTATATTCGTATTTTATGCAAATTAATTGTGTGTGTGTATAATAACAAATAAACGCGTGTAAATTTCGAATGCGGTATTGGATAGAAAAGATAACTTAAATTCTCTAAAAATTGCAGCACAAGTAATTAATTATTAATAAATGCAATGATTATAGCACAGTTGTAATAGTTATTCAAAAAAAAACAAATTATCATTAAAAAGAAAATAGAACAAAAAATTGCGAACTATGGACTTGAACCGTGGGCTGTTAGATTACGGGTCAAGCGTTTTGCCGCGGAGCTAACCACTTGTATGCGTTAGTTTTTCATACTTTTAAATATAAGTAGTCACTAGCTTTAATTGTTAATATCTTTTAAACAATTAGCCGTTTGCCCCCAAAATGGGGTATAGGCGTGTTCAGGACGACGAGTTCTACAAGGTGGCAAAGTTTCATTAATAAGTGAGCGTAACACTTGGGTAGTTCACCTCATGAGATGTATGACAAACTAACACATACAAATGGTTAGCTCCGCGGTAAAACGCTTGACTCGCAATCTATCTGTCCATAGTTCCCAAATTTTTTCTTTTTTCTTTTTTATGATAATTTGTCTTTTTTTGAATAACTATTACAACTGTGCTGTAATCATTGCATTTATTAATAATTAATTACATGTGCTGCAATTTTTAGAGAATTTAAGTTATCTTTTCTATCCACGTACATTAACATCCTTACCACTTTTTTGTTACCGTATTTTAGAGAAAGAAAAGGAACTCGGTTTACAATATTTATAAATAATACATAATATATAAAAATATATGAAATCATTTATCTTGTTATTTTTGTTATTTTATTATAAAAGATCTTCAACAGAATGCCAGTTGCTCCAAAAAATTAAAAAAACTTTTGCCCATAGAATATGAAACAGAAAATTTAAACGATTTCCGCTATGCGTAACGCGCCGATACGCTCTCTGTTGGCAAGAGTCCCGAGTATATTTTGCGCATGCGCACTACAATTATTTATTATAAAACAAATTTGTAAATAATTAAGAAATTATTCACTCACAAACAATGAAAATGATATATTTGTAAATCAAAAACGATTTCCAATCAATTACAGTTATCAGTTATCAGTTACAGAGTCGACTATGGAAAACTTGTCATCTAGTAACTATGGTCTCTTGTGAACTGCACTGTAGCTGCACGTTCACCAACATAAGGTGTAAAATTTTATTATCGATTTATGAAAGAGGGACAAACTTCATTATATTCGATTGTTTATTGCCTTATTGCCTAGGGCTCCATGAGATTAATATTTACATGACAATTTCGTGAATCGAATAGTTATTCGCGTAGGAGAAACCATAGCTCGTCAGCAAGTATTAGTTTGATGTTATAGTAGAAAGCTGACAAGCTTCTTTTCCAACAAAGATGGTATTAACTAAGGAATATCGTATATGCATGCCGCTTACCACGGAAGAGGTAATATATTTTTCAAAATTTAACGTTCAAAGTCACTATATTCTTCCACAATTAAACAATATGAAATTTAACTGAAACAAGAGATGTTGCTTTCCTCAGTTAATATTTTATTTTCGATCATTTCATTTTAATAGTATTTTAATAGTCGCAACTTGTTACAAAAAAACTGCGTTTTTGATGTCATTGATTCTTTTGCAGTATCATATAGGCCAACTTTACATGATTGCAAGACATAGTCATGAGCAATCGGATAACGATGAAGGAGTTGAAGTGGTTGAAAACGTAGAATGCGATCACCCCGAACATGGAAAGGGTCAATACACAGAGAAAAGAATTCATTTATCTAGGTGACAATTAAAATAATGCTTGTTTCATAAATCTAGCGTCTTTCAGAGGCAGACATTCTTTATTCCTTTATTATATTGCAGTAAATTACCTTATTGGATACAATCGGTTCTTCCACGAATATTTTACGTAACAGAGAAAGCATGGAATTATTATCCTTTTACTATAACAGGTATATTAAAATATAAACTGTGTTACAAATATAATTAACAGGCTATTATAATAGTAAGTTAGAATTTAATAACATACTTTTTTTTACATGTTATCTTCAATAACGAAGAATATACTGTAAGTATGAATATCTTAGCTTAATTTCAACTCTTCTGTTACATTATACGCTTGTCCCTTTCAGTGTTCCTTTATTCCAAAATTTCATATATCCATAAGAACTCGATACAAAGATGACAATGGATGTACAGAAAATGTATGTAAATCAATATATGCTCTATACCAAAAGGACACATCGCACTATTATTTATATGATGTATGAAATAGTGTTTAGGTCTTTCTCCCATCGAAGTTCTGCATCGCGAGGTCGACTATCTGGACATAGCATACGATGAAATTTCTGCAAAGCATTACAAAGAGGAAGAGGTATTACAAAATTTAGTATTTCCTCATTTCTTTGCAAGTACTTGGCGCAATGAAACAAGTATTTCTGTATCGCAGGATCCAAAATTTTTTCAATCTAAGCGAACTGGTCGTGGACCATTGGTAGAAGGATGGAGGGAAACAACGCAACCGATAATGTGTTCCTATAAATTAATCCATGCCTCTTTCGAAGTTTGGGGCATGCAAACACGAGTGGAAGACTTCATTCATAGAGTAGTTATTTTTTCTAGATATTGTTGTCGCTATTAACCTATTGTTGACCGGCAATTTTACAATAATAATATGGGATATTGTAAAAATTTTACAATTCCATATTACAATATTCCATGTTGTAAAAATTTTACAATTACATATTACAATATTCCATGTTGTAAAAATTTTACAATTCCATATTACAATATTCCATGCTGTAAAAATTTTATAATTTTACAATTCCATATTACAATATTCAATGTTGTAAAAATTTACAACAAATTAAAGTAAATGTAAGTGCGAACGCGAGTTAACTCGTGACCGGTCAACAATGCGTTAAAAATGGTAAATTGTACTTGCTGAACGTCGTATTTTTATATACACAGTGTATAAGGGATATTTTACTATTGGGCCATCGGCAAGCATTCGCATGGATCGACGAATGGTACGATATGACGTTGGAGGATGTTCGGAGGTTCGAGCAAAAGATGCAGGCTGAGACTAACGAGAAAGTACGTCTGAGAAATATGACCAGTGAAAAGCCATCGGCTCCTACTACGCCAACTTCGTCGATACCATCATCGCCATTACCTAAATCACCTACATCGCCTACACAGTCTAATCGGTCGTGGTTTTCTTGGTCATAGCCGCAATTCTAAAGGAATAAGATTAGTTACCGTGCTAATCTGTCTAGGGAACCTAATTAAATTTGTGCAAAAGACGCCCGGCATTTTCGATTCTGTGTGTATATATGTGTGTGTATCCACATTATAGCCAGAAGGTATCTGTAACCCGAACACATTCTTAAAACTTAGAGTTTGAATCATAGAACTCTGAGTTTTAACATTAAGGACTGTTGTATTTGCTTTAGATTCTTTTTTTTTTTTTTTTCATGAAAGATCGTTAACAAAAAAATATTGATTATTTATATCGTGTTAAATATTTTAATAATTTAATTAACTTATGGTACTAAGCATAAAGCTGGTTGCAAGTAATATTTAAAAAAAAGAAAGGTACATAAATTTCATGTGTTGCAGATTCTTAATTTGGTTAATTGTTCTCAAAATTATAGGTAGTTCATTTGTTAGGTTATTAGTGCATTGATTGTACGTAAACTTATGTTGCTGAAATAGTTATAGAAATAAAAGGTTGAATGTAATATAGCATTAGTGACACTTGTACCTAGTCAGGGTAAACATTGTAAAGCATTTACAAACAATGGATGCATTAATTTATTGATACAGCCACTGCCTTAAATTGGCTCGATGCATGAAACGCTATAAAAAACTAATAGCATCCAGCCTAAGGATCATTGAATATTGTAAATGCATTTCTGTGACTGCACAAAGGTATACATACTGTTTTTTGATTAAACTACAAACTCATGGCACTACTGAATTGCATTCTTTTTTTATTTAACAACGAAGCTTACATTAATAGGTAACTATATTAATTTTTTTAATTAGCAAGCAAATTGTACATATAGAAAAACAGGTATAACATTTAATTCTTGCAATATTGGAATAAAACTGTAGGCTTAAATTGAATTTAATTTAATTTGATACGTTATTTTCAGTTTTTAGTTGAATCCAAGCAAATTTAATGGTATATTTTGTTTAAGACTGTTTTGGGACCAAAATCCTGTTGAAAAGGAAGTAAGAGAAAAATGAAAAAGCACAAAGACTCGCACACTGCTCACTTGTAAGCTTGAAATAGGCAAACCATACATGCTGCGCCATGAAAGAAGCATTTGGTATCATTATTAAAATTGTCACTATTATTTCTATCAACCGTGGCATATATAAACTTGTATTTATTTTTAAAGGTATTCAGCATGGAATATTTAATTGCCTTTTCAATGTACGTACATGTATTTAAATAAATGTTTCAAATTGTCAGAAATCTGTTTTCAGTTGTCTGTTCTGCAGCAAAGGATGAGCTCGTGTTGAAAAAAAAAGTTTAATTGAATTGCATAAACCTAAACATAATGACTGTCATAGGAATCCAATATGAAATTTGAAGAACATTCTCCAGGACACAGAATACCAAACATCCTGATCCTCCATCATTTAAATGCATACTTTTATTTGCATCTTTATGGCATCAGAATGAAACAGTATCCATTGCAAAACAAACATGAAATGTCCTTGAAAGATCCTTGACAATTCAAGACAAATACTTTATTACCTGTTTTATTTATTTATTCATTCTCATGGAAAAAGAAAATTTATTTAAACTTTATATTTTATTTCCAGTAAAACATTGTATGATAAAGTCACAATTAAATCAAACATCCTTGAAGATAATCATTCGGATCAGTCATCGTCATTCTTCATCAATGAAGAGGAGGCCTGAATTTTCATCTTCCTAAATCGGCACAAAATTAATGCACTTCAATCAGCGAATACGACACATCTCGCACAGGACTGCTTGACCCAGTTACATTCCTTTAATCATCAAACTATTGAATTCATCAAACAGAGAATCGTGTAACGACGGAAGGGACAGAAGGAAGCTCGCCAATCGATCCACGCTAACGCTATATATATTCCCCTTAAATTTCATTTATGCAATAAGCTCAACAGACACGTATCAAATTTCCAGGAACGATTCATAAAACTGTCAAGAATAATTTCAAGCTACATGTCTGTTTTGCATTCTCCATTTCACATCGCTTTCCCATCTGTTTTACGCTATACTGGCTATGCAAATACCTTACTTATCGCTGGCAGATGAAACGGATAAGCATTGTTGTTTTCTAATTCATAGCTGACTAAAAATATTTGGAAACAGTCTATATTATCAAGGTTTATCTAACTTCAGCGATTATATGATGCTTTTGTAAAATATTAAGAAAGTAAAAGGTCTATTTATAGGATTGAACTTATAGAGCTTATATTATTAGGATAATAGGGTGTAGAGCCCATGTATAGTATTGAGTTTACATAGCACAGAGTTTAGGTATAGTGTTGAGCTTCCCCATATTATAGCGTTAAACATAATGGGATAATTAAACAAAGAAAAGGGAACTGTAATTGGAAATAGTATTACTATTATAATAGTAATTAGTAATTAGTAATACCATTGTTAGTTAACAATGTAAACTATGGTACTTTTACCACCTTCATTTCTTACCACTGTGTTAATAGTACAATAGTTATAATTAGAAACATTTAACGCATCGTTATACGATTTTAGTATTTTATTTGTTACGTAACGGTAGGTCGAAAATAGTAATAGGTTAGTTACGGGTGATAAAAAAGGTAGACGTTCGGTTTTCAATGGAAGAAAAGAATGGTCACGTGGCAATGGGTATATTGGTCACGCGTCTCAAGGTCCGCGTGAGGCCATCATCGACACGTGAACGTTCGTCCCAGCAACGGGATATTGTATTTTAAAATTAATGGAATTTCACCTGATCGACACTGATCGTCCTATTATTTCAATTAATTAACAGTTCCATGCGTTTCATAACCGACGATCCGTTTAATTAACACACCATCCGGTCCTGTCGTCTTTACGCCCTCGCTGTTGCGTAACCAGCGTTACAAACAACCGAATTTACCTCCTGTTTCAGTGAGGAACATTTCACTATCTTTCTAAAAAAGACTATTGTTTAAGGAGGATTAACAGTGAATAGACAATTCATCCATTTGCAATTCTGTTACAATATTTATTAATAATTATTGTTAATTATTAGAGAAGTTAGAATTAAGAAGTAGAACCTAAAAGAAGCTTTTAAAGCTGGGAAGTTTTATAAGACTGTCTAGGATAGAAGAATGTGTGCTTTTAAGTAGAAAGAAATCTCTTTCATATTTTCAGAAAATATTTGGCCAGGAAGAAAAGAGTGATTGTCCAACTGGATAAATAATAAAAGACCTATTGTGCACAGGATATTTTCGTTGCGAGCTTCGCAGTTGGTTTATATCGAATCGGTTTACGCGAAGAAGGATGGGAGGGAGGGGCGTCAGTAGCCCTTTTGAACCGATGGAGGGGGAGGGATGCAACTCCTTGCGCAACTGGACGACTTCCTAACAGTTGCCGCGCGTACTTTGTCAAGTCCGCGTCGTTCCTCGTGGCAAACGTGTTCCAGACTGCAGTCAACACGAGACTTCAACCTGTTCATCCATCAATTAAAACTTCACCTTGCTTTTGCGTCCTTCTGCTCGTCGCTTGGTAAGTGCTTTATCTATTTATTCCTTATTTTATGAAAAAATTTTCCTGAACAGTTGAAGCATGTTGATGACAAATTTTATTTTTTAGGTGTATGGATGCTTTGTAATATTCTTTGGTTCTTTTCATTTTCTACCAGATGGATATTTTGTTTATTTTGTTAGTGTGCTTGGAAGTAGGTCCTTTGCAAGGTTTTTTATATTTTTATACATTATAAAATAGTCATTGCATTAGTCCAGTGTTTTAAAATTCAGATAGATCTCACTAGGAAGTATTCTTCTTTTTTAATATTTCAAATACTTCCCTGGTGATCTGTCTATTTGAATTAATAATTAGGTAATTGTTTAACTAATTATCAGCTAATTGTGTTTTAAAATTTAGATAGATCTCACTAGGAAGTATTCTTCTTTTTTAATATTTCAAATACTTCCCTGGTGATCTGTCTATTTGAATTAATAATTAGGTAATTGTGTTTTAAAATTTAGATAGATCTCACTAGGAAGTATTCTTCTTTTTTAATATTTCAAATACTTCCCTGGTGATCTGTCTATTTGAATTAATAATTAGGTAATTGTTTAATTATTAGCTAATTGTGGTTTAAAATTTAGACAGATCTCACTAGGAAGTATTCTTCTTTTTTAATATTCCAAATACGTCCCTGGTGATCTGTCTATTTGAATTAATAATTAGGTAATTGTTTAACTAATTATCAGCTAATTGTGTTTTAAAATTTAGATAGATCTCACTAGGAACTATTCTTCTTTTTTAATATTTCAAATACTTCCCTGGTGATCTGTCTGTTTGAATTAATAATTTGGTAATTGTTTACCTAATTATTAGCTAATTAGATTATTAACTAAGTGTTTTAAAATTTAGTTAGATCTCACTAGAAAGTATTCCAAATATTTCCCTAGTGATCTATTTGAATTAATAATTCGGATTTTTTAAAAAATTGTATAACACTTTAATCTGTGATCGTGTCAGATGTAGAAAAGTAATATTTCAGTCAGCTCGGCAATCTTCTTCCAGGTAATCTCGTTGAAAGTGTATATCTTCCAGTTTCGATTCCAGGACGCGTGATTATTCACGCGTGTCCCCTATGTGACTGCTGCATCATTGCGATTTCCAATTATCCGCAACTCCCTCGACGCTTCAGCCCCTCCCCTCTGTCACCCGCGGCTGCCTCATACCTGAACAATTATTTTCTTCCACAGTAAACATTTCTTCCCTGGACAATTATTTTCTTCCACTGTAAACATTTCAACCAGCTGCAGGATGTAATCAAGTTTCATTGGCGATCAATTTGATACAAGTTTCTCTCTGTTTACCTTCGCACATTACGTCGCGACGTTTACACGGTAATAAATTGAATGAAGCTTATGGTTCACGGAACGGGTCTCGCTATTGTCGACTGCTTCCACTGTGGACGTCTTAGATGTTATTTACTCGAACTACTTCAGCAGCCAGGAACACGTGTTTCTGTTCATGAACTGGCACACTAAACTTCACTGTTGTTCAGGATCGTTCCAACAGTTAGGTCGGGGTCGTTAGAAGGTAGTGGACCAGTTTTGAATTGCAGATGAAATGAAAATACGTGATAAGCTTAAGGGATTGGAAGAGTCAGATAGTGATCCTGAATGTATGAATTTAGCGAGCTGGTTTAAATGTTAATGTTTTTCATTAAGAACTTTCATATAATAAGTAGAATCATTCGTGATTATACAATTATGTAATTTGAAAGCAATTGGAACTTTTGTGTGACTTTATGTCTTAGAATTGTAAATTATTAAACTTTTAATGGGAAGTTGTTCTTAGGGTTATTATTAGCATAATTTGTAATAAATATTACTTCAGTTATTACTATTGGATCTGGTGTTAGGTTTGTTAATATCAGTGATAATTATACAATTATGTAATTTGAAAGCAATTGGAATTATTGTGTGACTTTATCTGCCTTAGGATTGTAAGTTATTAAACTTTTAATGGGAAGTTGTTCTTAGGGTTATTATTAGCATAATTTGTAATAAATATTACTTCAGTTATTACTATTGGATCTGGTGTTAGGTTTGTTAATATCAGTGATAATTATACAATTATGTAATTTCAAATCAGTTGGAATTTTTGTGTGACTTTATCTGTCTTAGAATTGTAAATTATTAAACTTTTAATGGGAAGTTGTTCTTGGAACTATCTATTAGCATAACTTGTACTAAACATTATTTATGTTATTATTATTGGATCTGGTCTTAGGTTTGTTAATATCAGTGATAATAATACAATTATGTAATTTGAAAGCACTTGGAACTTTTGTGTAACTTTATCTGCCTTAGGATTGCAAGTTATTAAACTTTTGATGGGAAGTCATCTATTAGCATAATTTGTACTAAATTGTACTAAATTCTGTTATTACTATTGGATCTAGTGTCAGGTTTGTTAATAATACTTTTGTATGACTTCATCTGTCTTAGAATTGTATTTTGATGGGAAGTCATCTATTAGCATAATTTGTACTAAATTGTACTAAATTCTGTTATTACTATTGGATCTAGTGTCAGGTTTGTTAATAATACTTTTGTATCTCTTCATCTGTCTTAGAATTGTATTTTGGGAAGTCATCTATTAGCATAATTTGTACTAAATTGTACTAAATTGTACTAAATTCTGTTATTACTATTGGATCTAGTGTCAGGTTTGTTAATAATACTTTTGTATGACTTCATCTGTCTTAGAATTGTATTTTGATGGGAAGTCATCTATTAGCATAATTTGTACTAAATTCTGTTATTACTATTGGATCTAGTGTTAAGTTTGTTAATAATACTTTTGTATCACTTCATCTGTCTTAGAATTGTATTTTGGGAAGTCATCTATTAGCATATTTTGTACTAAATTGTACTAAATTCTGTTATTACTATTGGATCTAGTGTTAGGTTTGTTAATAATACTTTTGTATCACTTCATCTGTCTTAGAATTGTATTTTGGGAAGTCATCTATAAGCATAATTTGTACTAAATTGTACTAAATTCTATTATTACTATTGGATCTAGTGTTAGGTTTGTTAATAATACTTTTGTATAACTTCATCTGTCTTAAAATTGTATTTTAATGTGAAGTTGTTCTATTCTATCTATTAGCATAATTTATACTAAATATTACTTATGTCACTACTATTGGATCTGGTATTAGGTTTATTAATAATACCGACTTCTTTCACTGAGTACCAAATTGAAGAAATAACGAGGGACTTTGATTTCTTCAACCACCATCGTTCTTTCTTGAAACCTTTAGACCAGTGTCTTCGGTAATCTCCCCAAATCACGAGAGATCTTGAATTCAGCGTGTTTCGATCGTTAAACATTCATTCAGGTCAAGGCTCGACGGTGGGATGCGAAAGTGCATTCGTAACACAGCCTCACACGAACAATGGAGCCGCGATAGTGGGCTAATCAGCTAGCGAATTTTCGAAAAGACGATACACACATGGTTGCTCCCTGATGTTTCCGGTAAATCGTTTCATTCGCATCCATCTAGATAGCTGACAAAGGAAAGGTGAAGAAATAGAAGAATTTCAATGAATTTCTATCAACAAGTATTACCACTCTAAGTGAAGATATCTTGAAATCTTTGCATTCAAATCTTGCAAGATTTATCAGCCATACTTGAGGATAATATCTGAGAAGAAAGGAGCATGAAAGGAAGTTAGTGATCCTTGATCCGTAACAGGTAAACATCTCTTCTTTAATATTCCTCTGCGTCTACTTTTCATCATAGAGATTTGTTGGTTGAAAATTTATTCTGACGTCAGTGAACAGTTGCTTCCAGGAAATCTGCTTGTTTGCAGAAGGGTGAGTCTAGTAAAACGTCAAAGGGATACCGTGAAGTTTATCTGGGACAGTCTCTCCTTGGCTGGAAGTCATAATTAAACAAGAACATTCGCTTCGACCAAGCTTACAATCTAATTCCTGATTCAAGAAAAAAAAAAAGGAGGACAACCCTTTCAACGTTTCTCACCGGCCTCTGTGAAACGTTAATCCTGCGGATACGTGGCTGGCAAGTTTTAACGAGACACCCTCGAAAGGCAGAAGTTTGCTCTGCGCTGGTTTATCCACGAAAAGCCCCTCTTTGCTCGGATTAAGACTCCGTGGTTAATGCCCGTGACATTGGTGTTTAAACGCCTCCTTCGCCTGTCTTCAAAATATCTCTTTTAAACATTTCATATATCTTCTCTTTCTGTTTTAACGCTAGAACTAGCGACGTTTGATGCACGCCTATTATTAAGTTGAAAATAATGTAGAAAATTGAATAGGTGAAGGATGAGACATAATTTAATATTTATATCCATTGTTTATCTTGAAAATAGCTAATACACATTCCAGCAAAAATACCTTGATCAAATTTTTTAATTTAAAATAAGAAACTGAAAAACAGTCATTTTTAGCCCTTTGGTAGTTCTAGTATTAAAATAAGAATTTTGACTGGTTTGGTAGTTCTAGTGTTAATTATTGTTTTGAGTTCATTGAAATTTTCTTTGTTAATTCATCTTTAGAAAGAAGAAAATTATGTAACAAACAAAGGGGGTTTGTAAGTTTGATCATCAAAGAAAATGAACCATCTGATTTTCTTTGATTGAATTTGAAAGTCTTCTTGAAGGAATTCCTGTGTAACTCAGTTTGGAAATATATGTTTGAAGGGATTCTCTGGTAACCCAATTGAACAGATGGATCATTTGTTATTGTCAGAGTACTGTAATCAGGATTGATAAGATTAATTTCTTTTCAATCACTTCAAGTAGCTGCTAATGATCAATGCTAAGATGAAGAATACAGTGGGTGATCAAATTATTATCGTGTTTGGGTAGAAACAGAGCCAGAATTTTAAGGTTTTTAAATTGTGTAACTTTTAATCAATAATCCTCTGCTATTAATATACAAAAGAATACTTATAAAAATAATTTGTTATAATTACTGCCTCAATTCTTTTCAGCATACTTTTGATGCATTTTAAGCAATTCATTGTTATTGCTTTATTTCTGGCCCATATTTCTATCAAACGTTCAATCAATTTACATTTATTACTAATAAATATTTCCACAAATTTTCAATGGGGTTGAGGTCCAAAGAATTTCCAGGTCAAAAACTTCCACTTTTTTCAACTGTGTATCATAATTTTACAAGCATCAATACATCATAGAAAAATAATAAGAGCTCTGTTTAACTCGGTTTTCATTTAAGAATTAATCATTTTTATGTAAAATCCTCAATTTATGTGAGTGACTCTAATAATTTGATCACCCACTGTATTGCTAAACCCCTGTATTAGGTAATCATTTTCTTCAAATTTTATTTCCCTCTAAAATGGTTATCAGGGTGCGTTTTGCATCCCTTATCATCGAGGGTGGCCTACTCTAGGGCAGGCCTGGTCAAGTAGGGGAAAACCACTCCAGAAACACATGCTCCAGTTCCCTTCCAACCCTGCTCCTTCAAGTAAGGTGGGACGGTTCTGACTACCGTCTCTCTGAGGAGACAGTACCGCCGCTAGGAAATATGCTTGGGGCGCTTAGGGCAGGCCTGTCCAAGTAGGGGAATCCACTCCTGGAACACATGTTTCGGTTCCCCTTCCAACGCTGCTCCTTCAAGTAAGATGGGACCGAGGAGACAATACCGCCGCTAGGAAAGACGGAGAGACGGTAGGATGGAGGTGCCCCCACCTGCCCTTTTCTTTTTTACCTGGGGAAAATCTTCCAACGACACCTCCAGCCCCCTGGGGAGGAGCCGGAGGTAGTGCGCCTACGGTGGCCTGCACTGGGGCTATAGGGAGGACCCCGGGAGCTCTGAAAAAGTGTCCCTTAGCGAGAGGATCAACCTGTATTTCCTAATGGCGGTACTGTCTCCTCAGAGAGACGGTAGTCAGAACCGTCCCATCTTACTTGAAGGAGCAGCGTTGGAAGGGGAACCGAAACATGTGTTCCAGGAGTGGATTCCCCTACTTGGACAGGCCTGGCTTACTTGATGGAGGTGCCCCCCCCCTGCTCTTTTCTTTTTTACCTGGGGAAAATCTTCTAAAGACACCTCCAGCCCCCTGGGGAGGAGCCGGAGGTAGCCTGCACTGGGGATATAGGGAGGACCCCGGGAGCTCTGAAAAAGTGTCCCTTAGCGAGAGGATCACCCTGATTTCCTAGTGGCGGTACTGTCTCCTCGGAGAGGCGGTAGTCGGAACCGTCCCATCTTACTTGAAGGAGCAGCGTTGGAAGGGGAACCGAAACATGTGTTCCAGGAATGGATTCCTCTACTTGGACAGGCCTGGCTTACTTGATGGAGGTGCCCCCCCCCCCCCCCCCTGCCCTTTTCTTTTTTACCTGGGGAAAATCTTCCAAAGACACCTCCAGCCCCCTGGGGAGGAGCCGGAGGTAGTGCGCCTACGGTGGCCTGCACTGGGGCTATAGGGAGGACCCCGGGAGCTCTGAAGAAGTTTCCCCTAGCGAGAGGATCACCCTGATTTCCTAGTGGCGGTACTGTCTCCTCGGAGAGACGGTAGTCAGAACCGTCCCATCTTACTTGAAGGAGCAGCGTTGGAAGGGGAACCGAAACATGTGTTCCAGGAGTGGATTCCCCTACTCGGACAGGCCTGCCATAGGGCATAGGGCTTACCTACTTGTCTGACCATCCATGAGGCCTACAGTTTAGAGCCTTCCACTACAACTCCCAGCGCCCTTAAGAATTATCTACTTGTCTGACCACCTATGGCACAATCCCCAATCTGCTGGTCTGACCACTACAGAGTGATCCTCTAGCTAGGGGACACAAAGGAACACTGGCGACAATGGACCTCTTGACCGCACCATAAAGAGGTCCGTATTGTCACGTGCCAGCGGGAACCTACCCGGGACGAGTCGACTCTGTGTGTCTTCATGGTGCGGTCAAGGGATTCATTGTCGCCAGTTCCTTTGTGTCCCCTAGCGAGAGGATCACCCTGTATAAGACCTACACCCCAGGATCTACAACTAAAACCCCCAGTCCCCACAGGGCAGGCCTGTCCAAGTAGGGGAATCCACTCCTGGAACACATGTTTCGGTTCCCTTTCCAACGCTGCTCCTTCAAGTAAGATGGGACGGTTCCGACTACCATCTCTCCGTCTTTCCTAGCGGCGGTATTGTCTCCTCGGAGAGATGGTAGTCAGAACCGTCCCATCTTACTTGAAGGAGCAGCGTTGGAAGGGGAACCGAAACATGTGTTCCAGGAGTGGATTTCCCTACTTGGACAGGCCTGGCTTACTTGATGGAGGTGCCCCCCCCTTGCTCTTTTCTTGTTTACCTGGGGAAAATCTTCCAAAGACACCTCCAGCCCCCTGGGGAGGAGCCGGAGGTAGTGCGCCTATGGTGGCCTGCACTGGGGCTATAGGGAGGATCCCGGAAGCTCTGAAAAAGTGTCCCTTAGCGAGTGGATCAACCTGTATTTCCTTGTGGCGGTACTGTCTCCTTACTTGAAGGAGCAGGATTGGAAGGGGAACCGGCACATCAGGAGTGGTTTTCCCTATTTGACCAGGGCTGCTTCAGGGAAAAGGCGTTACTTCATCAAATCATGCTCCAAAATGGGTGATTTAATGTGCATTAACGTTCAAAGGGTGAACTGTGAGTTGCTTTCAAAAGAGCGGGGTATATTGATTGATACACGAAGACCGTGGAAGGGTATGGCTTTGTAAGATGGTTCATTAAAGATAGAGTACTGCTATTGTATCCAGTGAGCGTACAGGTTGAAGCGAATGTCTCTCGAAAGTCTTATAAATTGAGATTGAAGGTGCCTCGAAATTGCATTTTGTTTCCTCGGAGCACATCTCTAGTAACTGTTCTAAGCACCTTACAACTGTCCATGAAACAATGGGAAAATACTTTGTCTAACTGATCGGATCTTGCTGGTTAGAGTCTCTTTTCTACCCTTGGGATATTTTTTCAATTTAAAACACCGCGAGGCGCAATATTCGAATAAAACTGGACGCTTCCCCTCTGGGAGGGGGGGACTTTTAAACTTCGAAATCTGGGTTGCAGCTTTACAAAGGAAGTAATTGGTGAGATACCAAGAAAGAGGAGGATGGGCGTTTAAACGATCAGCCAGTGAGTTGTACGGTGATTGGAATGGGTACTCGATCATTCGAGCCAATATGGCCCGTTGTGTAATTACAGAAGAGGGCGAATTAACGCGCGCCCCCCCCCCCCCCCCCCCCCCCCCCCCCCCGGTCGAATGTTTAAAACGTGAAGAGCCTTATTCTGCTTATTTTACTGACCAATTAACTGGAAATCTGGGACTCGACCGGATAAGTCATATTGCTGTTTGATCCTTGTTTGTTTATTTTTCATCCACACTTTGCCCGCTTTCCCACGCAGATTAGAGGAAACCGGCGTGTCGTGTTGCACTGTATGTGTAAAGAGAATTTTATGTTCGAATACCACCGCATGCGGTCCATTAGTTCTTGGTACTAACAAAGTGTTAATGGTCCTTATAATTGGAACAGACTTTCTTCTCTGCTTTGTAATTAATTAATTTAATTGTACTTGTGTCGAGGGACCATTAGGACAATTAGATACCTTTTTGAAAGCTGTTGATGAAATTAAAATGGAAAATATTCTGTTACGTAAACTTTGGTATTACATGAAATTTGATTTTCTTCTTCAGTTATATTAATATTTTCTTGTAACTGTTATGAACACCAATTTACTTTGAAGATTATTATAATCTTCTATTTTATTATTATTTAAATTTGAAATCAAAATTAAATTTTGTTTTTCAGCAATTGCACTTCTTATAACTGTTATGAACTTCAATTTAATTTAAAGATTATTATAATCTTCTATATTAATTTCTATTTTATTATTATTATAATTTATATTCAAAATTAAATTTTCAACAATATTTTTATTTTTCAGCTATTGCACTTTAAAATATATTCTGAAGACTATACCGTAAAGAAGAGATAGTGGATGAAACTTCTCCTGTTGAAGCATGTTGACTGTGTTCAATTAATCCTAAATCAATGGAATTTGAAGGCTAGAGAAGGATGAGCTAAATTGAACTAGAATGTCATATCACTGACTAATCTGATCTGAGAAACTTGCACCCCTGTTCTGTTGAGAATTCTCACAGGTAATCACATGCATAATTGATCTTCTTGTTTACTGAAACGTCAGTGTAACTATCATAGTACTATCAGTGTTAACTCTTCACGAACTTGTTAACCCTTCTTTTCTTAAGTTCATGCTGGAAAACTTTTGAATTACTTAAACTTTGGAACCGTCGGATGCGCTGAAATAGCAGCTACATTGTTACGAAAAGTTTCGCCTGTAATTAAACCATTCTTTCGTTCCAGAAATGGCACGTAATTCCTCTTTATCCCTGTGAAAAGAAGATAAACATGAAACTTGAAGAAATATTCCAAGATTGGCAGTATCTCTTTCTTCAATTTGGAAAAAGATTTCCTTTCATACTAAGTTGTGCTTGATGCTTGGAAGAAGTAACAAATTTCACATCAAATATCATAATTAAATTCAAATGAAATTTGAAATAAATTTCAGTGACGTGCATCTGAAATTTCAATTTAGGTATAAACATGAAATTTGAAGGGGAAAAATATTTCTTCAGAAAATTTCCTTTCCAGTAACTCGGTAAAAGGTAAAAGGGAGTAAAGAGGAACTACTTTTCTCCAAGTTTCACAAGTTTCTGCACGTTTAAGTGCATTGGCCTCGCTCTACACAACATCAAGCGTTTTTCTTCCACCTTTTAACCGTTCCAAATAAGAAAAAAGAAGAGGAAAAGGAAGAGACACGAATAGTGGTTGGTGTATCTATTTCCATTTTCAGGCATTCTAAGTCTGTCCAGCACGAGTGGCTCACTCTTTTCCAGCCTCGATTTTCGCCAACTAACTTGCAATGAGAATTCTGACCTACAAAAATGCGTCGTCCTTGTCCGCCTCGATCCCTCCTGCAATCGATTGTCCCATTTCAACGTGAAATTCTCGCGTTAGCCGAGTACACGAAACATTCATGGATTTCCTTTCTCAGGCCACTGTTCCAACAGAGGAACAGTTTCTGGACAATCAGGGGATAGGAGCGACGGGCTCCTCCATTGTGCAGATTCTTCTTAGCGATTGCAATCCTTTAATCCCTTTGTAAATGGGAAATTTTTTACATTCAGGATGATCAATCAATTGTGGGAAGATGAAATTTTAAGCTCCCTATTGGGTGCAAGGTATCCAATTGATTTTCTTCTTGGATCTTACAAGGGGAGGGCACATGTGTGGAAACCGCCTTTTGGAATATCACTAGGTGGAAGTTGTAGTATACGTATAGAATTACAAAACCCTAATGGGTTTCTTCAGAATGGGTCTTCGATTTTATGATATTTTAATTTAAAGCTTCTCACGTATCTGGTATGTCATGTAGGCAACTCTTCTTTCAGAGACGGTTACGTGGGTGAGGTGGTAGAGCGTTAGCCTAGGAGCGAGATGATCGGGGTTCGAATCCAAGAAGATAGGTTAAAATTATTTTACATAAATTTTAGGGAAATATTTTGGAATTTCAATGTATGGGGATGAAATTTCTAAATTAATTATCTTTTTTTTCAGAATTGAATTCGATCACCAACTATATCAAAACTTATATCATATCAGTTTGAAGCTTAAAGTATCATGAAAGTGGAAGGAAAATAAATTGTATCGGAAGGGAAGTAAAAAAAGCTTCAACTTTGAAGGAACAGATCCTTTATAAATCATGCGATAAGCGTTCCAGAGAAGTTCCGTGCAAGTTTCTGGATGGGTATGAATGTGTAGTATGGGACACGGCTGTTACCTCGGGAACTCTCAAATTATTCGCAACTGCCTCGTCGCACCTACGGGCCGCAAGTTCGACGGGGTGGAAGTTCGTTAAAATTTCATCCTCGTTGTCTTTGTTCCCACGGGGAATCTTAATTTCGCCGATGTACCGCTGCGATTCGCTCAGTTTAACGAAAGCCGGAAGTTCGGGTAATCGTGTAACGACAGCGAACTCAATATCCCGGCAGAAGATGAAGTTGAGGCTAATAATAAGATTCTCTAGGATCTGGTAAACTTGGAAAAGTTTCGAGCAGCTATTGCCTTCTGCGGAATGAATATTACTTTTCAAGGGGATGTACAGTAACACTAGAAGACCAGTCTGCCTTATCATTGTTCCATTATTAAAATTCCTGAAAGAAGTAAACACTGTGCATGCCAGAAAGATGCCCCTGCGAAGTAGAGATATCTGATTTGAAAAATTGATAATCAGCTTTGTCAGCAGAAGCCTCTAGCAAAATTGCTGCATCGGTTTCTTCGACTCGACGTGATCGAAACTGTTTGAATGGACTGAGGAAACTGAAAGCCCAACGAGGGATAAAGACGTCTTCGAATCAGACACTATTCAGGCACAAACGCGAGACTGAACGCACGATGCAAATACGTGATCTCGACTTTTTGGCAACGGTCCAACCGTACCTGTGCCATTTCCTACTCTTTCACTTTATTCTCATTTTTTCTCCATTGCTTCGCCACACGGTACGCCTGTTGGTTCGGAAATTCTGTTTTTCGACTTCGTTTCCTTCCTTTTTCTCTTTCTTTTTTTTTTTCAACATTTTGCTGGAAATGTTGATGAAGGTCTTTTCATCAAAGTTGAAGGTTTTTATTGATATCCTGTAAGTGTTATTGATCATTTAATATGCAGCAACTTAATTCATTTATTTTAATAAGTTTCTTCTTAGCACCACAGGGACAAAGAAGAGAGAATTCTTTTCACCGAATCCATTTCATCTGTTGAGATTGAAACACAATTGTAAGGTAGATCAGTCTTCCTGACGTTCTTTTCTGTCCTGACGTCTTTCAGATGGTAATGAGGAGCTGGCGATCGATCCTTTCTGAAATAAGGGTGTCAGAGCGTCTCCCAAGAGAATCTAAGTCGTTGATCCTCTATTCTGTGGACCAAAGCGGAAACAGGAAGCGGCATTGGGAATTGATTCATCTGCTTGAGGGAGCAGAATTCTCTACCAGAAATATTTCATACATTCTCAGCCAAAGCTGAACGCAGTTAATATCGTACTAGCTATCAACAATTAAGGCAATTAGAAATGTTTGTTAGGATCCAGTTTTAATAACGTTCAATTAGGAACAGTGAAATGTATAAATATTGCTGTTGTTAAAGCTTTTTAATATTGAACATTCCCATACATATTTCAGAGTAATTTTCAAGTATTGATATATTTCTTCTTTCTATAAGAGTATCAATATTTCTTATTTTCTTCACTGAATATTCAGTGGCGTTTGAAGACATAGGATTTTGAATTTAATTTCTTTTCCCTGTAAGTATTTCATAATATTTTTCATTTTTTATTTTTTACAGACACCATTAACAAGCATTCCATTATTGAAACATTTTTAATGTCTAGGTTCTTCGACACTGAGAGTCATTTTAATTGGAATAGAAGTGTCCGTTTCCTGGAACAAGGGGTAGTGAAAAAATTGCGAAGAAGTAAAATCAACTACTAAACGAGTTTTCCAACGAGAAAATTATTTTTTCACCAAGGCAGTAAAACGACGACGTTAATTTCACGCTGGTTGGTTCGTTCGTAGCACGGTTGAAATTAAAACCGTCACAGTTTTCATCGCTTAAACCATCAGCGGCGACAGGATACTCTTGTTTTTACATCCACATTTAACGAAGCAATTTCCACAGAAAACCGGATGCTTGATTGTCTTACAAACCGGAAGAATCCAGTCATGTCCGTTCGCTTGCACATGCAAATCGTAGCTGTAGTGGTCGTTTATTTCCCAAGAGTACCGGCTCAACGTTCTCGTGAACAGAAAATGCTGAGTACAGGGGGGAAACGTGAACAGCTACTCAGTTTTTCAATATAATTCATCTCTGCTCTTCTGTCGAATATTTTCTATAATTTATTTTCTTATTATTATTCTTCAAAAGCAAACATTCAGGGTATTTAGAAAAAAATACTGTTCAAGCTAAGTGGTTGTTATTATTATTATTGAAATACCGGGCACTCAGTCTTCAAGGAACCATTGTATCCGAGCCCAAACGGGCAGTTCCAGCTACCGAGGTGAATTGTGAAGGCCGGCCTCCTTTGCGAAGCCCAGGAGCCTGCCCACTCCAATGATCTCCAGGGGTGTGTCTCCAGGCCTTTGCAACGCGATATCAAGTGGAGAGGAGTCACCCTCCTCGAGAACACCCAGGTTCTCGTTCCAAACCTAGATGTGTCAGGTGTTTCCTCGTGAACCAGTGATGAGCCCCACAAGTAGACGCAGCTGGTGTCTTTCTGGGCAGCTTAGGGCCCTTTTTTTTTTAACGAGGGGTGAAAATGGGTAGTGTGGGGCTCCTAGATTCTCCCTAGTGTACCCACTAAAAACCCTACCTCGATTTCGCCTGGTGTTACCAGAAAAACTAACCCCCTGGAACCAGTGCGAAGCATTACTTTGGGGGGAAGTACCTAACCTGGTCATCAGTTCCAAGTGTTGCTCCAAACAATCATTGCAATAGGGGGGCGGTGCCTTGACCACCCCTTCACCATTCCACCCTGTGGTTATAACTCCCACCCCTTGTTCTGTTGCTCTATTTGCATAGGTCATAGGGAGGGGAGGAGTAATTTTCAGCTTAGGGTCCTGTCTAGCAGCGTTGATGGCCCTCTGATCAGGGCCTTAGTGTGCCATATGCCTTAAGTCCGGCTCCAGATCTGGTGGGTTTGGGTTCTCACCCATGCCTTCATCATTTCTTTTACCGTCCCCATAAAGACACCTATATTGTATGTTGTATCCAGGTCAGGCCGCATGGCTCCTCAAGTGAAGTGGTAGTCTCCTTTGAGTAGTTTTAATATTAAACGTTTGAAAGTTTCTTAATTTAATTATTTTCTGTCTTACAGATAAAAGAAAGGAACCTGTCCAAGCGAATATCATTAACAGAGAAGTGGACCAACTGGATCAGCAGCATATCTGAAACTGAAGACATCTACAATCTTCTGTGTTTTATCATTTTGAATAAGTGTATTTATATCTTCAGCTCAGTTCACAATGTAAGTCCAGTGTCTAGAACAAATTACAGTTGCCAGTAATTTGTGGACAAAGAAGTAATACAAAAGAAGAAACATTTCATTATACTGAGAATTAAAGATCAAAGGAGGTGAAATCTTCAAAGGATCACACTTTAAAGCATCACTGGTGAAGAAACTCTAGAAGGAATTCTTTTCACAATTCCTCGAAATGTTTCGTGTCAAATAAAAGATCTAGAGAAATAAAATCAAAAAAAGGATATACGAGTTGAAACTCACGTGTCTGAAGGGAGAATTTGCATGTTGAATTGCATTCAATTGTACGCTCTTCAAGAAGAAAGGGTGAAGCAATTTGAAAAATGAATGGACAGGGAAAAAGTACAATGGATTCGTGTTTCAACCGGTGTCCCTGTTGATGCGAGAAGAAACTAAGGGGAAAGATAAAAATGTAGAAGCAGGAAGAAGTGAAGATGGACAATTAGAGGAAACATGGACGCCTCTAATGCCATTGGCAACAATACTCGGGATTTCTGCGTCGCTAGATCAAAGAACTTTGTACCTCCAGACGATGGTAATTATGTTTAAGGAGACATTTTTTGTTTCTTCAAGTTTTCTTATAAATTTAACTTGATTTCAGTGAAGTAGTATTTGCTTTTAGTTCTCTTTTTTATTAACTATTATATTATAAGAATCAGAGTTCTATTATACTATAATAGAATATATTAAATATTATATTTAAATATAAGTTAATTAAATATAAGTAACTGGCAATTCAATATCTACCTTTAAAAAAGGAGAATTTCTCTTGGAAACATGACATCCATTTTTGAAGAAAATTCTTCAAAGAAGAATTTGGATTTTCTCTCAGAAATTCAGGATTTTCTAGTTTAATAATAAAATTGAAGAATTTTAATCAATTTTAATCAATTGATTAATATTTAATATATTCAATATATTAGATAAATTAAAATTCTTCAATTTTATTATTTTACTCTGGATTTTCTAGTTTAATAATAAAATTGAAGAATTTTAATCAATTTTAATCAATTGATTAATATTTAATATACTCAATATATTAGATATATTAAAATTCTTCAATTTTATTATTTTACTCTGGATTTTCTAGTTTAATAATAAAATTGAAGAATTTTAATATATCTAATATATTGAATATATTAAATATTAATCAAATGATTAAAATTGATTAATATTAAATATACTCAATATATTAGATATATTAAAATTCTTCAATTTTATTCTTTTACTCTGGATTTTCTAGTTTAATAATAAAATTGAAAAATTTTAATATATCTAGTATATTGAATATATTAAATATTAATCAAATGATTAAAATTGATTATTATTTAATATATTCAATATATTAGATATATTAAAATTCTTCAATTTTATTATTAAACTAGAAAATCCAGAGTATTCCAGAGAAAATCCAAATTCTTCTTTGAAGACTTTTCTTTAAAAATGTATGTCACGTTGCCGAGAAAAATTCTCCTTTTTTAAAGATAGATATTGAATTGCCAGTTATGTTTCAAGAAACACCATAACCAGAGGGAAGATAATCCAAAGTAGATGTACGTCGAGCCAAGTCATATGCCGTATATCGCGTCTCAATTTGAAATTATAAAACGCCAACGCGTCCCGTCAGCTGGATGCACACGACAACGGTGATGCTGTTCACGTTTACCTTTTTCCAGAGCTCTGGTGCAAACCAGTATGGGACTCGTTGCTCTGCTGGCCCCCGACCAAAGCATCGACGACGATCAAGCAGAGATGCCCGTTCGAGGATGGATTCGATACGACCAGTAAGTGCGCGTGCACTCGTTTGATGAATGCACATTTAAATTGCTTGTTAGCTGCACCCACTAGAGGCATAGAGAGAGGGCGAGAGAAAGAGTGGTGAAAGTGGTGAGGAATAATTAGAATAGCCGTGTAATTTTCAGCCAACGTGTTCACCACAAGGGATTCATTGTAGATTGCGTTTTAATTTCAGAGAAATTAAGCAGAAATTATCTGGATGGTTGCTTGAAGAATGAAAACATAGGAGAAGAATGCTTGCATATTTGGATGTTTCAGTACTTGGGTGCTTGGATATTTGAATATTTAGATACTTTGGTGCTGGAATACTTGAGTGTTAGGATATTTAAATATCCAATATTTGAATTGTAGATTGGGTTTTAATTTCAGAGAAATTAAGCAGAATTTATCTGGAAAAGGCTGCTTGAAAAATGAAAACATAGGAAAAGAATGCTTGCATATTTGGATGCTTAAGTGGTTGGATGTTTCAGTACTTGGGTGCTTGGATTTTTGAATACTTAGATATTTGGGTGCTGGAATACTTGAGTGCTTGAATATTTGAATTGTAGATTGGGTTTTAATTTCAGAGAAATTAAGCAGAATTTATCTGGAAAAGGCTGCTTGAAAAATGAAAACATAGGAGAAGAATGCTTGCATATTTGGATGTTTCAGTACTTGGGTGCTTGGATATTTGAATATTTAGATACTTTGGTGCTGGAATACTTGAGTGTTAGGATATTTAAATATCCAATATTTGAATTGTAGATTGGGTTTTAATTTCAGAGAAATTAAGCAGAATTTATCTGGAAGGCTGCTTGATAAATAAAAGCATAGGTGAAGAATGCTTGCATATTTGGATGTTTGAGTACTTGGGTGCTTGGATATTTGAATACTTAGATACTTGAGTGCTGAAATACTTGAAGACTTAGGTATTTGGATACTTGGATGTTCTGAGTACTTAGATACTTAGGTATTTGCATTATTTAAAATCAAGTCTTCTTACAAACCTCATAATCCAATAATGATAATATAATTTTCCAGACAGTTAGTGACCTAATCTCTCTAATCTGAAGAATTAATTTATTAAGAAAGGAAAAGTGTGAGGAAACGTTGCTGCATAATTATTAAATCTGTTAATGAGACAGAGATGAAAGTTCAGCCGGCGTTCCTTCTCTTCAATCTATCTATTTATCAGGGGGTTGAAAACTTGTTTCATTATTTCAAAGGCAATTAACGCGGCGACGTGGAACGTTTGCTCTTCATCAAAATGAAACCTTGAAGACTTCTTTAATCTTTTTTTCAAGCTATTGATTAATTAGTTCCACTTTGGGGGAACGACTGTGGAAACGGAAGAGGCATTTGCATAGCGAACCTGTTCTGTGGAAATGAATTTAGCGATGCCGGATGGTAATCGGGAAATTCCTGAACCATCGTTTCAGGAATTAATTAAAGGAGAGCCTTACTGCTAAAACTTCCTGAATTTCATGATTCGTTCCTGACAAATCGTTGATCGACGTCATTTTATTAACTTGCCTGACGTATCCATGAATGACTTCTCAATAGGAATTATTCAACTCATTATTTTTACCCTAATCTAATTGGAATCTGTTAATTATTTCATTTTTTTAATTCATGAAAGTGTAAAGAAATTCACTTTGAAGAAGAAGCAAAAACTGAAACAATTATCACTGGGATCGTTGAAAGTGAACTTAATTTGTATCCTGAAATAGTACAAATATTCTTGATTGGTTTTAATTTCTGTCTAATTGCCTGCCTCAAAGAAGTATCTAAAAAAAGGAACAAATTTGTACAGTTGCTTTCTTAAACATCTCAATATTTAGACAATTAAATATACAAGTACAAGAAAGAATTTCTGTCAAGAAAAAAATAATTCTTTTGTTTATATATTTTCATTCTTTCTCGGTTGGAAGCTACAGCAAAGATACTGCTGCGAATCGATTGGCATTTAAACTGACAAGGAAATTCAATACACACACCTTTCAAGCCATTCCGCGAAGGAAAAGTCTTGCAACACGGAATTACATATCATAGAAAATAAATAGGAGTTTTCCTTTCCTTCGCTGCATCGTTTATCAATAGAAAAAAAGAGACTGAGAACAGATTCAGATGAGAGAGAAGTTATTTTCACCGAATGCGTGTTTACGTGACCAATGAATCTAAGGGGAGCCTTTTTACTTCTGAACTTAACAATAGAATTGAGAGAACGTTTCAGTTTATTTGATGCCCCCAAGACTTCAAGTATAATATTTTTGTAGCAGCTGGAAAGCTGTTTTGGACAATTACACAATAGGTGCTTGAGTGCTTGGATACTTGGGTGCTTAGATACTAGGATACTTAAGTGTGTAGACACTTGGGTGCTTAGGTATTTAGATATTTAAATACTTGGGTGCTCAGATACTAGAGTACTTAAGTGTGTAGGCACTTGGGTGCTTAGGTATTGAAGTGCTTGGATACTTGAGTGCTTAGATACTAGAATACTTAAGTGTGTAGACACTTGGGTGCTTAGGTATTTAGATATTTAAATACTTGGGTGCTCAGATACTAGAGTACTTAAGTGTGTAGCCACTTGGGTGCTTAGGTATTGAAGTGCTTTGGTCCTTGGGTGCTTAGGCATTTGGATATTTAAATTCTTAGGTGCTTAAGTGTGCAGGCACTTGGGTGCTTAGGTATTGAAATGCTTGGGTGCTTGGGTACTTGGGTGCTTAGGCATTTGGATACTTAAATATTTGGGTGCTTAGGTATTGAAATGCTTGGGTACTTGGGTATTTGGATATTTAAATACTTAGGTGCTTAAGTATTGGAGTGCTTGAGTATTGGGATGCTTAGATACTAGGGTACTTAAGTGTATAGACACTTGGGTGCTTAGGCATTTGGATATTTAAATACTTAGGTGCTTAAGTGTGTAGGCACTTGGGTGCTCAGGTATTGAAATGCTTGAGTACATGGGTGCTTACGCACTTGGATATTTAAATACTTAGGTGCTTAAGTATTGGAGTGCTTGGATACTTGGGTGCTTGGATACTGGGCTACTTAAGTGTATAGGCACTTGGGTGCTTAGGTATTGAAATGCTTGGGTACTTGGGTGCTTTGGCATTTGGATACTTAAATATTTGAGTGCTTAGGTATTGAAATGCTTGGGTACTTGGGTATTTGGATATTTAAATACTTAGGTGCTTAAGTATTGGAGTGCTTGAGTATTGGGATGCTTAGATACTAGGGTACTTAAGCGTGTAGACACTTGGGTGCTTAGGCATTTGGGTATTTAAATACTTAGGTGCTTAACTATTGGAGTGCTTGGATACTTGGGTGCTTGGATACTGGGCTACTTAAGTGTGTAGGCACTTGGGTCCTCAGGTATTGAAATGCTTGGGTACTTGGGTGCTTAGGCATTTGGATACTTAAATATTTGAGTGCTTAGGTATTGAAATGCTTGGGTACTTGGGTATTTGGATATTTAAATACCTCGGTGCTTAAGTATTGGAGTGCTTGAATATTGGGGTGCTTAGATACTAGGATACTTAAGTGTGTAGACACCTGGGTGCTTAGACATTAGAGTGCTTGGGTACTCGGGTATTTGAATGCTTGGATACTTAATACTTAAACACCTCCATTGGATTAACCGACGGCAAGACTATTCTCCGCCTAAAGGTATTAAGATTCCACGAATTGATGCAACGTAATCACAAAAGACATCTAAAGAGAAGAAGTCAGGTCAACTTCAACGCTCGTAACATTTTCCCGCGTTATCGAGTGCAATCAAAACGTGTTGGAGAAGTGGGTCGAGTGGCGTTCTCCAGGTTCTCATTCCCTCTGTTTTCCCTAGCGATATTGTGAAACCGTAAATGCACCGTGATATTGCTAGAGGCAAGTTCAAGTATAAGCAACGCGTGCACGCGAATCCCGGCCGCAAATCGATCTGTCGTCTCTCGTCAAACGTTTCCACGATTAAAGTGGAGGGACTGTACCGATAAAACTGTCTCTGCCGATCGTTCTTCCTCCAGATATGCGATGGATAACGTACAATTGAAGTTGGAAGTACCATTGTAACCGGGGTAATCTCAAAATTAGAACACCGCCACTCACGATGCCCTTGATCTTTGTAGATCCTTTGAAGGCGAACTTTCAACCGGTGAAGTTGGAAAACAGACTGTAATGCGGTAGCTCTTTGGTTTCACAGGGGCTTCAAGAAAGGTTTTAAGCATCCGGATACACTTCTTTGAGGATTCCTCTTTCATGGAATATTCATGGTTCTCCTTTATCCTGCTCTTTTAAAAACACCTTTGCCAGATGACATTTTTTGTTGACAGAAGCTTCTGCAGTCAGAATTTCTAGGAGAAAAAAATTTCATATCTAAAAACTAGTTTCATCCATTTCTTCTTATTGGATGAAATGATGTCTCAAGTTTGCTGAGAGACTAACTTTGTTCATCAAAGTTTGACTGGGAAGAAAACTTCATCTCTTGACATATTATATTTAGGAAATTCTGCTGCATCAAAGAAACAGGAGTTCAAATAACTGTGGTAAACTGGTATCAAATATGAAACATTTACACTATGTGGTTACCTTCCAATCATAATTATAAACTTTAATCCAAATCAATATCAAAGTTCAGTTTCCAATTACAGGCACTGGTAATCATTCTACCCAATGAAAGTTGCACAGTGTCGTTAGCCAGATGTTCAAAGTTGAATTTCAAAGCTTCGTTTACCAGCGAATTGTTCGGCAAACAGAGCGACCAGATCAATTCAGTCCGCGTTCCAGTTTATTCTCCTCGACGTGCGCCAGGAATGCATGCTAAGTAAACGCGTTGTTTGCGTAGAATCCGTGGAGAAGAAGTGCGGCTACAACGGTCGGTGGGAGGGCCAGAACGGTACCAGCCACGAGGACTCCCATCACGGATGGGCGAACTACACGACCTGTCTGATACCGGAAATGTTGCGGTTACATGGAAAAGTTTACACCAACACCATCGAGGGTAACGTGAGTGTCGTGATTTCAATGAACTCACAAGAAAAATTACCCATGTGTAACGCTTATTTATTAATGAAACTTTGCCACATTGTAGAGCTCCTCAGCTGAACGCGCCTATACCTCATTTTGGGGGCAGACGGCTAATTGTTTAAAAGATATTAATAATTAAAATTAGTTACCATTTACATTAAGAAGTATGACAAACCAACACATATGAACGGTTAGCTCCGGGGTAAAACACTTGACTCGCAATCTAAAGGTCCAGGGTTCAAATCCATGGTCCCACCCTTTTTTTTTTTTTTTTTAAATAATAATTTGTCTCCTTTTGAATAACTATTACAGCTGTAATGCGTTACACTAAGAAGTATAACGATTCGACACATATGAACGGTTAACTCCGGGGTAAAACACTTGACTCGCAATCTAAAGGTCCAGGGTTCAAATCCATGGTCCCCCCCCCTTTTTTTTTTTTTTAATAATAATTTGTCTCCTTTTGAATAACTATTACAGCTGTAATACGTTACACTAAGAAGTATAACAAATGAACACATATGAACGGTTAGCTCCGGGGTAAAACACTTGACTCGCAATCTAAAGGTCCAAGGTTCAAATCCATGGTCCCCGTTTTTTTTTTTTTTTTTTTTTTTTTTTTTTTTTAAAATAATAATTTGCCTCCTTTTGAATTACTATTACAGCTGTAATTAGCTCTTCTTTTATTTCAGATGAAGATGGAAATAGTTGAGAAGACTCGAATATTGGAATTCGTTGGTTTGAGTATTTCTTTGGTAGCATTGCTTGCTTCACTTGCCATATTCTGTCGTTTTAGGTGGGTCATAAATTGGTGTTATTTAGACACTTGGGTGCTTGATTGTTAAGATGAAATTTAATGTTATTTAGATCCTTGAGAAACACCAGAACCAGGATACACAAGAACCTTTTTGTAGCCATGGTTGTCCAGGTTCTCATCAGATTAACAGTGTACATAGACATTGAAATCCAAAGGAAGAAGACATATGGTATTCAGCGAGGCATAGGAAATACAGTAAGCACTCCTACCATTTAAGTAATAATTCAAAGAAATTTACAATTCATGCAAGCAATTTTCTTCTTTTTGCAGCCTGTGCTGTGCGAGGCTAGCTATGTTTTGCTGGAGTATGCAAAAACTTCAATGTTCATGTGGATGTTTATAGAGGGCTTGTTCCTACACAACATGGTCACTGGTAAGTAACTATACGTTTTTTTCAAAATGAGAAGTCCTTCAAAAGAATCTCTTTTTTTTCTTCTTTATGCCTACTGTTGCAGTGACGGTGTTCCAAGAGACGTCTTACTACAGGATGTACAGATTCATTGGCTGGGGATGTCCTGTTGTGATGACCTTAATCTGGGCCATCATTACTGCATTTTATTATCATCCAAAGTCCAGGTAAATGAAGTAAACAAAAGGCGCAGAAAATAATTTGTATTCCAATTTAATTTGAATTATTGTTGATTCATGCCCAATGTTAGATTTTCCAGATGTTGGTCAGGTTATAATTTGTCTTCCTACTTTTGGATCCTTGAAGGACCCAGGTTTGCAGTTATATTGGTAAGTAAAATAAAAATTAGAATCTTAAGTACATGTATCAATGGAATTTGAAGAAGACAATTTCAATTGTATTTTTCAGCTCAATTTTCTGTTCCTACTGAACATTGTAAGGGTACTCGTGGTGAAGCTTCGACAGAGCCACACCAGTGAAATAGAACAAGTCCTGTCAGTGAACAATTAGCAAAGCGACTGAAACTAATCACAGAAAATCTAACGTTATTGTTTTTCACACAGAAAAGCTGTGAGAGCAGCTGTGGTACTTCTACCACTATTGGGCATCACCAACGTGCTCTGCATGATAGACGCACCCCTGCACAATGTGAAGAAATTTGCAGTATGGTCTTATTCCACATACTTTCTGCAGTCTTTTCAAGGCCTGTTTATTGCAACACTCTATTGCTTCCTAAATGGCGAGGTGAAACAATTGGAATATGCTAATTAATAACAATTAACTATCCTACCCAGTGTCTCATCAGGAAGGTTCAAGATCAATGTACAATATATTTTCTGTGCAGGTGAGACTCGCTCTGGACAAAACCATATCCGTCTACCTTTCTTTAAGAGGAACTGACCTGCAACCTAGAAGACAGTCGACTTTTAGTGGCTGCCAACCCCAAAGAGTAGCATCAGGTGTGTGATATTTATACAAATTTCTATCTGTTATAACTAATAGTTTCTGTTTTGAGGTTCCTAATTAAATCTGCTTGCATGTAATTTTTATATTTCATAAGAAAAAAGATATATCAAATTAATCTCACAGTGATTGAAATGGAAGAGGAGGAGATGAGACCAAGCGGTTGGATAAGACTGTGCTGTCGAGGTGGAAACACTCCACCACCGGACCGACCTGCTGAGTGAGTAATGATCGAAGAAAACTCGCCCATCCGCGTTTAGATCATTACCAGCATCGACGGTCCTTCTAGCAACATCGTATCAGTAGGTAAAAACACACCAGACAGGCATGACCCATGCATGTTCTGTTGCATCATATTTCCCCTTTCAGACATGTTATCCAAGCTCTGAATATTCTCAAAATTTAAATCTTTTTTAAATTGATACATTTCAATGGATTCATCAGTAACTATATCTTTCTCTTTTCGCCTAACTTCCAGTTTATCTTTGCTTAAAAAGTAGGTGATGCCTTCTGGGGTCTTCAAAACTCTTCCTCCCCTCAAAACTTCTTGCACTGTAGTCTATCTTTCAGAATCAAAGGAATGCATTGTTGTTGAAACAACATTAATTTCTCATGGGAATGATGCTTATTCCCGGTTTCAGAACAGCGGTCTGACTGTGGAGCGTCTCAGGAATCCTCGACACTGGCCAAAAACTTCAGAATTATTCCACTTGGACTGTAAACTTGTCTGAAGGATGAAGCAGCACCTGGATCAACCTGAACCATTGTGAATCAAGCTTCTGTCTAGAAATTTAATTGATGTGGACTAATTTGGACTGTGATTTTTCATGCATTTTTATTTACTGAAAGGGATAAATGGATTTGGTGGTTGAAAGGTTATTAATGTCATTGAAATTATAGATTGAATGGAATCTTATGAATGATGAAATAATTGATGATCATTCAGAGTTTCAGGTTGTTGAAGTAAGCGAAGAATCCAAATGCTGGTTTATGTATGAAAAATGAAACAGCTTGAAATGAAATTAAATGATTGGAGTCACTTGAGAGAAGAATATTAATGATTTGGAATGAGAATTGTGAAATGGAATGGGTGAGTGGAAAGTTTGATGATATTTAGAATGAAATTAATTGATGACTTAGAAGTAAAGAAATTTTTTGTGAAATGTATTGTTCGAGGTAGATATTAATGTGATATTTAATGGAAATAAGGTATCTGTAATGTATCAGATTTCTAATTAAATAGAAGGTGCATAAGAATGTGAACTAGGCTGTGAACTGATGAATAAAAGTTTTGTATGGAGTAATGAAAGTGGTTGATGAATAAACACTGATAATCATTCAGATTTAAAGTGAAGTAACTAAATAAATAAAAGATTGATGATGAATGAGAATCCAAGGATTTTGAAACAAAACATTATGTTCATTAGTTAAAATAAGTTATAATGTTTGAAGAATAATTCAAGTAACGTTACATTTTTTTAGAGGGACTGCTGTATGAAAATGTTTATATAGATTTAACTGGATGTGTATAATTGCTGTTTATATGCTTTTAATGATCTCTGTAATTTGTGGTTACGAAGACTATTGTAAAATATCAGTTTTTTTAACTACATACATTTCAAAACTAATTTAACAACGTTTTGAATTAGTTTTACCTAATGAATGAAAATTTTTCTTCAAACATAAGGGCAACATTTTTAATATGTACAACATTTCTAATATTGAATGATACTAGAATTGACAGTTTCATCACAACTAGCTGCAAAATTATAGATAGAATAAATCTATTTGTATGCTTTTTTGCAAGATGAAAGATAATTAGTCATAAGGTTAGCCAATTAGCAAATGCATCAGTGCTTCAACAACTTTGTAGCTGTGCGTTTTTTTAAGATATAAATAAATAATTGTGACACCGATTGTGTCTGGTTGCATCAACCCTTGAGGTTAGATTTCATTTTGTAAAATTAAAATTCATTGAAGAAAGTGTTTAAATAATTTTCTAAATAAAAATGGAGTTCCTTAAAAACAAATACAGAGTCTGATATTTACAAAAAGTTTATATTACCATGATTAATTGTAGAAAAAAGTATTTTACACAGTATAAAGTTTTTTGCATAAAGGAACATCCATGGTGTTGTTCTCCTGAATTATTATAAACCTCAGTCAACATAAAACACGGTGTTCTTAACAATAACAAAGATAAATACATTTATATAAATAATTCTTACATATATTAATTAAATCCAGACAAAGTTTACACATAGCGTCATAGAAAACTTAACTTATTTCTGAACCCAATGACTCTATCTGAATCATAATAATCCCAGCTAACAAAAATAGTAATCTACATTGTAAAAACTATCACAGATATGTTTCAAAAGCTCGTACAAATTTCATCAGAATTTAGTATTTAAATTAATACTGACGCATCCTTAATAAATTAAATAATAAATATTATTACCGATATCAAAACAGTGCTCAGTTCTAAGGACAAGGAAATTTTATATTCTATAAAAGTAGATGAAGATATTCATCTTCAGACTTGTTTCCTACTTGAAAATAGTCTTTTCTTAAATATTGAGTTTCCTAAAACTCGTCATGAAAACTTTTCTCTGTGTCCACCATTTTACTCCCTAAGAATAAGTCCATTTTGCTTAGAATTTCAGATAGATTCAGTTTGCCATCCAGATTGGTGTCTGATAAATTTATCAAGTGCTGAGCTTCTTGTATAGCGTGCCTTGGATTCCTTGGATCTATATACATCTGAAACGGTACAATAAATTTCATCCGTTCTCATTTTTTCTTTTTTTTAGATTTCTCCATCCGCTTACCAGAAGTTCTGCCCTGTCAGCCTTTCCATTTTTATTCTTGTCAATGAGATGTCGAAACTCCTTCCGCCTGTCTTCACTTCCGCCCACTGCTTCGTGTCTGTCTTCCTTTAAATCCAATCCCACCCCTTCTGCAGGTAAGTCTGAGAATTCGTCTTCTGTCAGCTGTTCATCCCCGTCACGGTCTGAAGCAAAGACTGGCGTTTGAAAAATCATATTATATAGAAAATATAAATTTCACTGCTTTACCAAATTTCTCAAACAGGTCTTCCACCATTTGAAGGAGAGCTCGATGGCTGCTCTCAGGATGAGTGAAAGCCAGGAACTCGTCAAGTGCGAGCCTCTCCGGATCGTTCCTGGCAGCCTCCGCCCACCTTGCTCTGTCCCTCATGATGCTCTCCTTTAAGGTTCGCGACATGTCGCTGTGCTTCTTGTCGTGAGAGCTCACGTAACTCTCAGGAAATCCGTGGGACCTGAGAAAGTACGCGTGGTACTCTTCCCACGAGACCTCGCCTGTCGCAGTGAAGAAGAATCAATGTTCATGAATATTAATGAATTTATAGAAACTCCTTCCTGCTTCATCTCTTTATAGATTACCATTTTGTGGATTGTTGTCGATAGCAGTGAACAGTCCAATGTTCTCCCTCATGGCACAGCTGATGTGCTCAGTTATCTTCATATGAATCCATCTTGCCAATTCCTGGATGTCCAACAGCTGATCCTGATCAGTGTCTGCTCTTTGAAATATATCCTCGAGGAGGCTCCTTGGGTTCTCTCGGTTCTCCGCCTCTTCCACCTCTTTTATACTGCGATCAACTTCTCTTCGACGATCCAGCTCCTTGTCACGTGGAGCTGTCACCACCTCCAGTTCGACGAACAGGTCCTCGATCATTGAACCTTCCTCGTCCTTCGCCGTTGCTGGGGATACCAGGCTCTTTAGGGGCACGTTCCTGTTGTACTTGGCGAAGAGAAGGAACAGGTAGATTATGAGAGGCACCAGGATGGTCCAACGAAGAAAACGGAAACACCTTAAATCGGACTTGCAGGTGATCTTATTTATCTGCAAATAAATGCTGCAGTTAGGTATGGGTCAAAGTTGAATATGACAATGTGTGCCAAGTCTAATGGAATAACAGCTTTAACAGGGGGACTGGATACCATTTTGATCCCACCTGTAACAAGCTACCCCTAATTTAATAAATGACCAGAGTTGCTACTTACAAAATATGAAAGATACATGTTGATCGGCAGGTCCACAGTTAAGCAAAGATGTCCTTAAAGATTCTGGATCACAACACACTAGGAAAACTTCAGCTTTCTTCTCTCCATGCGTTGATTCCTTGATCATCAACCCTCCAGCAACTCAGAATGATCTTTTGCACACCATTTCCTATTGCTTCGCTGTCATCACTGATCACAAATCACACTGTCAATTAAAAGTTGCTTCGCTGATGAACACTGATCTCACTGGAGACACTGTATCATCTTTGAACATGTTTCAATAGGTATCAACACAATGTTTTAGAGAACAAATGGAGCGAAGAAGAATGATGTAAAGGCTTGTTTAATGATAACAAATAGAGAAGAAAGAAGCAAAGATGATGACGGTGCAACACTGATTGGTGAATGATTTTATTCTGGTCAGCAAGAAAAAAAGCAAGCTCCAAGGAGAACTCTGGTCGCACGTTGCCTGGCAAAACGTTAACGGCGTATTGATCCACTTTCACTGTCGTGTCCTTTCTCTCTCTCTCCATCTCCCTCTTGTACTAACGCTGTTCTGTGATCCTCTTTGTCCCGCTTTTATGGAGCCTTCTGTCTCTCTTCATTCAATCACCAACATTCGCACTCTGTTTTACAATTGAAGCGACGTTTGCTGACTTCTTTTCTCTACTCGATTTCTGTTTAGAGCTGTTTTTTGCTAAACAGATCTAATGACACTGGGTTGAATAGAGCTGAGGAAAAAGAAGAAACAAAAAATGTTCTTGAAAGAGTTTCTTCTTTCCTTCAATTTTCTTCTATTCTTCTTTCCTTTTGTATCTCATTATCTTTCTGATGGAACACTTTATTTGAATGTTTTTGTTTCATTGTAGGAACTGAAGAAAATGAAATGATTAAAAGAAGAAATGATAAAGTGTAGGAGATTCTTGGAAATGAAGAAATGAAACAACAGGAGGATTTAATAAACTTAATTATTCCTTGTATTCTCTCATTATTATGTACAAATATTTATACAAACACGTAGAAATGAAGAAGCTTACGTTAAAATACATCAACGCCTCATGTATTCTACTCAGCCACTTAAATACGCGAACGAATAAACGAAGTACAGATCCGCAGTCAAGTGAAACGAGTGACTTTTCATCTTCACGATATAAAAAAAAGGAAAAAGAAGGTAAGAGAATAAAGGGAGAAAGCCATTTCCAAGATGACATGCCGCTGAACGGAGATTCTTAAACGAATCGTTGACGTTTCAGGCGGAAGAATCTTCTCGGGACGGAAGAGATGCTCGACAAGCGACAGAAAAGCATAAAAATTGTTCGAATGCATCATCGAACAGAAGAGAATATGCATCTAGAAATTAAAATTACATCTTCTCTGTGACAGAGATTGGATTTTCAAATGAAAAGTTAAAACGTATTGGTTTATAAAATAAACAATCTCTAAAATATGCAGAAGACATATCTCTTCTTTGGAATAAAATTCATTAAAAAATTTATTACCAAAAACAAAAGTAGCTAATCTTATGTATGCAATAAGATTGCTTAAAAATATTTATACAAGTTAAACTACAATCTCTTCTTTGATTTTCTTCATAGAAATTATCTGAACCTGAAGTGAAATAACGAATGTAAAATCATTTAAACCGTCCCCGAAGATAGATCTTACCTAGGAATGGTTGAAATTCGCCGAATAAAATAAGTACTATATAAAATAGTGCCACAAATAAATTATTCTAAGCCATTAGAAATCACCTCCTAGCAAGGAGTCATCTCTTATATAGTCTTCCTCTAAATTGGCATCATTCATTTTTGCCAGTGTTTCGTTCCAGAAGGATCAACCGATCCGAAGGAAACTTTCATTTTATTTTAATTTTCTATTTTATCATTAATAATTCTTAAGTAAGTCTTAATGAACCTATATGTAAAAGATCTCGTTACTTTGGTTTGGATCTCTGCGTGCAGAGTTTCATTCTTCAGCGTTGAACCTAGGACAACCTTCGACTACTGTTTTAAACATTTATTCATTCACTTTTATTTCACTATTTTTTCATCGTCCAACTCCAGAGCAAAGTTCGTTATTCCTTGGACGTTATTGGCCCGTGGTTTTGTCTGCATGTTGAAGAGGGAGGCAATTGGAGGACTCAAGAGATCCTGATCTATGTCAGCTGGATTTTGAAAGCCAGTGGCAAAGCTGACCAAAGCGCCTACCAAGATTGTCAGAATGGAACCAATTGCACTGTACCATAAATAACTGATCTGCAAAAGAATAAGTGAATATTTAATATCTAAGGACATTTGGAACTTAGTATTAAATGCTGAAAATGATTAACACCTGTGAAAGAAGAAAGCTTACTTTGTATATAAAAAATATCCCATCATCACCAGTGTCATGAGGATGAATTGGAACAATGGTTGTGGTATTGCTCATACATGGACAAGCAACAGTAGACACAGGCTTGCTGTCCAAATGGATTTGCCCATTGAGAACAGCGATTTGAGCCCCCAGTCCAATCCACAGGACGATTATCAAGCTGGTGATTGCTCCAGAAATAGCTCCTTTGGCGTTGGCCCAAGGCACGAACATGCCCAAAGAGAATAATCCCAAGGTGATCCCTCCAACCATACCGTTGAACGATAATGCAACCTGGAATTATTGATCTCAGCAATCAACAGGGTACAGTATACTTCGGATTATTCATTAATCCTTACTAATAACCTGAAACGTGTACACAGGTTGAAAGAAGAAAATTGAAATGGAATAATTTTTACCTGAAGAACACTACCCAGGCGTTCCACGACGAAAACTAAAGCAAAACTAAGCACACCAAAGAAGATACTAATCCACCTGGCATAAATTGCTCCCTTCCTGGCTGGCAGCTCTATCTTGAACAACCCTTGAAATATGTCCTCGCAGGTGATTGCTGCCAGTGAATTCAAAGCACTTGCCACAGTCCTGGAAAATATGAGATGATATAAAACACTGTTTTCTTTTTATAAATCTTGGGACAGAGAGGTGGAGGTTTGATGAACATACCCCAGGGAAGCAGCAAAGATTCCAGCAACAAAGAGACCAGGCACACCGTTGAGACCTCCCATGAAGTTCATTACGTACAATGGCAGCAACTGATCCTGGCCACTTATGTAGCCAGCCAACAAGGGATCGCAGTCTTTGTAAGTGCTATAGAGCACCATACCAGTCAAGAAGTTCACAGTGTATATTATAATCATGCCAACAGCTGAGACCCATAACGCTCTGTAACAGAAGAAAATGAATATAATGTGTGAGAGATGAAGAACGCATAGCTTGGCAGAACAAATACTTATTTAAAATATTTTTCTTTTATGACACCTACGTTCTTGCTTGACCAATACTCTCAACGCTAAGGTACTTCTGGACGGATGCTTGATTGCTGCAGAACATGCTGGTCCAATAAACAGTTCCACCTATAGCTACGCTCCAGAAACTGTGTCGAATCGTTGGATTCGGATTAAGGTTGAAGAATTCCATTCTTCCGGACTCCTCGTTCGCTTTCCACACTGAAGAAATACCACCTTCCCAGGACAAACCGTATCCAACGATGAGGAACAAGGATCCAAGTAGCACCGCTGCTTGGAATGTGTCCGTCATTATGACAGCCTTCATTCCTCCCTGAGACGAAAAGAAGAAAACTAAGAAACTGGTAAAAGGGTAGGAATCTTAAAGAAAAATACAAACCTGGGACGCATAAAAGATACAAACTACGTAGACTAGAGTGACGGCTATATAAGTATTCAGGCCCGTGACTGTAACCAGAGAAGAGGCGTTAATTAGAGGGTGCCCGGATTAATTGTTTCAAGTAGGAGCGTTTCACTCGGCTTACCATGACTCAAAGCCAGTGCTGGCGCGTACACAGCCACGGATGTGTAGAGGATCATTTGTAACATGTACAAACTACTGGCAAGCAGTCTGCAATGACGATCGAAACGAAGATTTAGATACTCGTAGCTCGAGGTTAGCCTGAGCTTCATGTAGACTGGCAAGTAGAGGTACGACGTGATAGGCACCACCAAGATAAAGGCCACACAGGTCATCCAGAACTGGGTACCCTGTGGGGTTTTAAGGAAACTTCAATTTTTAATTTATATTTGATAGAAGTAGAATGGAAAAAAATATTGCAAAGTGGGAGGACAATTTTCTTCTTTTAGTTGTAGTTTCTTGGAGCTAAATCCATTTCTTCTTAAAGTAATTTGGAAGAATGGAAAAGAATATTACAAAATGGGAGGACAATTTTCTTCTTTTAATTTCAATTTCTTGGAGCTTAAGTCCATTTCTTCTTAAAGTTATTTAAGAATATGGAAAGAATAGAAAAAATATTACAAAGTGGGAGGACAATTTTCTTCTTTTAGTTGTAGTTTCTTGGAGCTTAATCCATTTCTTCTTAAAGTTATTTGGAAGAATGGAAAAGAATGTTACAAAATGGGAGGACAATTTCCTTCTTTTAATTTTAATTTCTTGGAGCTTAAGTCCATTTCTTCTTAAAGTTATTTAAGAATATGGAAAGAATAGAAAAAATATTGCAAAGTGGGAGGACAATTTTCTTCTTTTAGTTGTAGTTTCTTGGAGCTTAATCCATTCCTTCTTAAAGTTATTTGGAAGAATGGAAAAAAATATTACAAAATGGGAGGACAATTTTCTTCTTTTAATTTTAATTTCTTGGAGCTTAAGTCCATTTCTTCTTAAAGTTATTTAAGAATATGGAAAGAATAGAAAAAATATTGCAAAGTGGGAGGACAATTTTCTTCTTTTAGTTGTAGTTTCTTGGAGCTTAATCCATTTCTTCTTAAAGTTATTTGGAAGAATGGAAAAGAATATTACAAAATGGGAGGACAATTTTCTTCTTTTAATTTTAATTTCTTGGAGCTTAAGTCCATTTCTTCTTAAAGTTATTTAAGAATATGGAAAGAATAGAAAAAATATTGCAAAGTGGGAGGACAATTTTCTTCTTTTAGTTGTAGTTTCTTGGAGCTTAATCCATTTCTTCTTAAAGTTATTTGGAAGAATGGAAAAGAATATTACAAAATGGGAGGACAATTTTCTTCTTTTAGTTGTAGTTTCTTGGAGCTTAAGTCCATTTCTTCTTAAAGTTATTTAAGAATATGGAAAGAATAGAAAAAATATTGCAAAGTGGGAGGACAACTTTCTTTTTTTAGTTGTAGTTTCTTGGAGCTTAAGTCCATTTCTTCTTAAAGTTATTTGGAAGAATAGTAGAATAGAAGAAAATATAAAATGTGAGGACAACTTTCTTCTTTTAGTTATAGTTTCTTGGAGCTTAAGTTATTTGGAAAAATGGAAAGAATGGAAGAATGGTACAATGGAAAAGAATATTACAAAATGTGAGAACAACTTTCTTCTTCCACTTGTAGTTTCTTGGAGCTTAAGTCCATTTCTTTTTAAAGTTATTTAAGAATATGGAAGGAATAGAAAAAATATTGCAAAGTGGGAGGACAATTTTCTTCTTTTAGTTGTAGTTTCTTGGAGCTTAATCCATTTCTTCTTAAAGTTATTTGGAAGAATGGAAAAGAATATTACAAAATGGGAGGACAATTTTCTTCTTTTAATTTTAATTTCTTGGAGCTTAAGTCCATTTCTTCTTAAAGTTATTTGGAAGAATGGAAAAAATGGAAGAATGTTAGAATAGAAAAGGATATTACAAAATGTGAGGACAACTTTCTTCTTTCAGTTACAGATTTTTAGAGCTTAAGTCCATTTCTTCCTAAAATTATTTGGAACTTCTTCAAAAGTACACTTTAAACATACCTGTTCATACATTTCTGCAGGATTTCCAAGGAGCTCGATGGCCGTGATAAAACTAGCAGCCAAAGACATCGCCATAGGAAAGGTCCCCATACTGGATCCTCCCAAGAGGAAGTCCTGGCTAGTTTCCTGTTTCTTAGCGAAGAAACCATAAAAGGTACCGATCAAACAGGAGATCAGCAGCATCGCTGCGAGCACCGTATAGTCGGGCCATGAAAAATAATGAAGAAATGTCGGATGGTTCGCCAAACATTTTTCTTCTGCACTATCGGATGGACGTTGCTCCGCGGAAGAAACAGCCAGGAAAACGAACAGCACTAGGATACGCGATCGCATTTTTTGGGTGCTTGAACAGAAATTAAAAATATCTTCTGATTTTTCTATTTTAAATTAATTAATTATACTTTCTTTCTTCAGTACCGAATGCTTTCATATTTCTTCTTTTAATTCTACAAATTGTTGTAGGTATAAAACATTTTTGAAATCAAGATGTTAGAATGGAAATCAATCTGTATCGTGTGTCTTTTGCGTGATCTTAGACCTATCTGTGATATTTGATCAAATATCATTGAATGCAGCTCAAGGACACTGAATGCCAAGTACAGAGATTGATCATTTTATTGGTTTTCTTCTCAATTACCTTACAAATTGACAAAGACCACTGTGAGGATAGAATGTCTTTCTCTTGATTTCTTGAATTATGTACAATATTCTTCTTCATTAGATACTACTATTTTCTCAATGAATCATATTTTCTGTTTTAGAGGCAAGCTGCTTTTTCCAAATACATTTAAAGGAATCTGAATCTAACGCCTGGTTAATCGATTCAATATGGGCATACATTATTGGCCGATTGTTTCTTCCTTACGTAACCGAAGTGTAACGCACTATTCTGTACGATCTTTATGGCTATTAACACCAGCTTTCGATCATCATTAAAAAATCTGGTTAACACTGGCTAAAACCAGTTGATTCAATGACGAAGGAAGTCAATTAGCAGAAATTGTAGAAGACATGGTAAATAAATAATGATTTTCTGACTTTTTATTCAAATAGATATGGTTCTAATGTTAATTAAGTGGTTTGGTTGCTTTTGCACTCATAATGAAGTAATTATACATGAATATTTAATGTTCTTCTTCTTTCAGAGGCAAATTATGGTGAAGAAATACTTTGTACCTTGTATATTCTTCATATTAAGATTGAAATCTTGAATATTGACATTGAAATTACAATTTCAAGTTCATCAAATACAAACATCAGATTCTTCATTCACTGTATCAGGTTCAAAGAACCGAAACACATGCTGCGATCGATAATGAATTTCATAAACATTTTCGTTATCGACACTGCACGTATCAATGATCCTCGATGATCATTAAGACTGGACATTTCTGGTTGAAACCGGTTTCATTGAATAGGAATGTCCCAGCAAATTAATAGAGAGAAACCCATAAAATTTTTATCTCTTCCATCAGAATATCACCTATTTCCAAACTACTGACATAATTAATTTGTAATTATAAATATTTACTGATCTTTTTTTTCTTTTGAAATTTATCACCCAAGTCTCTGAACTCGTTTCATTGAAAACACCTTGGGGGAGATGAAATATTCCATCAGCAGTCATGCACAAAGCAATTTTCTAAAATTTACAAAAGGTTCTGAATGATTAATGAAAGCATGAATAAAGCTTGGATTACAATTGGACTTTGTTTCCTGGCAAGTGGAAAGACAACTTTTGGGTCAACCAATTGTAATTAAAACCAGAGAACCGTGAATAATACCTATTATGACACAGAGGAATGATTGCCATTTTTCATGGTGATTAATTTTGTTTAGAAAATATAAATTGCTGGAGGATGTTCTTTGTCTACGTTTTGACAATAATCACTGAATGGGTGATGTTGGTATTAATTACAGTTGTGAATAAGGATTATGGCTTTTATTTTGAACACAAGTCAAAGATTCTTGAATTTATGATTTCATATAATTTTTTAGAAAATTTTCCACCTCTTCAAGAGCAACATGAAACCTTCTTCTTCAAGTTTTCTGGAGAAATTTCAACAACCATTCTGTCACTTGCAAGAACAGAAGCTACTTCAAGCTTTCAAGATAATGGATCTTTAAGATCTGTGCCCTTTCAGTAAAACTGAAATCTTAAATCTTCAAGATGAAGAAGCTTTAAGAATCTTATATTATATTCCAAAATTTATATTTCTTAAGGAACAACAAATTAACATGTAGCATTATTAACAATTATCTTTAAAAACTCATCAAGCTATTTATATTTTCAGCAAATTATGACAGAGGCCTCCAACATTTCCAAAATTTCCAGAAGAAGCAACTTATTGTCATCTACTTCACCAATAAAGCTTCATAAATCATTTTCTCTTTCAAGAAGAACAGGTAATCAAAATCAAAAGTAGTTTCTTACCTCTTAAGGTTTTAACTGATGTTGAACAGCAACAGGTCCTCCCTGTATACCCAGGAAGAAATGAAAGGAAGAAGAAAAAGAGAAGTCACTTATTGTTTAACGAGGCAGAAAGGTACGAAACTGCAGCTGAATAATCTTGCTGCTGGTCTTCCTAACGTAACGCATATATGCTCGGATTTCAGCGTCGGACAAAGGCTGATCGTTCAGCGTCTCGAGCTGATGAAGCGAAGAAGAAGAAGAGACTCGAGGGCGATTAACTAATTAAGAAAATGTAGTCGGCTTCACGCGTGCCGTTTGCTACAGAGCCGACGAATTAAGCGCAGAACGATTTCAGACTGTCGTTTTAATTGTCACATGTGCCCATTTATACGAAGCATCCCCTTCCAGACTCGCAAGATTCTTCCATTCCGGATATTCTTATGGAAACGCAAACAAAATTGCGGCTAAACAATGATGATCACAAGGAAACTATTACATCTCTTCTTTTCTTATATGTTAGATAAGATAAAATTAAAAATTTGTTTGGTATAATTAATAGGTGCACAAATTAATTCGGTGCCTATTCTTTTTTTAATTAATGGCTTATTTTTAAGAAGTTATAATAACTACAATTATTGAATTTATTGTTATCAATATCATATTCTCGCGCCATTTTTCAAATTCACAAAAGCGCGGGAAAATGTTCGAATTTAATATAGTTACTAAGAAAGTTATTATTAAAGGTACCGAATTAATTTGTACACCTAATAATATTGTACTGATGAAATTGTTGAGTAAGATTTGAGTATGTACTCAGAATTCATTAACAATTGGTTCATACATTGATTATGATGCAGTTTTATTACATTGTTTTGTATAACAGCAAATCAATCTAGTGAAGAAAATTTGTTACTGAGTATCATCATTAATTCTTCAGCTGAGTAATTTAAGTAATTAGCATATATTAGTTGATGAGGGATCAGTGATTGAATAGTAACCCTCATATAACATGATCTGGATTTAAAAAAGAGAAGAATGATTGAATTGAAAGGATCTTTTAACTGTGGCGTAACTTAATTAGTCCCAAATAGAGTTACTGAGTCCTCAATCGATCCATGTTAGTGTTACAAGCCTCTTCAGATCCTTTTAAATAGAATTAGATTCTCTTATGGTCTCTGGAATTATGGTTTCACTTTACAGTTTATGATGACAGTCAAAATGTGTTTTAAAATTGCTGTCTGCAAACTTGAAGAAGTCCAAACAAGACTTCTGTTGACATTTTAAAGGGCAGATAACTACTCAAGTGTTACTCAAATCTTATTGAATTCTATTTTCTTCTTTTAACAATACCAAAGCAACGTTTAACGTGCTTCTTTGTTTTAATAATCATTGAAATTTGAAAACTTCTGAAGCTTTTTACTTCAACTGGAAGGTTAAAAAATTTCTTTTGTTTATAAAAAACTCGTATTTTCAGATTCCAGATGATGAAACTGTAAATCGATGCTTATTAATGTTTGACGTAATTTGATTATGAAGATTAGATTGTCTATCTGGATTTATAATTATTAGGTGTACAAATTAATTCGATGCCTTTTCTGTTTTTAATTAATTTCTTATTTTTAAGAAGTTATAGTAACTACAATCATTGAATTTATTGTTATCGATATCATATTCTCGCGCCATTTTTCAAATTCACAAAAGCGCAGGAATATATTCGAATTTAAAATAGAAAGTGTAATATTAAAGGTACCGAATTAATTTGTACACCTAATACTAATTGAATATTAATTAAAAACTGAATACTAAATTACGTCATTTAACACAATCAATATTATATTTGTTTTTGCAGGAAGAAATCTTAAGCCAGAGATGATTTCAGTATTGGCATTCCAAGAAAAGGACAGCTTATGAATGAGACAATTAGAGAAGAGTATAATTGAACTACGAAGAAGTTTCATGCAAGAAGAAGAAATACAATCAGGTCCAGAAGAAAAAAGAAGATATTAAATTATTGTTTTCTTTGCCTTTTCACTTTCTTCTTTATCTTAGACTTACATTTTCCATAATTTCCTTCTTCATCGTTTGCAGAAATCAATTTTTACCCAAGAGGTGTACTTGTTGCGAGTATCAGATGCACTAACAACTATTGACAAGATCACAATACTATCCGCGATAAAGAGGGCTGATAAACTACCACTGGTAGCTCTATTAACTGAAGATTGAAACTTGAAAAATCGACTCGTGAACCGGAATAGGCCTGAAAACCATATTCACAGTCAGCTGAAACAGGATTCAACCAGTTACTACTCCCAGGGTGGTAAACAAATCATATTTCACAAAGTTTTGTCTCCCTGATGCTTTCAATTAACTCATTCTTTAAAATTCTCCATATTGAACAACATATTTTAATTTATAATGATCAGTAACTTATGATATTCTACCAATTGCATAAAGTTAGCTTAAGAATCATAGGTTTTTCTGATGAATCAAAGATGATACTTAATTTTTCGTTTTAGTGCTTTTCTTGGACCCAACATACGTACAGTTTAAGCAATTAAATTGTTATATGAGATTCACTGTATGAAGCAGTGAATCATTTTGAAATAAAATTAAGTTATTAATAATCTTCTTGTCCATAAAATGAACATTTTATTTAATTGCTTATTGTTAGAAAAAGTGGTAAAGACCTGGAAGAAGAAAAGTTGTCTTACAGAGAACCTTGACCTTTAATTGAACTAGATAACTACAAGGGACACCATGATGGCATTAATGAAACATGATTTTGATAATGTAACTATTCTGCACCATAAATTATTTTTATGAATTGTAAATTAATATATCTGACAGTGTAAGGTCCTGTACACGTGTGAAAAAGGATTGGGATGTGATAGATACTTGTGATCATCTATGAGATAGCATAAGGAAATTTTCTTCCTCTACTGATTATGTTAATTTTACTAAGAACGCGATGACTCATAACGGGTTAAACAAGTTGCACCGTTCGTTCATGAATGAATTCACAGAGTCAAATGAAGTACCCAACAGATGTGATGATAAGTTACAAATCCTATTACAAAATCAATTATTAGCTTTTCACTGTCTTGGGATACATTTACTTATAATTACAAAATTGTTAAATATTTGAAAAATAAGAACTTTAGATTGCTTGAAAATATTTATATTCTATTTACAAAATCTTTGAGGTATCTTAACTAACTGAAATAATGATCCTTACCCTTTTGTCACATACATTCTTTGTCTAAATGTCAGTCAAACAGAATTATATCTTCATATCCAAGTGTTTTTCTTTTATAAAATGAATATGCTGAGAACACACACAATCATACAAAATTTCTTCTTAAATACTCTATATGATCCCTTTATCTCATTTTTCAGATCATCATTCTATCCTACGTTTCTTACTTAATTTCACTAATACAATACTGTGACACTAAAGTCGTTAATTTCAAAGGTAAACAAAAAATTGTATGTTGTGAAAGATTCTATAAGGAGGAGAGAGAAGAAGAATGGAAGGGAGAAGGAATCCTGGCAAAATAAACAGAAGCACGTGTGACATAGGTGAATATAATGACTGATACATTATATAATTATGCAAATAACATTGAATATTGACTTTAAAAGAATTCTGTTTCATCTGTTCCAGTACTTCAAATTACAAAGAATTAAACTTCTGAGCTTATAAAGAGCCTTGTATGAATGTCATAAATAAGTCAGTTCCTACAAAATGCCATAAACTACCAAGCCATTTGTCACCTAGTCATAGAAAGCGTAACATCAGTATAATTTCTTAATGAATTAATTGTCTATTAGACAAAGTGATGGCGGAAAATGACGAGCACGTTTCGCAGGAAAAATAATTAAAGAAAGCCCGGTGGCAATCGAAGCGCGAGTCACAGATAAATTGAAACTGGTTTCAACTAGCCACTAGTAGTTTGATCTGGACTTGGTGAACTTCTTTTGAACCACTTTGGACTGTTCTTTGTTTTCTCTGGACATCTTCAAAGTTGTTTCTTCATTACTTCTCTTTCCTAAACTGAATTTCATAAAATCAATTCCTGGAAATTTAAGGAAAGAGCATAGTTACAGAATCTGGATGTTAAAGGAACAGGATAATACAAAAAAGATTAAAAGGAATTATTCCTATTCTGCACACAAGCCCACATAGTGCTTTATTAACCCTTCCTGTATTGTACATTTAAAGTATGTACACATGATATGCGATATTATTACACTTTACAAAGTGAACGGTAATTAAACGTTACGTTTATCGCATACAGCAACTAATATATTACAAACACGTTTTTACAAAACCTTCTTTGATATTATACCTTTTTTGTACAATATGAAAATTGTTTCTCACGAGACACATTCATAACTCACAAAAATATATATTATTCTTCTATTTAGAGGCTCTCAAGATATATTAGGATCCCTTGTTTCTGTGATTAGAGTATTGTACTTTTGTTATCACTAAGCAATAATAGCTTGCACTGTATGCAAATAACTTAAAACGTCCAAGTCCCTTCCCTGTTGCAACACTCTTATCTTTAACGAACCTCAAGTTTCGCTGGCTAAATTTTAAAAAGTATAATTTACATTCTACTAAATTACCATCTGTGATACGTAAAACAAACAAAATCTTTCAAAAATGTACACCCAATTAGACATTTCCATAAAATGTGCATACATAGATAAAATATAAAATGGCAGTTTAGAGACAACGGATGGAAGACATTTTTCTAACAACTAGGTATATGTTAAGTAGCGCATAAATACAATTGAATTAAAAGCACCAATATCGCAAACTAGATTCAATAGTTTCTTTTCTAATGCTATATCAGTGCTTAAAATTAACATGCCCAAGAAACAAAAAACATTTTGGGCATTTTGATGTTCTCCAGATAAGAATCAACTGTATAGACATTATTTGGTAACGCTTAAGACTACAACAATAATTTAAACGTTTTCTTTCAGCCATAAATATGGAATGTCTAAAACCTAAAACGCCACACGAAGAAAGTAAGGCGGTTGACAAAGAATTACATTAGACTTTGGTAATGTTATATTCATCCATATTCTCTTGATCGTTGGTCGGTTTGATAGTAAAAACGTACTTTCTCTGTGCGGTGTTATCTTTTGGTACATCGTCTTCGCTTGATTCTAAAATCCTCTCGCGTCTACGACGTATACGTTCTCCTACCATAGGAAAGAACAAGTTGGTATCCAGCTCAACTTTTGGCTTCTTAAACATACGGTTTATACAGACACTGAGCAACAGTCCTATCACAAATGTCAGCACAAATCCAAGGGGGCAGTACCACATGTAAGAGATTCGGTATAAGTAAAAATAAGACGAATCGTTTGATGTCCTAAAGAGAAAAAATCAAATTAATTTCAACGATAATATTTTACTGATACAACGTTAATTGTAAGAAAAAGAAATAAATTAATTTCAACAATAATATTTTACTGATACTACGTTAATTGTAAGAAAAAGAAATAATCAAATTAATTTCAACAATAATATTTTACTGATATAACATTAATTGTAAGAAAAAGAAATAATCAAATTAATTTCAATAATAATATTTGACTGATACAACGTTAATTGTAAGAAAAAGAAAAAATCAAATTAATTTCAACAATAATATTTTACTGAACGTTAATTGTCCCTTACTGTGAGAATTGTGTTTCTGAAGAAAGGATAGTTGCATTTGTACAACCAGCATCGCTCGTTGGGAGAGTTGGAGGAGTTGGTCTTGGCTGTCCAAAAGCAGTCCAGAATAAAAGTGCTAAGGATATAGTAGCACCAGTTACAGATCCAATTTCTGACGCAGTTTCAGTGAGCATACCAAGGGTAAAGAGTCCTAAAAGTGGACCACCTACTACACCGAATATTGTCAAACCTGCCTACAAAGATAATACATCAAGTTTAATTTAATTCTATATAATAATTGTATTAAGAGTGATCGTTGGTTTAAAGAGAGCACCTGCAAAACGCCACCTAATAGCTGTGCCAAGAATGCTAAAGCGATGGAAAGAATTCCATAAAGGAAAGCAAGTATTTTGGCTAAAGTCGTTGAGGTCGTGGCTGAGAATTCCTTAGCACAACATTTTCTATATACTGGTTTCAAATAATCTTCTAATGTTACTGCTGCCAATGAATTTAATGCCGCTGAGATAGTGCTGAGGCCAGCACTAAAGATACCTAAGCAAAAAATATGTGAAGGAATCATAATACTCGTTGCCACATTCCTTCACGTGTCAACAGCAAGTATTTAAATATTAAAAATGAAAAATATTTTATTATAGAGTAACTGGAAATTTTACCTGCTATGAAAAGGCCAGCTAGACCAGGCTTATCAGACATGGTGTCCATAACATAATATGGCATCAACATATCGGTAGATGATATCTTATGCTGAAGCAAAGGATCGCAGTTGTAGTATTTACTATATATTGCTAGTCCTGAGAAACACGTAGTAATTGAAAGTATTGATAAAATTGGCCATGCCAACCAAAGTGCTTTCTGAGCTGCTTTTATATCCCTACAAATATCATATGAAGTAATAAATTAATTCTTATTTTTTTTTAGTCTTAATACGTACCTCACAGTCAGTAAACGTTGCACTTGAACTTGATTTACACCGTATAATGACAAAAATGTAAATAAACCTCCAATATTGAGTGACCACCAAGTGTGTCGTACTGTGGGGTCTATAGAAATACTATAGACATATTTTCAATTAATTTTTACAAAAAGAGAAAATAAAAGAATGATTCATTCTGCATACATCTACAAACATTTTTTACCTAAATTTTATTTATTACAATAAATATAGTACCTATCAAATTCAATTCTATTTCCTGCTTGCGCTATCTCCCAAATTTTGTCTAAACCTCCAGCTTCATTAGCTGCTGTTACAATAATAATAAAAACACTAACAAACATGAGCAATCCTTGGAACACATCTGTTATTAGGACAGCTTTAATGCCTCCTATGCTCGAATAGAAGGCGCAAACAAGACCGATAATAATAATACTGCCAGTTTTAGAAATTCCTGTTGTTGCTTCTAACGCTAAAGCAGGTGCATACAGTACAACGCCTGAGTACAAAAGCAACTGAAGCCAGTATACAAAGCTAGCCATTGTTCTAGCTTTTATACCAAAACGTTTCTCTAAGTACTGAAAAGATAAGAGTACAACTTTTAGGCAAACCGTGTAATTTCAATTGTATTTATTGTACCTACCTCGTAAGCACTTGTTGCTTGAAGTTTAAAGAATACTGGTAAAAATCCATAACAAACAAGAGGAGTTCCTATGAGATACGATAAATTAATTACTACAAACTGTGTTCCGTATGTGTAATTTTCTGCAGAAACACCTAACAATGTAATCGCTGACATGAAGGAAACTACAAGCGCAACACCTACAGGCATAATGCTCATCGATCTGCTTGCAACAAAATACTCCTATTAAAAAAAAATAAACTCAGCATTATTAAAGTATGATATTTAAGAATGTGCTATATAATTGAAATACACACCTCCATAGTCTTTTGACGTCCACCACTGAATCGGTAATAAATACCAATACCTATACTTATGCATAGCGTAGCTACTATAACTAAGTAATCCTCCCATTGCAGTGTTTTTTCCATACTATTGTCCTAAAAGTATAAAACAAATGACGCTTATTAAAAAACTTGATATTTTCACTGATGTTTCATATATTAAGGGTACAATTATTCAGGAAAGACATGATCGTATCAAGTTATCATGGACAACCCAATCTAATCTGTCTATTGTTCTCTATTAAGCCTGCTATCTTTATAATACACATTAAATGATATTTGCTAACACCGTTACCTAAGAACATGCTTTAGTAGTTGCAATTTTAATATATCGTTAGACTTTTGTTACATTTAGATCTTGCAATTAATGATAACATTAGAAAATTCTTACAAATGTTAATAATAAAATATTTCTAAATCAAAATAATCATACTTATAATCAAAATAACATTAAAAAAAAACATTTCTGGCTACTTATATTTATACATCATGTGATAATTACAATATCATCTATTGATTTTTTTCATATATTAGAAATTCAATGCATATATAAATCATTCTGGCGTGTAATTGGCGATACTTTATCAGTCGGAATTTCTACGTAATCGTTTAATTAATGTGCTTGCACCAGACGTATCCAGAATTTGATTATTTCAATCTTGAGCCTCCGACTGATTGTACACAGCTAATCTCCTAAACAGTAATTTATTAACGATGTAAGATATTGCCCGTAAGAACGTGAAACACGTTGATAACTTACCGGTATCCAGTGTCACGATATTATTCACTGATTCAATTGGTAGACGCGTTTCACCAGAACGGATCAATTGAACCGCGTCGCGGCTCTGACCCTTCTAAACTGTCGTTAATGAATTTCAGCTTGGTGAACGTTTCTTGTTAAAAAGCCGTCGTGTGTGTACGGGGACACGTGAAAAGGAGGCAGGCAGGCGCAAAGAAGAATCGCACGCGCACCGGCCTCTCCGCTTTGTTTGCATCATTTTAAGAAAATCTCAAGAACTTTTGAAACTTTCTCGTATTTTTTCATTGGCCAATTCCTCGATAACGATTATCAATTTCCACATAAAATTTCACACGTTTACTGATAACGAATTCCATATTTTTTCAAGGATTTTTGGTTCACCGTTGGCTCCTTACCCGCGATATCGCGTGATCTGATGAATGTCATTGTTAATTACGCACGCGATATCGAGCCGCAACGGTCTTGTTAATTATTTCTGTTTATACTAGATAGTACTCAGGGCCGGCTTTGAAATTTCGGGGATCCGAGGCGAGCACCGAAAAAGCGCCCCTTCGCATAAATGACAAAAAAAAGTAACTCAAAGAAAATTTATAAAATTCATAAAATTAACGTTAAAACTTGTATAATTAATTTAGATTTGCATTTACATTAATATTCAAAATCGTCTTATGGGGGCCTTGGATCTTGGGGGGCCCTAGTCGCCCGCCTAGTCTACCTAGGCCCAGGGCCGGCCCTGTAGGTATCAATAAGCCGTGGATTTCCATTTCTTTTATTTATCTTGAATTCTTCGATTATTTAAAAAATAGGTGTATGTTAAGAGGTAAAATGATATGAATAAAAATTGGACACAGTAGTTAATAGCAAAAAGATATGTATATTAAAAATGATATTTTGTTGCGTAAAATTAGTGTGTAAAAATAGCGAATGGTTGTTGTCCGGCTGAGAATCACTGTTGCTTTGTAATCATGCTTATCACCTAGTCGGGGCAAAGGTAAGCAGCATTTAAATGATCAATTTTCATTCAAATAAGTATGTTTATGTTTAAGAAAGTTAGTATACTTCCCATGATTAATCAGTGCAGCGGAATAATTAAATATTATTTCGTTTTACATTTTCAGATATCTTTTAGCGTTTCACTCCAGGATTAAATACATATACATATTTATAATTCGTTATGTAAAACTTATATAATGCGTGTACTCAACATTTCTATTTCAATAACCATTTACCTTGAATATTATTAACTAATTAATCGCAGACTCAATTTTAATGCGTCTATTTTAACGGCCGGACAAATGGAACTGAATGAACTTATAAATTCATTTTAAAAATCCTTCGATAATCGAAAGTCGACATTTTAAAAATAATGTTTAATCAAATAACCAATATTAAACATTGTCAAACAAGTGTTTCGAATTTAAATTATTCTTCTTTTTTAATTTTCTAATTAACTATTGCTATGTTCATTTCGTTTCATTTAATATGCAATGTTTTTACTTGAAAAAGTTGCCAAATTAGCAGAAATCACTAACGATCGATCTGTTTCGATTCGATACATCATGATGGCGGAGTACAGTGAAAAATGTACAGAAGATTGTTCCTTTGATTATAGCGAAGATAAACAAAAAGGTGTATGTGTAATTAAAGAAGAGTAAGTAAATATTATTATATTCATTATAATTATTAGATTTTTATGAGTTATTACAATTTCTTGTGCTTTCACGTTCCTTAACCTTAACACGTGAAAACCGCGTGCTTTGTTGTCATCGTTCATTGTTACACCTTTTAATTTCAAAGTATTGGTAATTGTATCGATATCGTTGCAGGTACATTATTGGAGATCACATAAGACTTCTAAGTGAAGAATGTTTAACAAAAACTGATAAAGAAAAGGTATCCACTAGTACAACTAATTCAGATGAGGATGTATCGCATGAACCACCGTTAAAAAAATTAAAAGGTGATGATAGAAGGGAAAAGCTCAGGGGTCAAAATAAAGCAAGACCACCGCCTTTCAAGGCACAACGCGAATTGAATTTGTGTCCTTGGATAGCGGACCAAGCAGTTGGAGAACCTGAAAAGAAATGTGATAATAAACGATGCACGTTCTTGCACGACAGAGTACAATATCTAAAAATAAAACCAGCTGATATTGGAGATGAGTGTTACCTATTTAACATCACTGGCAGGTGCCCAAGGGGTGCTGCCTGCAGAATGGGCTCCAAACATTTATTAGAAGATGGTTTAAATATCGTGGATAAGGAAAAGGAAGAGGAATTCAAGAAACTGCCACCTTCTACGAAGAATCAATTAACGAAACATCTTCAGATTCAGCTGAGGAAACACAAATACAATTTTTCCAAAGCGGAAAAAGTTGTTAAAGCGAATGAACCATCTAGGAAAAAATTAGAAAGTGCCAAACAAATCGAGCAGTCTTCCAAAGTAACCGAACCACAAATTACAAATGATTCTAATGATAAGAACTCTGAAAACGATACTACAGAACAGAAACTAGGGCCAGTCGAAGATTCTGATTTAATAAAATGTAGAAATGTAGAGAAGAAAAAAATAGACTGGGAAGATAAGATACTATTGAGCCCTTTAACAACAGTCGGTAACTTACCTTTCAGAAGAATCTGTAAAGAATATGGAGCTGATATAACCTGTGGAGAAATGGCTTTAGCGCCCAGAATATTAAAAGGGGCCCATGAAGAGTGGGCGCTTGTAAAAAGGCATGAATCAGAGGATATATTTGGGGTACAGCTTTGTGGTAATAATCCAGGTGTGTTGACCAGATGCGCCCAATTGCTAAACCAAGAGATTGACGTTGATTTCATAGACTTGAACCTGGGTTGTCCTATCGATTTAATTTATAGACAAGGAGGAGGCAGTGGGATGCTTAACCGATTAAACGTCCTCGAAACTGTAGTAAAATCAGTGAATCAAATTATGGATATACCTTTAACAATAAAATCTAGGACAGGTGTTTATATAGATAAACCAGTCGCTCATAATTTAATGCCAAAGTTCAGTGAATGGGGAGTATCCATGATTACTGTGAGTAAGTTAATTATTATATTAAATTTACATTCTATGGGTATTATGAAATATATTGCAACATTTTAATCAATTATTATCTTTTAATCCAGGTCCATGGACGATCTCGTGAACAAAGGTATACAAAATTAGCTGATTGGGATTATATAGAAAAATGTGCTAAAGTGGCACAACCTGTTCCAGTGTTTGGAAATGGGGATATCCTATCGTTTGATGACTATCAAAGAGTACGAGACACTTACACAAGTGTCTCTGGTATTACTATAGGTCGTGGTGCATTGATAAAGCCATGGATATTCACAGAAATAAAGGAAAGAAAATTGATAGATATATCCAGCAATGAGAGATTTGAAATCTTGAAAAAGTATACCAATTATGGTCTTGAACATTGGGGTTCGGACACTCGGGGGGTTGAAACGACGAGGAGGTTTATGTTGGAATGGATATCTTTCTTGCATAGGTACGTTTATTATATTATAATAAATGCCCTTTTCCAAACCGCTTATTGAAAATCAAAACCAAAGAAGATTGAGTTAGTATATTGTATTGTTAAGGGCCTGAACGAAGGGTTTTGCGAAATTTTGATTTTCACCAAAATGACAAGAATTTTACTGAAAAATCTGGTTTTTGAAGTGGTCAAATTTTTTCTTTGTGATAAAAAAAAATTTTTCAACGAAATTAAAAATCCTTCGTTCAAGCCCTTAATAATACAATATACTAACTCAATCTTCTTTAGTTTTGATTTCAAATAAGATCCCTCATTATTTAACATTTTATTTTAAAAAAAATCTTGAAAATTACCCGATCCCAACTAGGCGTAACCCCTTAATAAATAAATTTCAGGTACGTTCCTGTTGGTATTTTGGAAAGACCACCGCAAAGGATCAACGAGAGACCTCCGTTTTACCGAGGTCGAGACGAGATGGAAACGCTTATGGCCAGTTCAAACTGTGCTGATTGGATTAAATTATCGTAAGAGCATTTCCATTCCTAATTGCATTTAACGCGACCGTGATTCTTAAAACAAACTTTCCTTTTCAGAGAGTTATTACTCGGAAAAGTGCCTGAAGGATTTCGCTTCTTGCCAAAACATAAGGCGAATTCATGGAAATAATGTATAGTAAATTGTCACGTGAACAGAATACTTTTATATCAGGAACTTCTTTTCTTTTTTTTTAAATAAACAAACTACTCGTCAGATGGAATAAATGTTAGAAGGATTATGAAGAATCTTTTGTTTCTTTATTAAGCATTTGAAATCACAGATAAGAAAACCAATCATATACAATTAATAATAATACAGATAATAAATTGAAATGATTTATAATCTGTAGAATTTTAGTGAATTTCACCAATCGGTTGAAAAGTGTTGTAGGTGTCGTTTCATTCTTTAACCCTCTGCGCAACCTTGGTCTCACCTAAGTGGAAATTAGTAATGAACAGTTATATCTCCGAGGACAGATACGGGCCACATGCAATCACAACCGCTGGCTATCTGTTTGGAGAAGGGTTCCCAACACTCTCCGTCCCATCGTCGTCGCATTAACAATAGCCTTCTACTTCTTTGAACGCAATGAAAACTGGGTTCCACGCATTTCTGGAAAACACACATTCTGCTTTAGTATGATCAATTTCAACGAGGTTCGTTGCTTTCACAAAATGCATCCTTGTTTCATGTGCTCACTAAAATGTGAATGGTTCTTCTAATAAAAGTTTTCGTTTCACAGGTGTACTAAAGTAGAAGTGTATCTTCTTTTTCTTGCAAAGCAAAAGCAGTATCACATACACACAACAGACAGAAACAAATTGATCTACCTGCTTCGAAAAATTCACAGGACGTTCAATGTTATCTATCAAAGAGTAACTTTTACAATAAATTTCATGATAATGCGGAGGTTGGTACTCGTACTCGGAGTCGTCTAATTGTACTTTTTTGGTAACGGTTTCGCAAAGACTACGATATTCCTACGAACAGACATAGAGTAAACGTTAATTACCCATGCAGCTTTATTTCTTTTTCTCGGATACAGAACTGACCGGTAATAAATTACGATTATTTCTATCGAAGGATTGCTCTTCCTTCCGTACACGTTCCTCGATGTAATCTTCTTCAGGTAGATAAGCCATGTCCTGAGCAAGAGGTAGGTGTAGACGATTAATCTCCCGCATCTGCAAGTAACTTCTGTTGCACTTCTTGTAGACATTGTACGAACAGTCTCCCAACACAGCCATCGCGGCGAGCTTTGTCAACAGAAAATAATAATTACAATAAGGTAATCTCATATTAATTTCAATGTAAATAATGCAATTGGCAAAGAGTTGAATTTATGGTAAACTCGAGTGATCAATAATTGACAATCGTTCCACCGTTTTGTCAGTTATATTATTAAACGACTGATTCACTCTGCTTCCATTCCCACTTGCCAGAGAACCCTCCGCATGCGATTTATGCATTATTAAGTTTGATGGCTCTCTAACACTAAGACCTCCGTGGAAGCTTGAATTTTAACGATGACGCAATACAATACCATAAAACATCTATGAAAGACAAACAAGAATTGTACTTTTACATAACATAACTGATTGGTACAAAACATGCACTATTTATTAGGTGTGCAAATTAATTCGGTGCCTTTTCTTTTTTTAATTTTAAGAAGTTACAGTAACTACAATGATTGAATTTATTATTATCGATATCATATTCTCGCGCCATTTTTCAAATTCACAAAAGCGCGGGAAAATATTCGAATTTAAAACCGAATTAATTTGTCTCGCGCCATTTTTCAAATTCACAAAAGAGCGGGAAATTGTTCGAATTTAAAATATTAACTAAGAAAGAGTAATATTAAAGGTACCGAATTAATTTGTCTCGCGCCATTTTTCAAATTCACAAAAGCGCGGGAAAATGTTCGAATTTAAAATAGTAACTAATAAAAGTGCAATATTAAAGGTACCGAATTAATTTGTCTCACGCCATTTTGCAAATTCACAAAAGCGCGGGAAAATGTTCGAATTTAAAATAGTAACTAATGAAAGTGTAGTATTAAAGGTATCGAATTAATTTGTCTCGCGCCAGTTTTTAAATTCACAAAAGCGCGGGAAAATATTCGAATTTAAAATAGTAACTAACAATAAGATAGTGTAATATTAAAGGTACTGAATTAATTTGTACACCTAATAAATGAATCTTTGCAGTATTTCTATCAAATTAATAATGAATTAATTTCCAGTGTTGACTGATCATCAAGGGAATAAGAATATGAAATTTTCAATTGATGAGGAACAAATGAATCCTTCTTAAAACTGTGTCTAAGTTAACTGAAGAATTTTGTGGCGGTCAATTGAACAGTGATGTCAGAAATCAGTGTAATGTGTTGATCAATCCCTGAAGACCATAATACCGGCGCGAAAAACAGTACAAACCAGTCAGCAAGGTCGATCGTGATTGAGCTGACGTGCTTCGCGTCGCATGATGCAAATTAGTCTTCCCCATGCCGATCTCTATGATTCGCGGTGCCTTCAAACTGCGAATGGAATAATACTCACCTAGCAGAAACGGTGGAAGAATTTGGAAGAACTTGGATTAAAATTCTTCAAACATTTTAATCAATTATTGCAAATGTAATAATTAAGAATCTTCTATTCTACAATTAACAATACATTTCTTTTTTTTAAATAAAGATTCTCTATAAAAATTATAAATCAAGGTAGATAAAAATTACTGTTGCTTATGATATTGAAGAGAAGAAAAGAGTAATAGTGAACTAATGAAAATACACTTTCAGGAGAAGAAAAAGGAGGGCCAGGAGAGGAGGCTAGTCTCTGAAACGATATCAACACGTATTCTCCACGCAGTGACACGTCGGTGTGTGGTAAGGTAGTTATCCAATTGACGGTGCCCCCGTCTGACATAGTTCAGTCGACGACGAACTCAGGATGATTCGACTACGTCTCTGGCAGTGGTGACGTTCTCGCAGCCGTACGAATTACCGTTTCACTGTGTGTTCTTCCTCCAACGTTATTGCGAATCGTGAAGGAAAGAATAGTATCGTTTAAACGTTGAAAATCGACATGAAGATTCCTGTTTGGTTGACGAGAGACGCGATTGTGCTTTGGGACCAGATCGCTGGTCCGGTAACAATGAACACGGTCAAGGTTGCCCGTTGCCAGTGATCCGGTTCCTTTTTCTGGGCGTCGATAGACGAACGCAAGGGAGAGGGTTTTGTCAACTTCTTTTGGAATAAACGCGTAAGCGTGGAAGAAAGGGGGGGATGAGATGCGAACGCGTCAACGCGATTGATATGGCAGCTGATCTGTACGCGAATGGATCCGTGAAGTCAACGTCCGGCAGGTGAGATTAATTGATAAGGAAATTGTGATAAGGTATTGTTCTTGGCTTAACTGGTCATCAGTGGAGGATACAAGATTTTTCTGTATTGTAATTCTTGTAATATAAAATTATGCTTTTTAGGCTGATTGGAATGAATGGAATTAGCAAAGCAAATTTTACTTGAAATATTTTATAATTCTTGGAACTTCTCTGAGAAGAATGTTTAATTGTGATAAGGTATTGTTCTCGGTACTGTGATCTGGTGTTTCAACTGGTCATCAGTGGAGGATGCAAGATTTTTCTGTATTGTAATTCTTGTAACATGAAATTATGCTTTTTAGGCTGATTGGAGTGAATGGAATTAGCAAAACAAATTTTACTTGAAATATTTTATAATTCTTGGAACCCCTCTGAGAAGAATGTTTAATTGTGATAAGGTATTGTTCTTGGTACTGTGATCTGGTGTTTCAACTGGTCATTAGTAGAGAATACTAGATTTTTCTGTATTGTAATTCTAGTAACATGAAATTATGCTTTTTAGGCTGATTGGAGTGAATGGAATTAGCAAAGCAAATTTTACTTGAAATATTTTATAATTCTTGGAACTCCTCTGAGAAGAATGTTTAATTGTGATAAGGTATTGTTCTTGGTACTGTGATCTGGTGTTTCAACTGGTCATTAGTAGAGAATACTAGATTTTTCTGTATTGTAATTCTAGTAACATGAAATTATGCTTTTTAGGCTGATTGGAGTGAATGGAATTAGCAAAGCAAATTTTACTTGAAATATTTTATAATTCTTGGAACTCCTCTGAGAAGAATGTTCAATAAACAAGTTTTACAAGGGCGAGATCAATACCTGAACGAATATTTCAAATTCTCCCCTTGTTAAGGTACTCTGATTTTGGATGATTCATACCGAATATGTATAAGCGTGATTTCCTCACATTTTTACATAATGAAATGCTTCAATAGCCGCTGCTACTGTCCGAGTTAATAACCAATTGACCCTCGACCGCTCGTGCAAAGGTTTCATTGAGGAATACCGTTGGACAAAAGTTGAACAGTTCAGAACTGAAAATTCTCAATTTCCATACTGTGGAAATGTTAGCAATTGAACTGTGAAAATTTGTTAGAGAGAAGAAAAATGAAATTTGATGCATCTAGCGGAAAGAAGCAAGTGTAGAAAAAATTATCATAGACATAAGAGGATGTTGAGAGTAAGAAATTCACTGTGATTTAATTTGGTATCATCAAATTGTTTGTTTCTTCAAATACCACTTGACTCATTCTCGATGCAAAGTCATTTCAATAAATTCATCCGGTCTCTAGGAAATCCATGTTAGTGATGATCTGCTTCTGTTCAAATGAACATATAATCGTCAAGGACACACAACTGTCCCCTTCAGTTTTGTCTTGTAAGTAAATTAGAATTCGCAGTCTTCTGCTATTTTTCAAATGGTAAATTCACATTTTTCTCACTGCACTATTTCTTAGAATCAGCCTGTTCGTCGGTTGTCTTTGTAAATATGCAAAAGGACAGAATTGTGACCTCGGTGTGAAATGAAACATGGTGGAATGAATGCTCGTGTGCTGCTGTCAAATAGAGAGAAAAAAAAAAGAAATAAATTGAACACAAACAGACGCTCTGTTTGATAACATTGATGTCAATCACCAAGTGTCGTCCTGTCCCATCAGTCTTCGACGGATGTTCTTCGCCGACGGTCGTACTAAATGATTCGTTTTCTGGAGTTTTATAAAACGTATTACCTTCGTTCATATAAATTTTAGATAACCATTGTTCTTTTAATAACAGATTAAATAATTGCAGAAATCAGACCGGTTGGCAGACTATTCAGAACATGAAATAGTGAACACAGGACAAGGCTTATAAATGGGAACGATTCGCTGAGAAGAGGCTATTAGACTCGTTAGTTTAGGGAATCAATTAGATTGTTCGTTCTAAGTGGCAAGGACGCGCCAAGAATCCCATCGAACGTCTACGTGATGTGTTTACTATTGTTTCAGTACGTTATTTGCTCCACATTGTTAGTCACGAAACAGCGAATGATCGTTCGTCCTTCTAATTATTCTGTTTTTTACCTTCTCCAACGCAGAGACCTGTGGTTATCCTTCAATTTTCATTCTGACTCAGCCAATTGAAATTAATTCAGTCCTCTATAACTAAGGATTACAAAACTGTAAATTGATTTTATTTATATTTTTCTTATGTGTCTTCTGAAGCCAAGAGACAAACGTTTGTGTTCTTGTTTCTCAATTGAAGTTGCTTTGAAGTATACCATTCATGTAACAGTAGAGGTTCTTCTGGTAAACCTTCTATTTAGGTTAAAAGTTTCATTTCCTGAGCAGAACAGCGACTTTAATTTAAGTTTATAGTCTACCTACGTTCATCTTCCACGATGTTCGCAAATATTTTCTGTCCATTCGTTTTTACACTCATGTTCATATTAATTTCAATTCGCTTTTAATTCTATGAAGTAAGGAAGTATTATAAATTCTATAAAGTAAGGAATTTTATTATTTTAGAAAAAAGATTCCATTACAAGATGGAATATTCTTTCTTAAAATAAGGTACATGTGTGTCAATGTAACTAAATGAGAAAGGAATGTACATGAGTTCTTTGTGTTTGAGGAGACAATTAGATCATGCTAGCAGAATATTTTCGCGGAGACGGATTTAAACTTGTTAACAGCCTGCAAATGACGTATATGAAAGTCCAATCAGTATTCATGAGATGGAAATTATTCCTTAAAGTTCTTGAAATACTTTGTTTTGTCAGATTTTTTTTCTGTCTTAATTCTCTCTTCCACTGGATTTAGCAGTGACAGTTTAATTGTAATAATATTGTATTGTAAACGAAGGATTGTTTCTATAGGGACAAAGAGAAGGTACAGTTGAAAAGACTCAAGGGTCCATTCGCTATCAGATTATTTTTAGGTAGCAAGATAGGGGCTACCCCTTGATGCCAACTAAAAATAGCCACTAAGGCCAATCCAACTCCAATTATTCCATTTAGGTATTTAGGTGACAATCGACTGACCGCCAATTTAGAAATATTCCACACGATGACAACCCAGGGACCTCAGCCAGTGTTGTGGATGAATACAAATAATATCATAGCAAGACAGAAATATATTTCAATTCAAATTTTAATTGAATAAGCAATAGAAATATTTGCAAATAGTAAATTGTAGACAATTTTCAAAGTTAGGAATTGCAAAAGCAATGGAACAAATGTTGATTCAAAGAGAGTAAAAAAATTGAAAAGGTTTCATTTTAGAGATCATTTTAGTTTATGAGACTCCTGTACTGTTTTTCACAGTTCTTGACCAAAGAAAATGAATTATTAAAAATTAAACAATGGGTGTAAAAATGTAATTTTTATTCTCAATTAACGATTGTATTTAGGAAATCGTAATTAATACGTCCGCTAATCGGTTGGGCATGTGTTTGACGCCTGAAGTAAGGCAACTGTGCTAACATAGATGTTTCTTTGTGCGCAGAATTGCGGGCAGCATGAGGCAACGTAAGACCGGCACGCTTGGCGCCGCGGCGCCTATATCTACGAAGGAGGAACGATTGAAGTTCCAAGACAACAGGTTCCTGACGACATTCGTACTCGGCCGAAATAGGTTAGTCCTAACTTTACCATTTTTAATGTCTCCTTATTTAATTTAAATTTAAATGAGTTTCGATAATCGATCGATAATACTTGTTTGAAAAGTCTCGATTTCGACTCAGCGTTCGTTCGATTAGTACCGATAGCCTGATCACGTGACTTATTCGATAGTCGTGATTTTATCAGGGCCGGCCCTGAGATTTCGGGGGCCCGAGGCGTGGTTTTTCAAAGCATTATTAATAATTGCAATTTTAGATTTAGAAAAATTGCAATATGGCTTTTCAAAGCATCATTAATAATTGCAATTTTAGATTTAGAAAAATTGCAATATGGCCTTTCGACAGGGCCGGCCCTGAGATTTCGGGGGTCCTAGGGGGGCTCTTTCACATATATGACATAAGAATAGTACCTCAAATAAAATTTATAAAATTAACATTAAAGCTTGTATAATTAATTTAGATTTGCATTTTTATCGATTAATATTCAAGTGAACATTACTCTTCTTCAGAGGCGAGCTCTGAAAAGGGGCCCCTTCACATATATGACATAAAAAACAGTAGCTCAAATAAAATTTATAAAATTAAGATTAAAGCTTGTATAACTAATTAATATTCAAGTAAAAATTACTCTTCTTGCATTCTTAGACGCAAAATCGTCTTCTGGGGGCCCTGGACCTTGGGGGGCACTAAGCCCAGGGCCGGCCCTGGATCTTATTCTCGTTATTGAATGCATCGTTTCCTTATTTAAATTCAATTTTGAACAGTTTCCATTGCATCTGTTAATCACGATAATTGTTATCCTATTAAACGTATGCGTAGGATGATAAATTTAGCGTTTCCTTGTCTAAATTTAAGTGCAATTTACGTTGCAAATTAACACACGCATTTAACATCCTTTTAAACGAGTTATTACGAACCGACACAGGGAACTCACCGAGACGTACTAATAGTTAAACGGTAAACAACGTAAGTTTTCTTAATGACGTAGTAGTACGTGCATGATAATTAAAAGTGTTCAAAGCTGCTGGCGCGCGGTATAGTTGGAAGGTACATCTGTGTGTACCCGGGCCGTGCAAAAGTTTCGCGATCCAGTTTCCTTATTTCTTGTTTGATAAATTATTTGGTAAGTTGTTTTTAATTTTGATAAAATTTCTTATTACAAAAGTAAAATTTGTTCGGGAAATAACAATAAAGTATAATTTATTTAAAATTTACTTTCGTTCGTTAATGAATATTTATATATTTTGAAATCTTACCAGACCGAGATAACCTAGTCGATACATCGCAGTCGAATTTTCGATTTTTCTGTATGCTTCGATAGTTGCTTTCGTTTGAAGTCGCAAACCAAATTACTCCGCTAACCACCCTCGTTTAACCCTTTTATATCGTATATAGATTCTATTCATCTGGCATTTTGATGTCGAAAGGTCAATAGTACAGATTATAGATCTTCGTGTAAATAACGAAAGCCGATATCACGATAGTCGTCTGGTTTGATTGTTAACCGTTTTAATTGAATTCTGTAATCGTACCGTTCGAGATGAGCGTTGATATCGATAAGTCGACAATTCTTTCGACGCCATTGCCGGTTGGTTAGTTTCCTCTTTCTTTTTGCGTTCTTTTTCCCCCGTTCGTTATATTTATTTTTTCTTTTTCTGCCGATGAAAATGCAGAAATCGTGTCTGTTTGTCTGTCTCTTTCTATATCCGTTTATTTTTTCGATTTTTTGTCTTCGTTCTTTCTCGTATTTCGTGTCTAAATCCGTCACGATTGGTATGCTTGTCTGTCTTTCCCGCTCTTTTCTCCGATCTCTTTCTCTTTCTCCTTCTCTCTCTGATTTAATATTCATCTTTCTTTAACGCGCTTCTCGATATACGCTCGAACAACCATGAAAGCACTTCAATTATTAATCGCCGTGAGCGTGTTGACGGAGTTTATGGTGGGACTCGACTTCGACAGACGGACCAGGATTAACCTTAATATCGCGGTCACGTATCGCGTGGTAACTCGTTCTTTCGCCGAAAAAAATCCCATTTCCAACTGTGCGGTAGTCGCCAGCAAATCGCGCGCACCAGACTGCGCTACTTATGTCGGATAAATTCTAATCCCCGGATTATTTCTACAAATATATCTGGAAACGTGAGTAAATCTTTGACAGAGATATTCAAGGAAGATTAACGGGGTTGCGTGGGTTTACCTTTATTCGATGTTTTTATTTAATCCTATCCTAACCCACGCGCTTATGTCACGCGATGGAAATCGAGTCGAAGCGACGCTTTTTCAAAATTCCCTCCAATTTCTGATCACCTCGAAACCGCGTGTTCTAGTAAAAAAGTGAAATATTTTTAATTTACTAAAATACATTCTTTATCCGTACAATGTAACTGCTAGAAAAATAAGACGGGTGTACTTTCGAAAGCGACAACCCTCCGATTTTTCTTAATTATTATTGATATATTTAAGTTAGGTTAGGCTATATATTTAACGCCGGTAATGCTTTCGTTTACACATATTTTTATAATCAATTTATTATTATTTCATGAAAGCGTTGCCGGAAAGTGCGGATTATGTGTTCGGAACAGATCGCCAATTATACTGCGCTGTGTCGGTAAGGTAGGGAATGATATCAATGATAGTGTAGAAATTACTATTTGTTTATATAACAGCCAAAATAATAGGTTTATGTGAAAAATGCGTCGAATCTTTTTTTAAGAGCTTTTTATGAGCTTTATTTTTTGTTTGAAACTTTTCTCTCTAAAATCAATATTTTCGGAGATATTCAGTAAGAACTGTCAAAACTTTGAAGGGGGCTGGGGGGCAAACGAGGCTTTGTCGCAAAAAATCCATCTAGGGACTTTCTTCTCTAATCAAGGATAAGCTTTGGCAAAAATTTCAGAAAAATCGGAGGGTTGTCGCTTTCGGAACTTTATCCAATAAGACTTTCGAACGTATTAAATTGTTCTAGATTAAAATTTATTGCGCGAGCCGGTCTTTTCTCGAAGAAAGATCAATCAGCTTAATGAATCGGATTGAGGCTCGCGTAGGTTGAGTCGACGTTTTGTCGACGCATTTATTTTGACAGGATTACATGTAATTGAGACTTAATAAACACATTCGTGACTAAATATGATCCAAATAGTTTCGTTCAACTACTATACAATTTAAAAATCTGAAAGACGTTTCTATTTTATTTCTATTTTCTATTGATTTTATATGAAGAAACCTAATGTGTTTTCATAGAAAAATAGCACCAGACGTCCTGCCTTCTTGTTCGCCGGGAATATTCCGACAGAAGTCCTTTCGCGCTTCGTCACCGCCGAAAAGTGCCAGTGCCGTGACAAAAAACCCAGCCGCAACGAATAATCGCGATCGCGCCTGCGCCGATCTAACCAGTCCACGTGATTTAAAAACATCAAACAGCAGTAGTCGGTCAAAAAGCAGCGGCGTGTTGCTTCTCGCGCGGGGCACCCGGGGTACCAGCAAGCACGCGCGCCTTGGCACGGTACTGGCGAACAAAATGGCGTCCTCGAGCTCTAACACGGTGGTGCAGGGCTGGCCAAACACCAAGGACGACTATGAGCTCAAAGAGGTTATCGGTGAGTAACGTTTCCACCACGCTTTTCTTCTTTCTCTCGATGATGAAAATTTTTTATCGAGCTATTTAGGATGACAATCTATCCCGTGGTATACGTTTACCGGGTCTCAGCGGGGAGCTACTTCTGCCTTCTTTCGTATATCACATAGAGAGTTCTTTGCCTCGGTAATGGAACGCGTTACATAAAACCGTGAATTCACGGGTTAACAGATGACACAGAGCTGTCGGATTATTTAGTGATGGTACAGTGACGAGGCTTAATTTGACGCATTGTCCTTATCCATGTTTACGCAACTGTTTCTCTCGCTCTCGTTCTCGATACTCGCTATCTCGCTTACACTTGCCAAGGCACGTATACCGGTGCTTCATACGTCCTAACCTCGTTAACCTGCTAAAGAAACGGAACTACCGATTATGTTGCGTATATTGATTATGCATCGATATTTTCGGGATACAATTGTAAATTATTGTTAGATTTGAAGCTTAGAGAATAAATATTATGTAGGTTAAGTTGTATTACCATATTAAATACATCATTGTTATAATAATAAATATTATGCAGGGATTGTAGACATTGTTAAGACAATTAAAATAATATATAAAAAATGTATTTTTATTATATTTTAATGTTAACAGTTACCTCCTTATACATTTATAAAGACTACTTAGAAAAATTTTTTAAATACAAGTGTATTAAAGTAATTTGAAATACGCGCCGATTTTTAGTGACGTAGTTGACGTAAAACATGTCGCGCGCTATTTAAATAATTCAAAATCAAATTCCTTCTTTAACATTATATCATTTAGTGATTGTTGCTTTAATTGCAGGGGTGGGAGCGACCGCCGTAGTGCACGCGGCATTTTGCATTCCACGGCAGGAAAAATGCGCCATCAAGAGAATAAATTTAGAAAAATGGAACACGAGCATGGATGAACTGCTGGTGAGCATTTTATACTGTTATCAAAAGATACATCACAAGAATTGATTCATTACAGAATTAAGTTCATTATATTTCCCCAATAAATGGAAACATTGATAAGATAATAATGATGTATCAGTTGTTATAGATGATCGTAATCTCTGTACTTGCTAAAAATAATTTTTCATTTATGAATCATTCAAATATCACACGTTGTATCTTTTTTATTTTCAATAGAAAGAAATACAGGCAATGTCATCCTGCAATCATGAAAATGTCGTCACATATTACACGTCGTTTGTGGTAAAAGAAGAGCTCTGGCTGGTCCTCAGGCTTCTCGAGGGTGGATCCCTCCTAGATATCATCAAACATAAAACAAGAACCACAAACTGTAAACACGGTGTATTCGATGAAGCTACAATAGCTACAGTGTTACGAGAGGTACTCAAAGGTCTTGAGTATTTTCACAGTAACGGACAGATACACAGGTACATCAATTACAGATAATTTTCCATGTCGAAGGAACAAAGGGATCAACTTTCTATTTATACTAATAACAGAATAATATTAGGGACATCAAAGCAGGGAACATCTTGCTAGGAGAAGATGGCACCGTGCAGATAGCCGATTTCGGTGTCAGCGCTTGGCTTGCAACGGGACGAGATTTAAGCAGACAGAAAGTCAGACACACGTTCGTGGGCACTCCATGCTGGATGGCACCTGAGGTCATGGAGCAGGTGAGAGAGGAAAGTAACATTACAATTTCTTAGCTTGCGTTTTTGTGCCTATATTTGTCTTATGTTTAGTTGAGGTGCATTATTAGCTTTAGAAGATACATAGACATAGAATTTTATGTTTTTCAAAAATGAAACTTTGTATTAGTTATGCATGTAAATTATACATGGTTGCTCTTTTTACTTAACCCTCTATTGCATGAATTTATATGGCTGTTAGTCTACTTAAAAATAAATAGTAAAATTTTATTAGAAAATGTTATTTATTGCATTTTATGGGTACAAAATAAAAAAAAAAAAATCTCCATGTGAGTCCTTATCACATATAATAAACTTACTTTGCATGAAAATCATGAAAACAATTTTTTTAAACATAGACACACAAATGTATGTGACATTTCTCAGTCCACAGAGGCCAGCGTGCAATGTAATCAGTTTATACATCTTTACATTATTTTATTCATATGCCCAATGTTCCCACTTGGAATCTACATGCTCAGAGTCTTCAGTATTGTCTACTTAATTTACTATAGAACATTTGAAATTTAAATTCCCAATTGGAAACGGAATGGAATAGAGGGTTAATATAATAAATAATTATAGTGCATACCTTCTGTAACAGTTTTATAAGATAAAGCATGTTAACGTTAAAAAGCATGTGTTAATCTTGCTGTTGCCATTTCATCTCAGTGTGTACACCTTAAAATGAATTATGATATGCGTATAACTTTGCAGGACCATGGTTACGATTTCAAAGCAGACATTTGGTCACTCGGGATCACCGCGATCGAGATGGCCAGTGGTACAGCACCGTATCATAAATACCCACCGATGAAGGTCCTCATGTTAACCTTGCAAAACGATCCTCCGACCTTGGACACAGCTGCGGACGACAAAGATCAGTACAAAGCGTATGGTAAAACATTCCGGAAAATGATCGTCGATTGCTTGCAGAAGGATCCAACGAAGAGGTGTGTTTCCCACGAACCTGTTTAATAATTATTTAAATAATAATTTCAACCCTGATTTTAGACCCACAGCGACGGAGCTGTTGAAACATCCATTCTTCAAAAAGGCAAAAGATAAAAAGTATCTGCAACAAACATTGGTAGCTATTGGGCCTAGTCTTGAAACTCGTGTACAAAAGGTACATTTACCTCATGATGGATTAATTAACCTAGCCGCTATTGCTATGGAATCAGAGTGGAATATCTTGTAGGCCTCGAAAAGACAACCTGGCACGTCGGGTCGCTTGCACAGAACGGTTACAGGGGAGTGGGTTTGGTCGTCGGAGGAAGAGGACAGCGACGCGTCTAGCGCCGACGAAGGCAAGGAGGCTCTACCAGTTAACACGATCGAGAATCCTAGCAGCGAGGAGGAGGAGGAAGAGGTTTATGGGCTGGTTAAATCGGTACCTAGTAAGCTTGTTGTGCAGGCTACAGACCAGAACGTTCCTATAAATTTGGTACTAAGATTACGGTGCGTACTGTCAACCCTTTAAAATCATTACTTCACAAGAGTCTGTATTTTTGTACTGTATTTTTATTACAGGCGTCCAGAATCACATTTTACCCTTGAAGAGAATTCCATGTATGCATGTCTTCCCTTATCCTTAATCTTCCATATACACAGGGTGTCTCGCGTAACTCCTGGAAATAGAGGTTGCTGGAGTGATTCTGAACAACTTTTTCCTTTGCCAAAATGTTGGTCGAAGCTTCGTTTTTGAATTATTAACGAAAAACCCGGGAGCGTTGGCTCTGAACCGCGCTCGATAGTGAACAAATGTATTGGCACAGCTTGTGACAAATGTTACATTTTTTAAAATTAAGAACAATGTGGAATTATTTGTTATTCATGAATAACGAATGCGTTTGTGCCAATGCATTTGTTCACGATCGAGCGCGGTTCAGAGCCATCGCTAATTGCCAGTGTTTTTCTTTAATAACTCAAAAACGAAGCTTCAAGCAACATTTTGGTAAAGGAAAAAGTTGCTCAGAATCACTCTAGCAACCCCTATTTCCAGCTGTTATGGGAGTTATAAGACCCCCTGTGTATATATCAGCTACTAACATTTAATAATTAAAACTGCAGTTTGTAAATGACAAAGGAAACTTAATGAATTTTATAGAAATCAGAAGCGGGAGCTTAACGACATTAGATTTGAGTTTGCTGTCGGGGTAGATTCTGCCGAAGGGATTGCTGCGGAATTAGTCGGTGCTGGTTTAGTGGACGGCAAAGACATTGTCGTGATAGCAGCAAATTTACAAAAATTAATAGACAGTGCCGGTCAATTACGGACAGTAACATTTTCACTGGTATGTTTACAGGAAACAGATCTGTTTCTTTTTTTTTTTTCATTAGAGGTATTAATGAAACTTTATGCTTTCTTAGAATTCTGGTCATGCAGCTAACGAAGTGCCAGACGATAAGGCGTTAATAGGATTTGCTCAGATCTCCATCACCGATTAAATACTTGCAGCGCATTTGAAAATGCCTGGATACCGTTCTTAAGCATCGTCCAGAGAATGGAAAGTATCAAAAGCTCGTTTGATATTCTCGATGACCGAGAATGATTGAAAAAGGATTTTACTAAATTCATAGCATTACCCTTTGTACCGCAATTTTCTACAGCTTTTGCTACTTTCGCTTCTTGGGATTTTTAACTAAGTGCAATAAAGTATGAAAAATGCAAGGCGTTGATATACAGGACTCAGTGTGGACTGTTTGAATGCATATTCAGAGCTATGTACTGGCACGAATTTATGGTAATCAGATAATCGAGCCCTTTTGTTATAAAAAAATTGTTGAAAAGGTATTTTATGCGTTTTGTTTTCCATGGAAAACAAAAGTGATCAAAAATGTAATCGACTTGTTTCAAATAATTTAATTGTAGCAAAAGGGTTAAGGAATTCTGTCAACTAAATTCAAAACCTATGGTATTGTTAATGGTATTTCACGCATCCCTTTTTTCTGCACAACGTTAGACAAGGCAAGAGAACGGATATTCAAAGCAGAAAGGAACAGTATCACATATACTGGCTTAAGTTTTCACTCGCTCTAATCATTAATGGCTGTAGTTTCACATATTCAATTTATATCACTCATTATTGCATTAATTTCTATGTAAATATTAGTAATGAAATTTCAGGTTAAGTTTACCAACGCTTTGAAAGACAGAATTTCAAATAACTAAGCAAATGAGTAAAACAACAATTATTGTTCGAAGGTGCTTAAACATCTGACTTAATTATTTGAAATACATTCAAATGGATATTCTTTGTGCGGTTGAGAATTTTTTTAGTTGAAACAATATTTAAATACCGCATCATGTACTAAAAAATGAAAGCATTCTTCTGTACCATATGAAATCATTTAGCGTATTTTCCTTATGCTTCATGCTACAGGATTGTAGAACATACGAAAGTACTAATGAAACGTGTTTTGTACTTAATTATATAGAATTACGAATAGCGGATTTATTATTTTCTGGCTTCATAGATGCGGATTAGCCAGTCGAAAAACGAGAAAAAAAAAAAAAAAAACAAATTGTTCACGTGTCTGAAGGATTTAATAAACGAGCACAGGTATTTTTAGAGATGGTCTATAACCCTTTAAAGTTTTACTTTGAATCAGGTACACTTATATATTATGTACAGAATTATTTATGTTCTTTTGACACTTCATTTTGTTCTGATTCTAGCTGGACGGATATAACACCTGAAAAATGTAACATCGTTTTTAGAATAATATTTAAGTGATCAACTTATTATATCGTTACTAGTTTATCATTTTTTATTTGAAAAATTTCAATGCAGATCATATGAGATTCCAATGCGAAATGCATCCTAAGCTCACGTTAAAAACTTGATTACTATATCAAAACAGTTCAACTGTGTAATTAGGAAAGATCAATATGGAGAGCAGAATTAGTCATGTATCATAGAAAAAATGACATATGTATAAATCAGACAGAGTAATCAAATGAAGTTATTTGAATTATTGTGGATATTGATAATGAAAAATGTATGCAAAAGTGAAATATTTATTGCTTAAAAGAAAAAAAAAAAAAGGGTTTCATGAATAAAACCTAGAATTAATCTTATCAATGAAACTTTTTAATTGATATAGAAAATCCTACATCTATTGTAACAAGTGGTTCATCTTTTTGTTGTATTTCTAGCGTACAGTAGATTTTTATAAATCACATGTGCAAAATAAAAATCCATTTGTATTTAACAAAGTTGTCATCTCTTTGCAAGTACAAATTCAGTGAAAGGCAACTAATGGTATTCAACTAATAGTCATTCAATACAGTAAATCAAACATCTATTATAAAACGTAGACCTTCGGTACTGGAAACCTCATTTATAAAAGCCTCTTTGATTAACGAATTCAAATAAAACCAAGTCGTAATACATTTCGAAAATTCCAGAAGTATTAGAATTGCGACGGACGAATTTCGCAGAATAGAGGGGTAGAAAGAAATAGACAACGCTAGACAAAGGCAACGTGAAAGGTCAAGAGGGGATGAGAACTCGGGAAACGCGCCTAGACCAACCTATACGCGCGGGCCTTCCCCTTCGACACGTATCCTGATTTGCCAAATGATGTCCCTATTTTGGGGTTCCGATCGCGGGTCGAACCCTGAGACACGATCGCTTGACTGAGGCAAACGATTCTTCGTCGAAAAATTGTGAGGTACGTGACGGGGTGACCGTGTTCGCGTTAGAGACAGAGTTGTTGCGGAAAATATTGCAATTAGCTGCTGGGCAAAGTTCCTTCGCGTAGCAAGGCAGAGTGTCGAGATTGTGCGATTCGTATTTCTCGCGGCAAGGACTCATACGGATACGTTAAATTTCATACTTTTCAATTAACTATCTTTTTCTTTCGTTTTTAAACTGCACCGTTGGTAATTAATTATTTCCCTTATTCCGCGTCGCGTCGTTTAGTCGTATCGTTTTGTAAATAATCGTAACCGTAACACCGTAGTAACCAGTTACATTTCCGATAGGAAAAAAACGCTCTTCTCTTGATTCAAAAGTTCACAGTGATCTCCTCCGAAGAGTCGCTATAGCAACCAGACCGTACCAAAACCCAACTTTCGAAATTTTGTCCAAAACCCAACTTTCGAACCTCATATCTCGGAAACCAAAAGCGTGCACCGAATAATATTCAAAGTGGTTACTGTGGAGGTCAAGGTCTATCACCATACCAAGTTTGGTCACGATCCGATGAGTCTTCCCGGACGCGTCGGATATATTATAGCCTTTATCTGATTTTTTCCCGAAAAAATCAAGAGAAAACCAAAAATGCCGATCGCGAACGCGTTGTGCAAGTGAAAGTTTCTCATCTTTTCTTCGCCTTCCAGATTTCCAGACCACCAGCGACTACTAAGCGAATTTAAATATCTTATCATATATTATCTAACATCGAGCTTGATAAGTTGTCCATTTCATTTCTATTCAATACGAGGAATCTGGGTTTAGTGAGGCAAAACGGGCGATCTACGGAACCGCCTGTTCTGGAAAATCCCACTGGATCGTTCCGTTCAACACTGCGATTTAAGGTATCGAAAACGTTAATATTTCTAATAAAAATTCCGATCGCATTCAAAGGAGACGGCCCCACGAAACCGTGGTTTTGGTACAGGGAGATTCTTTCGGCGCGCAACACATTAGCCAGGCCGCACAATGGAACTCCTGCTGTTCCGTTTCTTGTCTTCGTCTCAGCGATAAACACACACAGAGCAGTCTTGGGTCCGGCGATATGGCCCCTGGGTCTCTTTACCCGCAACAACCGCAGGGTTCCATTGTGCGGGGCGGCTATTGTGTTGCGCGCTCAGAGAATCTCCCTGTAGTATCCCCCTGGGACCGTTCTCTCTTTTCGCGTACTAATTGTTCACCGAACACCGTCGCTCGAACTATCTCGAATCAAAAATTTAATTAATCAAAAATCAAATAGTTCATTTGTTACCGGTATCATATCCTCAATTCAATAGATCTCATTTTTATATAACTTTATACTTTTCTTGCTATTATATATATATTCATTTATTTCTCTTGTATTTCAAGCAGCTCGTACTTCCTGTTAACTAACCATTTTATTGTTATGCTTATTTTTCCGAAATTATACTTGTAAGAGAAAGAATTAAACGAAGTCAAAGGATGACAATGTTGTATATTTCGGCTTTGCACGGTGCAATAGATTCTGTAACGAGGCGATGCTTTCCATCGAACAGGCCAAACAAGACTGCCTTTTTCGCTCTTCTCTTGATTTTTTCCCGAAAAAATCAGATAAAGGCTATAATATATCCGACGCGTCCGGGAAGATTCATCGGATCGTGACCAAACTTGGTATGGTGATAGACCTTGACCTCCACAGTAACCACCTTGAATATTATTCGGTGCACGCTTTTGATTTCCGAGATATGAGGTTCGAAAGTTGAGTTTTGGACTTAGTCTAAATTCGATTTCATGGGAAATCTAGCACGACACCATGTATATCGGGTCTGCTTGCCATAGCGACTCTTCGGAGGAGATCACTGTGAACTTTTGAATCAAGAGAAGAGCGTTTATTTCCTATCGGAAATGTAACTGGTCCGCCCAGGAAAGTCAGCTTGTCTTGACCAGTTCCCAAAATCCTTCCGTACCCCTTGGGGGTCTAACTCCTAAAAATCGGCCAACATCTGGGCGGCCGTGCAATTAGGAGCTGGGTTGTCAACGTTCGAGCTTCGTCACCGAATTTTCTAACATACTTATGTTACACATAACCAGTTTCTAATTCATTTGCGTTTCAAACACACTTCCTTCACGTTCACGCCTACCATCTTCGCACAAATTCATACGAGGGGCCCGTATGGGACCAGAGCATTGACGGACTTAATTAACCTACAAATTAATCGTACTAATTTTTTTATTGTTCTAATCGTGAGTGATCTAACATCGTCATAAGCGATTAGGACTGGTGGCAGCGCTAATACCGTTCTCAACCGCGTATTAACCACTCCGAAAGTAATAGAAATAAAAATACAAATATATTTTTCTTTTCTTTTTTTATTTTGTACGTCGCGCGCTGTATCTCGCTCGCGACGTAACACGCCGCTGGAACTGTGAAGCGCACAGTTCCATACAAAGATTTTTGTATCTTTTTCATAAACTGGGGAATGGCTACTGACAGGTATAAAAAAGGAATTAAAGAAAAAGGGACTCATTATATTAAATGTTATCGATAATATCAAATGGAATTAGGGGGTGCTGCAGTTCCACAGTGCCTATTCGCGAGCCACCACTGATTAATTAATTACTGGTTGGATTCTCAAAAAACCTACATTAGAAAGTTGCTATGGGTATAAAAATTAATTAACGTTCAACCATATATTTGATCATAAAACAATTTTTGCAGGAATAAAAATTCACAAATAAGGAGAAATTGATAAAGAATGATAGAAATAATACACTGGCCGCTTACTTTCTGAATAATCACTTTTATTTTTGATCCTTATCAATATTAAACAACGTAGTTACGTAAGGGTATATATATATATGTATATTACATGGAAAATTCTGTCCTCCTGGTGCGCATATATCTTCCCAAGATACCTCGATTTTCCCCGAGAGAAGAAAAAGAAAAATAAATATAATAAAAATACAGAATTATACACCGATCACACATGCTCCCTCTTTCTCCCTTTCATTCTCGCCCTCTAGCTCTCCTTCCACATCCTTTATATTTCAAATCTTATTTCTTAAGTGTTCCATTTGATTCGACGTTTTCATGGATTTTTGAAGATTTTCTATCTTTAAAGGAGGATGTCCTAAAAAATAGACTTTCTTAACGAGCATAAAGAACAAAAGGGGAGGTTAAATATTGCACGAAGATGGCTAGTTCTCACACATAGCAATAGGCCATTTCTTTAAAAAGAAAAATTTCAAATTAAAGCAGAGAACAAAGTGCCAAGCTTGAGATTCTGCTTTTTCCACCTAAATTCTCTTCGATGTTACCTCTCGAACGAGACTCTCCACATTTTCCTTATGCCCTAAGCGACTAATATAATCAAGCTTCTACATTTAAAAAAAATGTTTCTGGAGAGACCCTTTCGATCGTTTCGATGCTTCAAGATTCCGATTTCAGACTGAAGAAAATGTCTAAGTGTTCTAATGTTCCAAGGGCTCTAGGTGAATACTGTATGCAGGCACTGTTCTCTCACAGGATAGATTCCATTTTTAAACTTTGGCGCTCTTTTTGCTGGCAAATATTACACATGGGCCTTGAAGTCGGTAACTGAAAGATTCTAAGATCGATTCTTGATCAATCGTCGCTTATAGAAAGTATCTTCATCGTATATATTAAATGTACAAATTAATTCGGTGCATTTAGTATTATGGTTTCTTAATTAATATTTTGAATTTGAATATTTTCCCGCGGTTTTGAATATTTGAAAAGTGACAAGACAACATAATAACAATAACGATTATTTCAATAATTGGAATTATTATGGTTTTTTAAAAATAAATCTTTAATTAAAATAAAGAAAAGGCACCGAATTAATTTGTACATCTAATATATGATACACATATATATATAATATATATTAGAAAATTTTTAACAGACGCTTTAATACTTAAAGATAAATATTTAGATCAATCTCTCTCATTTTCTCCTTCATTCTCTCCCTCTGTCATACTTCCTCTCAGAATCTCACGGATGCTTTCCCTGCTAAAGCTGCAGGCTGATATGTGAAAAGATCACTGATCGATATGTAGATCTCAAAATAGAATAGTAAACGTTCAGATGTAAATTGATACAGCTGCCCCCTGTAAGCTTCGTCTTCAGAAAGAGGAGGTTGAATTTTCATTATGTTTTGATTTTTCTTTTTTCCTATTTCTTCTTATACAATTTGATTTGTATATCCTTCTTTTCATTATGAATTTATCTGAGAAGTGTTACAGGAACCTTCCATTATTAGAGAATTCAGCAAGTCTTCTGAAAACTGGAAACTTAAGATTCAATCATCACTTGGTAATATATCAAAGATATGTACTGAAGAATCATAAAAGTCTAATAAAATGACAACATATCATAGGAACTCGTCATTGTTAAGAAAACTAGACATTTACAATCAATAACAGATATCTGTTTCTAAAAAATTTCATGAAACCTCCTTTCTCCAATGATTAATTTATCTTCTTTCAATGTCACTTACTTGGCAAAATAATCTACATCCTGCAACCTTCACTCTGAATAAAATAAAATAAAATAAAATAAATGAAATGAACAGTGTAGATAGAGAACCAGAACTGTGCATCTATTTAAAATCTCTGAATCACGTGGATCATCATATGGAACACTGAATTTACATGAAGTTTTTAAACTCTTATCTCCCCTGTTCACCACCCCCTGCAGCCGCTGGATAAGTAGAAGTAACCCTTTGAATGATACGCAAGCAGGGGGCTTGCTATTTTCAAAGCGACTTATAGAAAGAACGGACAAAGATGATCAATGAAAACGTCATTCCCTTATAATCTGAGAATAGTGTACAAGAAGTTAAGCATAGAATTTGTTCCTTATCATTTTTTTTTTTTTTTGCTCTTAGGATTACAACGAGTTAACGCTAAGCTTCGTTTGAAACGGGATAGACTAGATTTTAGGCAAAATCGTTTTCCCCTAAGCCCAAATCTTCTTCGTCTCGCTCGTTCTTCACGACTCAGGAACAAATGATCTTTGTTTCATTCTTTCGTTCTCCGTTCATTCGTTTCGTGACTAGCGATACGTTTAAACTTATATACCTTGTGTAGCAGTTAAAATGCTCTCTTGGAAAACACAAATTTCGCCTTACACCTAGGAATGATAAATGGTCTCTTTCGTATCTCCTACCTCTTTCTCTTCCTCGTCAACGTTCTCTTTTTCTCACTCTCTCGTTCTCTCTCGTTCGCTTTTATACAACTAGAATAATAAATATTGCCGCGAAAATTATTTGCTACATTCGTCCCAAACAGTAGTCAACAAGTTCGTCCCTCGGACACTCGCGGATCTGCCATTCTTCCCCTTCGTTAGTATTTCGTTTAAAAAATAATCCCTAGGGCGCGTCCGTGGGTCGACGATCGATCAGAACGGATTGGAAATTGACATATTTCGGTATGGAGAAGTGAAATCAGTAAGGGAAGCTCAAAATTTCGAAGCAGCACCCTTCTGCTCGACCATCGTTGCTCCATCGGCGCACCCATTCCTCCCATGTACCGAGTTGCATTGAACTTGTCGCAGTGAAGTTGGCTACAAATTCACTACGCATTCACGCCGCGTCGGTGAGTGAATGCATGGCCAACTTCACTGCGACAAGTTTAATGCAACTCAATTGTACATTTTTCAATTAAAATCAAGAATTTTCGTTCTAACAGAAGCTTCTACTCTTCAGAGTGGAATGAAACTGGAACTGAACATTTAAGGAACTTCTTCAGAGAAAGATTATCTGGCGCTTTCTAACTTTCTCATCCCCGTTCGACGACTAGTGAAATAATTATCTACTAATAAACTATGGCTCGATCTCAGTCTCCGGTAAACGAAAAGAGTTTCTAAAGGAGGCAATTCATGGTGCTCCATCGTGCGACGTCGTTCAAAGGCCAGGATCCGTGGCGAGCTCCGAAAAGGTCGTATTTTTTTTTTTTTTTTTTTTTTATGCCGGTGAACATTCGACGCCGGTCAGGCTCGCATAATAATTCATCTTATATCTTCAAATATATATTATTTATATCGGCTTCGTTCGCCACTCAGTCGTCCCAGGAGGGGAAGCTTTCGTGGGCGACGAAGAGCGCTGGACCAGTGGCGCTGCTGGCGGTGGTGGTTTCTTGCCTCTGGTTCGGTGTCCCGCCGAAGTTCGTGCTACCAAATACTGGTTGACCAAACGCGTCTAGCTGTTGGCCCTCGTAGATGCTGTGATCGGTCGTCGTGTAGGGCGACGGATGCGTCTGTGGCTGTCTCTGAGGGTCTGTAACCGTCAGCTCGATGTTTCCGGCGGTCACGTTCTCTTCTTGCGTCTCGGCCGCGCTCGCCTCCTCCAGGCTACTGTGTTTAATGCCGTAATAGAAGTACATGATGAAACCTGCGGTAAGAACGATTTGGGTTAGGTCTCGTGGCGCACTTGTGGGCTAACGTAGAAGCCAAGATATAAATCCGGTGATTGAATTTACCGAGTACCATCCAGACAGTGAATCTAACGAGGGTCAAGATGCTCAGCTTGAAGATGAGGTATATATTCACGGTGACAGCAATCGCAGGGACGAATGGGAGTCCCGGAGTCATGAACATCATGCTATTCCTGAAAAAGTTTCCCTAATCAGAATCTCTGCGTCTTCAGAGGATAGAGTAAAAATAATACACGGTTAAACTTTACTTTAGGGAACACCAAATTTTCCACATTTTGCTTTTTTAATCCATAGTTTTTGATGCGTAGAATCTGAAAATGCAAGTCTTAACTTTAGGAATCCAATGGTTAAAAAGTTATGAGCGTGTAAAGTTTGACACTTTTAGTGCATTTGCTACGTTACTGTGATGCCATATTGGCTTCTTGTCCAATGAACGGTGTCGCGAGCTGCAGGCAGACGCATGTGGGTACTGACCACTTTAGCAGGTTTAGTCAAACCGTAAATTTGATACTGTTTGAGTTAGTTAGGTTTATATTTGTTTTAGGGAGAGACTGTACTGCCCATGCGAGAACCAATCAGGTTATACATATAAGGCAATATGGCGTCACAGAAACGCAAATGCACTAAAAGTGTCAAACTTTACACGCTCATAACTTTTTAACCACTGGATTCCTTAAGTTATGACTTGCATTTTTGAATTATACACATAAAAATCTATAGATTAAAACAAAAAAATGTCAAAAATTTGGTGTCCCCTAAAGTAAATCCTAAAGTTCAACCTAATACACACCTGTTTTGGGGTTTTCTACTAATGGCAAGTAACACCCCGATTATGGCAAAGAGGAAAGCGAACATTATTATCGTGGTGAAGGTTCCCATGTTCCCTAAAAGTAGTAGCACAGTTTTATTGATCTAACAATCGTCAGTTGAAAGGTCAGAGAAAGGTGAAAGGTAAAATATATATATTTTCTCTGGCTCACCCATGCCGCAAACGACAATCAAATCGAAGATGACGATCAGCAAATAGAGCAGCCCGACTAGTTTCATGACGTAACGCCCGGATGCTTCCGTTGCCGGGCCTCTATCTACCCAAGGAAATATAGCAGGACAAAGGTATTGTGCTGCCTACAATATACAACGCCGATTACAATCGATAAGGACAAAAATATTAAGCTCCAGGTAGCATAACGTTACCTGTAGCCGACGCTGGAGGTAATTCAATGGTGGCCCAATTATGGGTGTGTTTCCTGGGTACTGGTGCGTGCTGCCGCAGCTGGATGCAGCCGCAGCCGCGTGCACACTTCCATAAAACTTATTCTCGGTCCTATCGCTAACTAGGTACTGGTCGTCCTTGCCTAGACCTACTTCGTCCTCCTCTGCTCCATAGGTGTCGTCCGAATCTGGGGAGGAACTATTGCACCTCCTCACTCGTCTCACCTGTTACCAAAATGATACAATTACAATCTTAATACTGTAGATATTAGGGAAAAGGATATCTCACCATGATGCGTTGCCCGCTGTTGGCTGCTGTGAGCTCCGACTGCGCAGCCTGAACGGTATTAAGAGCGGTAGTTAATTGATCCGGTCTCAGTTCCTTGCCGTAATTCACCTGACCATTCCCCTGATTCTCCTTCGTCGGGGATCGACAAGGTGTCCTCAAGCTCGGCGGTAATAGCTCGACAAGGTTCGTGGAGTGGGGCTGGTAGCGTAGGATCAAAACGCAAGTGGACACTAGAGTGTAGGCCAGCAGAGTACCTGAAAATTACATATCACAGTTTACATCGGATACAGAATGAAATGGAGGTTTGTTAAGGACAGGGCCGGCCTTTGCATTCTTAGATGGAAAATCGTTTTATGGACGTTGGGGGACCATAGTGGACCGCCTAGTCTGCCTAGGCCCAGGGTCGGCCCTGGTTAAGGATTAGAAGATTTACCTATGGACATCATTTCTACCAAGACCTCTAATTGGATCAGGAGGGCAGCTAGGGCTGCACACAAACCAGAAGTCAGTGTTGCCAGGGCTGGGGTGCCCGTTGCTGGCCATACCTGGCTCAGACTCCTGGATGACAGAGATATTGATTAAGGAAAGCTGAGGCAAATATGTTGAGATTGAAGAATTACCTGAATATAAGGCCATCCTGAGCCATGGCGTAGACTATCCTAGGCATAGGGAACATGCTGCCAAACATGGAGACTGTCAATCCAGCCAGTGCACCGACAGCGACAATGTATTTACACTTGTAAGCCCCAACTTGGCCAAACATCTCCACCAGCGCTGAATCCTGATCCACTTCGTCATAAGGAACTGAAATGGAAGAAGATTGAAATTTTTATACTGAACTAAGTAAATGGAGATAGAAAAAGGAGAAGGTGTTTATTTTTGAGGAGAAAAAACACCTTGGGTACGTTAGAAGCATAACGAACCGTGCAATGTCTGTGACGAGGGTAGGTGGAGGATCACGATGACGTTGAAAGGGTAAGCAGGGATGCGTGAAGAGAGGTCAAGGATGGCCAAGGGCTTTTTAATCGACAGACAACAGAATTCAAGCGTATAATCAGCATATGTTCCACCGACCACCTGTTATTAATTACTAACAGTGAAGAATAATTAATTAAAAAAGAAGAATTTTTATTTGTAAATACTATACAAATTTCCTGGACTCTGCCACAAATAAATTTCATGAAACGTTACAGTTTTGAAATTAAACAAACGGAACAATTTTGAACTTTTACAGGGTATCCCAGAAAGAGTGTTAGTCCTTTAGGGGGGTGGTAGCTGGGGTGATTCTGAACAACATTTTCCTTTGCGAAAATGTTATCTGAAGCTTCGTTTTTGAATTATTAAGGAAAAGCGCTGGCCAATCAGAGCGCGCATAGCGCGCGGGCTCAGGGACGGCGGTCTCGACTACAAAAAATGGGTTTGGCCTGGGTCCCGAAGGCACCCTGCTGGTGTAGCAGGAGTCGTTGGAAAAATAAATAAATAGAACTGACCAAATATTTATAATCATTGTATACATTTTCATTTGTAAATATTATAAAACTTGCTGGACTCTTTGCCAGAAATAAATTTCATGAAATGTTACAGTTTTGAAATTGAACAAACGGAACATTCTGAACTTCTACACATTTTTATTTGTAAATATTATAAAAATTACTAGACCTGCGACAAATAAATTTTCAGTATACGTTTCATGAAAGATTGCAGTTTTGAAATCGAACAAACAGAATGTTCTGAAGTTGTGTGTGGATGACAGATTGGAAAAACGAATGAAAAAGCTTGACGTTCCATCAGGATTCGCGTTCCATTTCATCCGCGGTCGAGAGTTGTTCAACTTTCGAGAGGATTAAACGAGCTGCTCACCAATCAGCGTCAGCACCATGCTGCTGGTGACATAAGCGACGAGAATTATGATCAATGACGAGACTATCGCGAGGGGGATGCTCCTCTTCGGGTTCGTTGCCTCTTCGCCGGTGGTCGCTATTATGTCGAAGCCGATGAACGCGTAAAAACACGTCGCTGCACCGGTGAACACCTGAAACAAAGAAAATTTAACATCAAACTAATATTCTATAATAAAATAAAATAAAATAAAATAAGATAAGATAGACTCTTGCTATAATACCACTGGTTATACTGCTAGCTGGTAATTATTTTTGTTAAATTGTCTAGTTATTTTATTTCAGTGACTTTTTTTATCTTATTACCATGTGTGCAATTTATGCCAAAAAGTAATATATCAAAAATATGTGCATCGACACATGCGAACGTAGCTATTAAAAAAAGGTTTCTTTTTCTTTTCATTAATTAAAAATTATTTTTCTCTATGTTTGTCTTAGCAAACCGACTTCAAAAAAGGAGGAGTATATTTTCTTTAAGTCCATTTTGAGTATATATGTATGTATGTACATACACTGAGTTGCATTGAATTTGTCGCAGTGAAGTTGGCTACAAATTCACTAACGCATTCACGCCGCGTCGGTGAGTGAATGCGTGGCTAACTTCACTGCACTACACTAGTGTCCGTTCGTCTAGTGTATTTTGTAATTTCCAAAGCTTTTACCAGATGATTATATTAATTATTTTAACGCTTTTATTAAATAATTTATGATATTTGCTGCGGTTAAACTTGGACTCCAAAGTCAGTGCTTTTTCACTAGACGAACGGACACCATGATTGATATTGTACATTTTATAAATAATTTAATTAAAATTAATTATATAATGATTTAATTTACTTAATAAATTGTATATACATATTAAAATAATAAAATAACACTGAACGAGTTCCCTTTATAAAGAGCCTCTTTCTATATTGTCAATTCCAAGAATTTTCCATTCCTGCAACTGGCAATATAGAGAGAGTTTATTTAAAAATCAATCTGCAAATGAAATTTCATTTAACGAAGGCGCACTGAATCCTGACGAGTTTTCCAGACAAACTTTGAAGCGAATGAACCCTGCTCGCTTAATTTTTCAATGGCCCTTAACGCTGTTATGAATTTCTGATGTCTTCAGCTTCGATGGGACCCTGAAGTGGCAAGTTAATGCGATCCGGTACGGGACCACGAGGCGGTGGAATTTTCATTACAACGAAGATTAAATTATACCTTAAGTAAGCTTCGTCAGGATGAAAAAAAAGAATCCATCTTTAACCTTAAATAGTCATAAATGATTTCCTCGAAGATTTAATTATTGTCCGTGGTAATTTAGTGAGGAGGAAACAAAGGGTAGCACAGTCACTGTTCAAAGAAGCACGATTTCGTTCCCAAAGCCTCGAATTTCTTTGTACCCTCTGTGAACTAGTTCCATCGTCTTCTCGCAACCCCTTCCGGCTCTATTACCAGCGCCACCGGTCCCGACCCTTGAATGGAGGGTAAGGCTTTACAATCCCGGTGAAAGGAAGCCTCTGTTCGTTGAAGAATCGTGATTTCGTGGGATTATTATTCAAGATTAATAGCGGTCTCTATTAAATTTATAAATTATTACAGCCTTCCCTGTAAGGTTCCATTTTCAACAACCCCTTTCCATTTATATCACCGAGGATCTATTTTACAATGAAGAATATTGAAAAAATAACACATCTTTCGTTTGTTAACAAAATTACTTTGAAAGTGAACCGATGAGTGTAGGCGAAAGGGGGTTGAAACCACGTCGTGCATTAATATTAACCACGGTATTAGCACAGCTAGCCTGTTGTCGCTGAACTTTGACCTCTTCGATGTAACAGGAGTTGAAACGCGGGGGTGTGCCGGAGATAAGGTCACTAAAGATTCAAAAGCCACCCTTGGAAGCCCACGCCCGCTTAAGGTCGCGCGAAATACACACGTCAGTGGGAATTTAAATTTAAAGGGGTTGATCATTAGAGGATGTTCCAATTACGGGCTCTGAATTATTTGCAAATTGAAATATAAAAAAGCATTGAGATGTTTTAAATTATAATACAAGATGCATAAACCAGAAGCTCGTTTCTCAGCAGAGAAAAGTATCCCCCGGAGGAAAGGCGGTGATTAAAAATTCACGTTTCAGGATTTCTTTCTTCAGAAATATTCATCGAACATCCATCGCGTGCGGAAGGGATGGAAAAATATTTTCTCCTTGAAAAATTCATTCCTCGCGGATCGATCACCATCGTCCAACCAGTTTGTTAACGTTTCGGAGACTGATAAACTTTCCTTCCGAATTGCGAAATACGCTCGAATTTTATTCTGTTTACTCTTCCCCAATGGAGCAGGAATATTCCAATGTTTGCTCCCCTCGTCCCTCAGCTTCGTTAAATAAACGTTCTTTCCATGAAATTCAACTCGACTCGGTATATTTAATATTCCTGAGATCGACGACCGTCTCGGTCCGGTCCACTTCAGTTTCCTTGCTCTCCTCTTCGCTGAAATTTCCTCGGTAAACACGATCATGCTTCGTCATCCTCTCTTTCAACCTGCTAGTTTCAACCCCTTCGGTGTGCTGCTCCGCAAAATAATTCATGCGAATATCATTTCCATGATTTTAGAATAGAAAACGTTTCTTAGTAAAAGAAAGTTACTGTTATCTGGAAGTCAGGGCCGGTTTTAGCAATATTGGCGCCCTGGGCAAGATTACCGTATATAGGAAAGAAACGTGTCAGCATATATAGCATATATGTAATATTACATAGGAGATGTAGATCATGGATATCCGCAGGATTTTTTTTAGAGGGGGGGGGGCATGCTGTATTCGACATTCGACTCTCTCTCTCTATCCAGGGGGGGGGGGGGGGGGGCAAGTGCCCCGATTGCCCCCCCGCCCCGCGGACGCCCATGATTTAGATAGAAAGAAGAGACACCCCCTATAGATCTAACGCACTGGACGATCCCCCCCCCTTACGCCGGCCCTGCTGGAAGTAGAACGTTAAGTAAATCATCAATCAGAAAGCTTCTCGTGGATCTTGTTGAATTTCTTCTAAAATTTATAAGAAAGTGTTGCGCATCGAACAGATTGGCTTGCCGGAATTCTAAATAATTCAGCCGTTCTCTGATTCCTCCAGTGGCACGTGTATGCGCATAGACCATACATATTCCAAGGGAACGTGAATTCCTGTGGAGCGTGAATTCGAATTCCCTTTCTCTGTCCACCTGATGCACACGGTTTCTGCGTTGAATCCCATCCGATGCAACAAGTTTGCCATTGTTCAGCGAATCTCCGCAAACCGCGAGGAAAAAGCGTAGTTCCGTAGTGAAACAGGGAACACGGGGGCGAAGGCGCTGCTCTGACCGACTTCAGACCTTTTCTTTTCCTTCTCTACATTGTTGTCCTTTTCGGTTCCATTCCCGAGAGCTGTTTATTGTTTCGTGGTCCGATCGATGATTTTTATTTAGCAGGAAATTGCAACTGAATGAAAATGAGAATGGGGTCAATGATTCGCTCGCTAACTAACCGTTCAATTAATTTCAGATGCTCGAGTGCAGAGACGGTGATGACGTTGGAGGATATTTTTTCAAGGGTACTTACACCACTCCAGCCGTAAGGAAGGAAGCCGTTGTGTTCGCGCCAGTTGGCGCTGTCCACGTAGAACATACCCGCCGTCATCACGAACACCCAGACGGCGAGATTGATGGCGTTTAACACGTTATTGAACACCAGGGATTTCTTCACGCCTGCGGCCATCAGCAGCATCATCAGTAAGGTGATGACAAACGCGAGGAAGTCGGGCGGTCGACCTGTAACATTCACAGATATTTTTCTATTATTCATAGGAACAATGATTCCTTATTTATTGTTTGTTTAGGATTAAAGATTAATAGGGGTAACACTTGCTTTCAATTTTCTACGTATTAACTAAAGTACAGTTTGCACGACTTTACCGACCGGGGACGGTTGAACATCGTACACGCCTCTGGCCGATCGCTCGGCCGCAAATACTTCCCTGAAGGGTAAGATTAAAAAAAATGATAACAATTATAATTCAATAATAGATAACAAATTAATAGGTTACCGGTCGATAGCCGATTAATAGATTACCGGTCGATAACCGATTAATAGGTTACCGGCCGATAGCTGATTAATAAATTACCGGTCGATAACCGATTAATAGGTTACCGGTCGATAACCGTGGGACACAAAAAGCGGATTAATAGGTTACCGGTCGATAAACATCGGTCATAAAAAGTGATTAATAAGCTACCGGTCGGTAAAGGGTTAAATTTTGTTATATCAATTGAGAATTAAAAAATTATTAATTGGTTTTTCTTCTGAAGCCTATTAACAGCTTTCTAGTAGGAAAAGTGTTAACAATTTAAGGAAACTGAATTGCTGATGTAGAATTAAATTTCGTAACAGCTCCATCACCGAAATAATCTCTATAAATAGAATGCCCCAGTCTCGTTAGCCGATTTCCATGCGAATGCTGGGTTTGATTAATTAGCATCATGCTTTTCAAAGGTTCGGGATCCGCTATTGATTGCCAAGTGGAATCAATTTCTACACGACCCTCGGTGATTGACCGTCTTCACCGGGCTGTTTTATTTGTGTCATCCCTCTTAGAGGATTCTGTATCCATTCTCCGGATGTGGGTTTCATTGATTTCCATTCCTCATTCCTCCCTTCCTTGTTTAAGATGAGATATCTTTCATAGCATCTGAATCTCAACGGTGGCCTTTTTATTTCTAAAAAAAAAAAAAAAAAAAAAAAAAAAAATTCTGTATCTAACTCGCAAAATCCTGTTTCCAGGTACAAAACTTCGTTCCAAGAGACGCCGTTACTCGATCGAAATGGAACAATTGACTAGGGAGAGTAAAAACGTTCATCTTCAAAGGAACCTCTTTCAGGTCCGTCGTTTCGCATTCACCAGGGAAAAGAGTGTTCTCTGAACTCGTTACCAACGCATTTCCACTGTTCCATTCTAAGAAACAGTAACTTGGACAGTGGAAAGCTTCTCCGAGGTATATAGGAATGGAAGTCTAAATGAAATTCAACCTTTAATTCTGTAGCTGACACCTTGAGCGACAATTTATACCCTTTTAGCTAATTATCAGACTCTTTTTTCAAAAGAATACCTCGAAGAGGAGATACAGAGAAGAAATTCAACCTGTGGGCCTTCAAGAGTAAAAAATAAACAAATAGCAAGTTCAACGTTTGAACCATTGAGAAAATGTCTAAATACAAAACAGACGGTTCGTTGAAACATTTACCCAACAATCAAAGTATTGTTACCCAGCTATCAGAGAGCTCGTTTGAAATGAAAGAAAGAAACAAATGGAACAATCAAAGAGTGGTCGTTCGATAAAAGGAAACGTTGAATCGCCGGAAGGTATAATAAAAAGAAGATCAGAGAGTTGGAGTTCACGTGGGCAGGTTAAAAAGCATCGAAGTGTGCGGCTTCGCAAACCGTTTCGGATCGATGAGGTCCACAGGTGCTAGACTTGATCCGCGCAAGCGCCCTTCTCGCACCCTCTTCAGCCTTTTGTTATCCCCAGAATTCCCCCCCCCCCCCCCCCTCCGTACGCCCTTCGTCGGCTTTTTCACCCTCGTTCGCCTTATTTCCTAGCCTCCAACTACCCACCCACCCTATTTCATCCAGGATACACACGGTGTTCCGTGACTCAGCTCTTATTCCCTTATCCCTTTCGTTCTCTACTTTCCATGTATCTAATACAAATTGCTAAAGCACCTATTCTGTCCCTAACTGCTGACACATTAGATCTTGACTAGCATTACAATGAGCCAATGCTGAATAGGACCATAACTGATTTTTGTAGATTTCTATTTTTGAGGTTAACAATGATAGAAAACTGGTACATATCAACCTTGCCTTGTTCAGGGACCAAAGTTAACCTCACTTTTGAAAATTTTTTAAATTATACTGTTAAAGCACTTGATTGATGTTTAACCCTTAATATATTATTAAATATATCCTTCAGGTCCTTCAGTATGTGATAAATTCTATCAGTCAGGAACAACAATCTTATTCAGTGTATACTATATAATGCAGAATTCTTCAAGGAAGAACACTGTGCCTCCAATGAAATCCACTTATAAGTGTTTGCAAATCGCTTAATCCTCGTGATCGAGTTCCAAGAAGTTGATGAAAACGTGTTTGTCGTTCGCGGAATTATACAAGAGATCTCAGTTAAGGTTTAGGCTGTTGCGAAGTTTGTTCCAGGTCTAGGTTAAGCAAAGTTCCTCGAGTTTGATCGATGCGACATCCGCCGCTACTTCACCGTGAAATATAATCGAGAATTTGCAACGAATAGTACCTTCCATCGAGGCAACACTCGTGCTTCGACCCTCGAACATTGAAACGCCACCAGCTGCACGTCCTGGGGCGTGCTTTATCATTAAATCACAGGTTCTCGTGACTCGTTAAGCTTTCTTGCTAGATGCAGGACAGAATTGTTGGCCAGGCGAAATATCGAGGGGTCGAGGGCTCGATGATCACGCCATCCTACCTCTCTTCAGATATTTTTTCACTCTTCAGGCGATAAAAAAGGAATCTACCTTTCTTAGAGGAACGAAAGAAAGTCGGTTGACCGCTAAATTAATTCCATGGAATCGAATCAAGTCGGTTTCTCATCCTCCTAGCTGTAAACGCGTTGAAATCTGATTATCAGACGACCCGCTGCTCTGGGCGCTCTTTGTCGAGTTTACAAAGCTGATTGCTACTTGTCTGACTGATAGACTTTCGTTTCGTTCCTACAATTACAAAAAGAGAGTAAGAGAAATGGTATAGAATGCTTTTTGGAAGTAGAGTAGACCTGTATATGGTCAGACAAATAAAGAATACTAAAATAATAGACTGCCAGAGCTCTTCGAGGTCAAGGATCTGACCTTGGTGTCCTCAGAAACGGTATAGAAAGCTTCTGAAGAGAAGTGAAAATTTGAGAAGTGGAGTAGCCTCGTGTATGGTCAGACAAACGAGGCATTTCACTACTAGGGTTGTACAAGGTCCCTGAAATGCCAAGTAAAATGATGTCTTCAGCATCGATCACACGTGCGATAGATAAATATGATAGGTTAGAAAAATAATCGATCACCAGGTGAGTTTCTTTACGTTGCCCCTCGACTGTACTTGGCCTAAGTGCTACGCTGTCCCTCTCAGCTAAAGACACAAACCCCTTTCACACTACAGATCCTCGGGGAACAATGTTCTTATTCCGGAGACAGGGCAACGGGTTGCTTTCATCTATTTTCTTTCATTCAGCCACAGTTCCTTTGATTAGAGACAGAGGAAAAAAAAATGGAGATAGAAGTCATGATCTAAATTTAAGTTCCTCAGAGTGTTCCTTGAATGGTAAAAATAGAGTAAGACTATTAGCCTTCGATTTTCTTAAAAATACACCCTTGCTAAGAAACTGGTAGCACAGTGAAAGAATCTCATTAACCGTCGAGACGATGGAGGGAAATACAGGTTGGCGTGTGATCGATATCTTGCAAGTAGAATAATCTACCAGTAGGCCAGACACCTGAGTAGAATGAACCTTAGCTGCAATCGATACGCTGCGAATAGAATACACGTTCTACTTACATAGTATACTATTGTACAGTAGAATCAGTCGTACATGGTCATAAGTCCAGGAACTAAATTTGACACAATGGATGTGCAGAGGAAAGTGTTATATTATAACCTCCTTGGTAATTTAGTTAAATTATTGTTCTACTCTTCACATTTTATCATAGATAATAGGGATGTGGGGGTACCCGATATTACAGGCTCGGGCGGGCTCGGAAAAAATCGGGCGAGCTCGGGCGGGTGGCCGATACATGCGTGCAGTCGGGTGGCCCGACTATTTCGGGTCAGGTCGGATAAAGTCGGGCAGACTCGGACGAGCTCCCGCTGGTCGCGGTCCGCGACCCAACTTTCGTGTACTTGTCAATGCTTGCAATAAGCACGTTCAAAATCTATTTGAATGAAATTCGTTGCAAGTATTATTTTTCCACATAAAAATGATCTTATTCCAAAATTCCATATAAAACAGATTTTGCGCATGCTTATTGCAAGTATTAACAAGTACATAAGAATTAGGCCGCGGTCCGCGGCCCGCGGGAGCTCGTCCGAATCTGCCCGACTTTATCCGACCTGACCCGAAACAGTCGAGCTACTCGACTGCACGAGCCCGCCCGATGTTTTCCGAACCGACCCGAATAGTCGGGATCCCGACACGTTACTAAGATAAGTCTTTTAATTTAAAGCAGTTTAAATTATGAATATAAAACTGGAGAGCCATATTACTATCCTTTTCCCTATCCTTTGCGATTTTTCACTTGCTACAATTTCAGATTCCCAGCAAACCAGAATCTAACACCTCTAAAAATGATTCCAGCTGTAACAAGGTTATTCAGCAAGTGAAATAGAGCAATATATTACCAGACCAGTGGAAGCACGAAAACTTGTTCCAGTAATGGAACACAGCTACCGCAAGAAATGTTAAAATCAACTTGAAACGACTTTCAACCAAACGTCTTTAAGCAATGGAAATTTCTTAGCTACACAAAGTTCCACGTATAGACACACTATAGTGTTCAACAAAGCATGCTTATAGACCCGGTGATTATACGGTAGACCTCGTAAAAACTTTGCTAATATCCAACTTATTCGTTGATAATAAATGAAGCTGCTGTGCAGGTGTGCAAATAAAAGGACGATTCATGGAAACGAGCACCATTTAACACTAACTGCGGGTACTTTTAGCACAGCCGATCGCTCTAATTTTAAATTATATTACTGAAGGTGATATTCTATTTTAAAAGATTTTTTTATTGCAATTATTTTATTTTTATTTTAGTGGTACATAAGCCACAGCCGTTATTAGCAAAAATTAACATGTTGTTTATGTACCACACCCGCCTCATGTGGTTCATTAGCCACACCCGCAGTTAAAGGGTTAACATTCTAAAGCATCACACTAATCCACTTCAAGAGCACCTAGAAAATTGTTGAATGTTTTATTGGTTGTTCTTGGGAATGGTTGTATCATGGTTCGAATGGCTCACCGAAAATGGTTCCCACGCTGTTGGCTATCGCCCCGGAAACAGCGCCTTCCGCGAGGGCGTCCAAACAGGCGCTAAGGGCGCAGGCACACGCGCTCGTACCTATAAGGTACTCCAGCACCATGTTCCATCCAATAATGAATGCTATTAATTCGCCTACGGTCACGTAACTGTACATGTAAGCGCTGCCAGTTGTGTGAGGCACTCGTACTCCAAACTCGGCGTAACATGCTCCTAGAAAAACATATAAAATTCATATTCTTTATTAAATACTAAAAAATTGGTCAACGGCCTTAGCCACTTAGGCCACACCGATACCCGTAAGATCACCGAAGTCAAGCTAAGTGGGCACGGTTCCGCCAAAAGATGGGTTTACCGTGTGCTGTTGGCAACAAATAAGCAGATAGCGAATCTGAATAAAATGAATAAAGCGAAAATATATGTATATGAATGGAAAAATAAGAGGTATATAAAAAGAGAGAGCAGTCGATAATGTTCGTTGGGCATAAAGGGACGGAAATGTCCCTAAAATAGGCCCCCCCGCCCTCATAAGGGAAACAGTTTATGTTATGTTATGTTAAATGAAATTGAGCATTACTACCTACTGTGTTTCTCACAAATATAAAATGGAAAGCATTAAAGTGTAATCCTTAATAATTCATACTGAAAATTTGCCACGGTACAATATGGAAAAATAAATGGAAAATTGAGATAGGCGGGTTAGTCCGTTAAAAACCCCTTGTTAAACAACGAGATTGTGATTCCATCGATTAAAAAAAAAAGCGTTGCAGCCGGAAACGAGGTCAACGTTGGAACCGGTGTAGAAAATTATTCGATGAATTTCAAAAATGTTTCATCCTACTGTCCCGCTCGACGATGAATAAAGTTTCGCTCGCTTTCAGCAACGGAGCGTGTTTCTAATTTCTGTTAAGAGGTTATACCTAGTCAGGAGGTCGAAAAAAGTGTGATTTTTCAAGTATATTTCTTTGGAAAGACGTTTGCATTTATTTTAATGAATCTTTTTACATTGAATTAAGTTGATCTTCACTCATATCTTTTTTTTTACAAAAATATTGATTTGTCGAGCTGTTGAGGCCGATCTCCAAAAGATCTGGACTGAATCACCTGAAATCAAGAAGCAATGAAGATTTAATTAATATAAGGTAAAATCTTGTCTTTAATCGAAGGTTTCTCCGATCCAATCAATATTATTCATTTTATAAACAATTTAAATCGAAATTTTTTGTCGAAAATGACTATTCTTTTTTGAGAAGCCATTTTATTCACACGTGATATTTTGCTTATTCCTTCCATTAAAGACAAGATTTTACCTTATATTAATTAAATCTTCATTACTTTTTGATTTCAGATGATCCAGTCCAGAGATATCCTGCTCGCCGCAAGATGCCTTCTTTTGGAGATGGACCTAGCAGCTCCACAAATCAATATTTTGTAAAAAAACAAATGTGAGTGTATACGTGAAGATCAACTTAATTCAAAGTAAAAAGATTCATTAAAATAAACGCAAACGTCTTTCTAAAAAAAAAAATACTTGAAAAGTCGCTTTTTTCAGCCTCCCGGCTAGGTATAACCTTAAAAAGGCAGCACGCGTCGGAAAGCCAGAGGCAACGGTATAACGAAGCTTCGGACGTCGATTAACGAAATGACATGATAAATTAGCGACAGATCCGCGTACAGCGGTTATCGACGTTTTAATCCGTTCGTTGATTCCAGCCGCAATACCCGGTTACGCTTGTGCTTGTTGATGTAACAACTGATTAAAGCTTCGCGCGTTAGGTCTTTAATTGGCATCGAACTGCCGGCTTAATTAGCGGTTCAATTTTTTCTCTCTTTAAAAGACACGATATTCTAATAAATACGAAGCTGTACCAAAAATATAAATCAAAAAAATATCTACAGTATTATAATTGAAAAATTAAACCTGCTTAAAATGTCAAGGTTATGGAAAATGTTTTACATTAATACTATTGGATATTGTACAATGAGTTGCATTGAACTTGTCGCAGTGAAGTTGGCTACAAATTCACTAACGCATTCACGCCGCGTCGGTGAGTGAATGCGTGGCCAACTTCACTGCGACAAGTTCAATGCAACTCATTGTACACGTTCATAGGGATAATGGCACATAACAATGAGGATGTATCCAGAAAAATATTCGCAATGAGGTACAAAAGAAGCATCGCTCAAACGTTCCGCTCGCTGTCCTTCCGGGAATTCAGCCTTCCGACTGCGGCCACGTTTTGGCGCTCCATTATTTACCAGGTATGCGATGGATCGGGGAGGAAACGATGGCTCAACAAAGGAACCGACACGAGGAAACCCGATAGCGGGCCGATTGCAATACGCTACGGTTTCTGTTCGCCCCCATACCCGGCTCTTCTGTGCAATCGACCAGCTATGTATCCTCTGACTAACCGAAATCACGCTGATATTTGTAATCCTGATCCTACATCTCCGTAATTAGCCATATTGCCTTAGGGATCCTTTGATCAGAGTCAGAAAATAATTAAGAGTAATGTGATACTCCCACTGTCCCATAATAATAGTAGTAGGTAAATATTTAAACGGGAATTATTGGCAAATGCAGCTGTAAGTTATGTTGTGGCGGAATAGTGCGAAGCCTTCGATCAAAATTAATGTTTCATGGCATCTGTCATTTGTTTTGACACATTTTTCAATTTTTAGGCTAATATAGGTTAATGTAATACTAATTTTAAGTTAATATAATTTAGGTTAGTATATAATAATTAATTTTAGGTTAATATGATTAGGTTAATATATTATGAATTATAACTATTTTTCTAATTTCATCGGCTGATTGAAATCAATTGTTTCATTTCAGTTGAATATCAAGCCATTGTAAAAGTAAGATGAAATAATAAGAATTTTTAAGCAAAGACCGAGTTGCGATTGTCCAGTTCTTAGGGCCAGCCCTGGGCCTAGGGTGACTAGGCGGCCACCTAGGGTTCCCCAAGGTCTAGGGATTTTGCGTCTAAGAATGCAAGAAGAGTAATGTTTACTTGAATATTAATCTAAATTAGTTATACAAGCTTTAATGTTGATTTTATAAATTTTATTTAAGGAGCCGTTTTTCGGAGCTGGCCTCGGACCCTCGAAATCTCAGGGCCTGCCCTATCTACCTACAACTTTAAAATGCAGTAACGAAATTATTGAAAAATCCAGAAATCTGAACACATAAAATAAAAATTAGAAGTAATATTTTTAATTTATTGTTTAATGTAATCTAGTTTTTTGATAATAAATGTTGCGTTCCATATTTATTCTCTTTTGCTACTATTATTATGGAACAGAGGAAGTACCATTTTACTACTATCTTAATGTTATTTTTCTATTATTTAATTTGATTAAAGTAGAAAATCAGAGAGTTCTACTGCTAAATGGACACCTAACCTATCAATTTTGACTCTCATTAAAGGGGTCTCTAGATTATCCTCTACGCCAGTTCATTAATATCAACTAATTTCACGGTTCCACATGGGTGTACGGTTCCAACCCCAGCGAGAACATTATTCAAACGATTAATCACAGTATCGTATTCGCGCGATAATTCTCCCGCGACAAGCACAGCATGGCATCCGTTGAAGTCAGATTCTCTCTCCAGATTCTATCATTTCCCCGGGAGTTCTAAACGTCAATATCAGCAGGTCACGCGGCTGAACCATGATTACGGTGCACGTTTGCCCATACGTCTTTCTTTCCTGACACGTATACGAACGGATGCGTCTCGGTCGGTCGTTCTCCTCGAGGGCAAGCAGAAAATAACGTCGGATTAGATTTACGGGGAGATCGTATGCCAACAGCGTCAGACGTGTTTCCAGCTGTGCTTCTGGGTCGTCTTGAGAAACACGCGATCCTTCGTATACCCACAATATACCTTATACGGTTGTTATCCTTGCGGAATAATTACGTGTTGTTGATTTAATAGCGAGCTGAGTATTATTGGTACAATTCTGCATTTGTAGTATTTCTTCGGTAGAATAGCAAGCCCTGAGGGCATTGGAGTAAATAGGGCTTTTGAATAGGGTGGGACTAGTCCCTTAGGTTTATTAACAGTGTCAAGTGTGGGAATTTTAGAGGGCCAGGTCCACTTCAATTTTTTATTAGAATTTTGGAATTCTAGGATTTTAGAATTTTAGAACTTTAGGGGGCCAAGTTCACTTGAATTTTTCATTATAATTTTAGAATTTTAGGATTGTAGAACCATAGATCCTTAGATTCTTAGAACCTTAGAACCATAGATCCTTAGAACCTTATTTCCTTAGAACCTTATATCCTTTAGAACCTTAGATCCTTAGAACCTTAGATCCTTAGAACCTTAGATCCTTAGAACCTTAGATCCTTAAAACCTTATTTCCTTAGATCCTTATTTCCTTAGATCCTTAGATCCTTAGATCCTTAGAACCTTAAATCCTTAGAACCTCTAGGATTCCTGAAGCTTAGGATCCAGTCTACATTTTTTGAGAGGCTCCATGCTCACCCTATCTTTTATCTAGTTGCTCCCCTGCTCAAGAATGTTTGATTTTCACGGTGCAGGAATAAAATGCATTCGGTGAGCGCGTACGTGCTTAAAGTTACCGCTGCTAGAGGAGAAATTGGATCTCCCGATGCTTCGCAACCGTGAACCATCCCTGACAGCCTGTCCAACGCTTCCGCCATACAAACATCGTAAATCTAATCCGACACTGTTACCCACGTTCCAGGGTAAATACGCTTTTCGAAATCTTGTTGCTTCCAACAACGGAGACCAGCTTTCTTCGACTTTCTTTGACCTCCTTCCGTACTTACTCTATTATAAAATAGATGAAACATTTTCGAATATTTTTCAGGTTTTATGGAGATCTTAATTAGCTGTACACTCACCGGAAAAAATGGAAGCAATCGCCGCTATAATGAAGGAGAAGACGACGCCTGGCCCGGCGACGCTGCGCGCCACCATCCCTGCGACTAGGTACATCCCTGTCCCGACGCAGGAGCCAACCCCCAAGGACGTCAGGTCCAGAGTCGTCAGGCACTTCTGTGGAACAGAAACGAGGACACCACGTCAGAACTTTTCATTCTCAATTTATTGAACTACCTTCACGCTTTGCTATCTTGCCCTCCCTCCCCCCCCCAGCTTCATTCAATTGTCTATTATACAGAACAAAGGAACTGTGGAGAGGACACGCATGCCATCGACACTTGATAATTCCCCGTTTCTTAAAGTCCCATGAGTATAGTACTCGACTATATTTTTCGGTAAATGTCTACAATTAGGGCTCCAACGAGAAATCAATTGAAAACTGGTAAATTCTATGTATTCCCCTCCTCCCCCCCCCCCCCCCCCCCCCCCCCCCCAATCCAAAACTGTTGACAAAATTTTAGGGTCGCTTGTATTTACTAAGATATTGTGGTAAATATTGACATAAAATCATTATTTTCAAAAGTTAATGACTGTGGGGTAGACAATACTTTTAAAGCGCGTCACTAACCTACATAGGTTAGGTTAGGTTCTCAGAAAAAATATAACTTACCTCACGGCAAAAACTTGACCAGTAACCAATAGTCTCCTTGCTCAGTTCTAATTCCTGTTCATAGAATGCACAGCACGGAGGACGTACCATGAGAAAATATCCAATAAAACGGGCAATTGTCGTGATATCAAGATTAGAATTGGTTAGTTACGCACCACTTTTAACGCTTCGTTTAAATTCACACTTTGAAGTTATTCTTTTCAAGGAGACTATTGTTGACTGGTCAAGTTTTTGCCGTGAGGTAAGCTATATCTTTTCTGATAACCTAACCTAACCTAACCTAACCTATGTACCTTAAAAAATACAGCGACCCCCAAATTTTATCAACAGTTTTGGATTCGAGGGGCAAAAATATATAGAATTAACCTCTTTTCAATTGATTTCTTGTTGAGGCTCTAATTGTAGCCATTTACCTATTTTTATAATACAGTGGTGCCTCGACCTTAATTCGCTCCTGATGTTTGGACTTATACCGAATAGGACGTATACCAAACTAACCTTTCCCATATTTTGTTATATGATATCCTTGTATGATCAGTCAGTTAATAATACATCAACTCCGAATATAATTAATTATTAATTTCATTTTTCCTCTCAGATTATTTAAAAATAATGCAAAATTCACACAAAAACTTTTTTTTGAATCATTTTTAAATAATTATTCCAAAAGAAAAATTAAATTAATAATCAATTATATTCGACATAATATGTCGTATACCGAGCAAAAGTCACGTCCAAACAGGACGTATTCCAAAGTAGACGTATACCGAGGTACCACCGTGTTTTATAAGTTTCAAAGCTGATACCAAGTAATACGTTACAAATAAATTTCAACGTACTTCACTTCATCGATCAATTTCGCGATCAATCAAAAAAGGAAAGAAGCATCGTTCAAGCGTCAGAAGTTACCGAAGAGTTTTTGTTGGATCGTTGCGGTTTTTCCGCGATTTCCCGATACAAGAACAGCTCCCGCGAAAGTTTTCTGAAACAGGCGTCGTGCATCGACGCGTGTTTCAACCGCGATCCCCCAAGCGTGGTTGCTCGTTTATTGGGAAAGTTCCAGCGATGCTCCGGCTTCCCCAATGGCGAACCGTCCATTGTTTCTTCGACGGATAGAAGTTTGTTTGAAATACCGTGGAAAATATCGGTTTCTTCGGATTGAAACGGGCAATGCTTCCAAGCTTTGTTCGTTAGGCGAGAATTGAAACGCGCGATAGATTGATTTCTATCGATGAACGATTACAGACCAATTTTTCACTTCAATCGCACAATTTCTATTTTTTCAAATACCGAAGTATTGCCGATTGAGTTAGAAACTTCCTCGCACGAATTTTCAAGCTCGAGTAGGTCAGGCGAAAACCAAGCAATCTGAACATTGTACTATGTAGAGATGACAAATTAACGAGCGGGATGGCGCAGGGGCAAAGGGAGCATTTCGCACGCACGCCCTGTCCCCACGTTTGATCCTCGCATAATCCACTCCATTCGACTTTAGTGGCACGCTCTTAAGGGGGTAGACACGGGTAATAGTAGTGCGTTGACATTACCGGCAAAAATGGGCCTAAACAGGCATTTACGGGAATCGGTTATTCGTCCTTATATGAGAAGATTTGGGATTGGCTGAGGGCTTATTCGAAAGAGGAAGTAGAGAAAAAATTCGATAAAATGCAGTCCTGAAAATAAGCCCTCACCCAGCCCCAAATATTCTCATATAAGGACGAATAACCGATTCCCGTAAACCCCTGTTTAGGCACATTTTTGCCGGTAATGTCAACGCGCTACTATTACCCGTGTCTACCCCCTTAAGGCTGGTTCAGACACGGCTAGTAATTTAGTCGAGTGGGGAGTAGCTACTTACTACTAAACCGTTTAGCGCATAGAAAAGTGTCCGGACTAGTATAGTTGAGCTTTGAAAATCGAGAGTACAAGATATATCACTTCCGGACAGGTCTGTTTGGAAGCCTAGTTAGTGGTGGGGCAAGCCTAGTTAGTGGTGGGGGAAGCCTAGTTAGTGGTGGGGCAAGCCTAGTTAGTGGTGGGGCAAGCCTAGTTAGTGGTAGGGCAAGCCTAGTTAGTGGTGGGGCAAGCCTAGTTAGTGGTGGGGGAAGCCTACTCGACCAGAAAAATCCAATGAAACGGATTTACTCGACTAAATCGTTTTACTAAACTACTCGACTAAACTGTAGTGTCCACTAAAATACTCGCCACTCGACTAAACACTAGCCGTGTCTGAACCAGCCTTTACATAGGTTTAGCAATTCCGTATTTCCGAGGGAGACGGAAGTCTATAATACGAGCCCACGCCCACGGTTTAAAATTCACCGCAACGCAGACTTCGTATTATCTCACTTTGTCCCGAAGCGTCTTTGTCAGGCGACGCGATTAGTATGTATGACCGCATCGACCAATAGCGCGCGACGATCTAGGATGCGTGTGCGTGAGGTGACTTACCGACGACGATCAATCGTACCCGCATTCCTTCCGCTCATCATCTTCTCATCTCTGCATAGTACTGTGCATAGTACTGGACGTTAGGGAGGGCCCCGGGACCTCTGTCGAACACGCCGCGACCCCCCCCCCCCCCGGCCCCTGGCGCGTTTGCGCCCCATCTCGGGGGAGGGTCCAAACCCAATCTAACCTAACCTAATCTTACCATGATATCTCGAAAACGGTAAGACATCCAGCTCTGAAACCAATTTTAATCGGTTTCTTGTAGTCAATTTAGGTTATATGCCGAACCTGAGTTCTCAATTTTGGTGAAGCCATTCGGAAACACAGCCGCGGAAGGAATGCGGGTCCTATTGGTCGTAGTCGGTAAGTCACGCTTCACGCACATGCATTCTAGATTATTGCGCGCTATTGGCCGATGCGGTCACATACTGATCGCGTCGCCTGACAAAAAAGGAAAATGAGACTCCGTGCGATAATACGACGTCAGCGTTGCGATGAACTTCAAACGCGAGGATCAAACGTGGGGACAGGGTGGAGCATGCCAAGTGCTCCTTTTGCCCCTGTGCCGTCCCGTTAATATTCTTTCCATCTCTGCACAGTAGTTTGTGGATATTAGATACATCATAGCGTTTAAGTTGGCAGAATACCTCTTTTTGTTTTTTTTCCTATGTTGGCACGCTTGCTAAGGATGTATATGGGCACCTTCAGTGATATTCTGAAGCGAATTAGACACGTATAATTTTCTATGCTCTTCAATCCCACTAAGCATCCAACTATATAATAAAATTTCCTTTCTATCACGCATAACGCATTTGTTATTGACGAATTACAACAGCAGGAGTCGTAAGGGTAAGGGGTTGAAAAATCCTGTTAAAAATAGACCAGGATCGATAGCGAGCGCAGCTGGATACCGTGTATTTACACACAGGAGCCTTCCTTTTCCTCGAGATCCAGATCCAAGCCGCGAACAGCGGGATCTTAATGTCAGACGGTAGTTCAAAAGTACAGCCGGATGAAATTGGACGACTTTCGAATCACGGGGGTGGTTTAAATTTGCCGTATCACTATCCCGGAAGAAAATCTATTTTCACTTTGTCTATTATTAAAGTGTTATCCCGTGCGAATTGGGGAAGAAATATAAATCTGTCTGTCTACGCAGGATGTTGTTTCATCAATGAAAGAAAAATTTTGTAGAATATTTATAACCTAATTCTCTGCTAGAAAAATTATGTATTCACACTAGTGATGGGCGATACAGTATCGATATTTGGAATATCGATATTTTTCACTTCAAATATCGATATTTTGTATCGATACTTAATATATGAATATCGAAATTTCGATACAATGTATATACAGTAAGGAGAATATACAATAAGTTTCCCTTGCATGTTTATTTATATAGAATGTATGCAATATTGATCTCAATGTATAGTAATGCATAAGTTAATAAATATTTATGTAAACGTAAATTAGATATAAGCTGTTAACAGAAGATCTGTATATATGTAGATTCTAAATAATTCTCGTAATGGATGCACGTCCGAAAAAATTAAAATATTAAATATAATAATATATTTATCATATATAAAACAAATATTTAAATAAATAATCTATTTTTTACTAAACTTCGCTTCTAATTTACTTGTACAATTTGATATCGATAATATCGATACTTTATTCCCAATTGATGTATATCGATACTTTGATTATCGATACATATCGATACCAAATATCGATGCAATTCAGAAATATGCCCATCACTAATTCACACTGCCAAGACAACCAAATAATGCCATCGACGTTCGGTAATCCCCCATTGTTTAGAAATAGAATTAGGCTCCCTCTAGAGGCCCAAATGCGAGGAATGATCGAGCGTTTACGGAATCACCGACGAGATACTAACCTAACCTAACAGTATCTCGTCGGTGACGGAATACAAAATTTCTCCGGTAATTCCAAAATCTGAACGCCAACGCTATTATTATGGTAATATACAACGATGATGACGAGTTTCGTGAGATCAAAGGGGATTGAAGGGCTGTCGCCGAGGAAAGTTCCGGATCCAAACTGCTGAGGGAAGATACTTGCCTGTAATTTCTGCTTCGGATCGGTCGGATGCAGTGGTTCGGGTCCACCTTTCCTCTGCTCACCCTGAAGACTCTCCACATTCTTCGTCCGTATAAACTTCCCGAAGAGCTCCAGGCCCTTCTCCCGATCCATCGGAAGTTCGAACTTCATTTTTTCTGCAATCAAAGGAAATCGACGCTTTAGGAAATCTTATTAACCCTTTCGCTGCCACGGTGCTCCCATGGAACCGGCGCTTATTTTTTTATTTGGGCAATGGTGGTCACCGGTGACCACCATGAATTTATTTTTTAAATCATTCATTTTGAGACAAATGCTCTCGAATAAAAATTAATGAATTATGCAAATATGTGTACATAACCTTATAAATTAAAAAGTGCGCTACTCAATAATAACTTCCTTTTTAGCCAAAAACAAAGTAATGTTCTTAATAATATTCTCACAAATTATTTTATGAATCAGTACAGTTCATGTTTATTAAAAATCATATTTTTCGATGGAATGTAGGATCCTATTTCAATTTAAGAAAAAAAATTGTTATTCTACATGTTTCTCTGCTTTTTGACCCTTACGCCGTAACATTACCCGTTCAAACATATTTTCTATCTTCCACAATCATTTCTGAAAAGGCGTTTCGTCTCAGGATCGTTTGTCAGACTCGTCCGTGGGGCTGATAACAGACGATCCCTCCCCCAGACACCTATCATCATACTACAGGGTGATCCTCTCGCTAGGGGACACAAAGGAACTGGCGACAATGACTCCCTTGACCGCACCATGAAGACACGCAGAGTCGTCTCGGCCCGGGTAGGTCCCCGCTGGCACGTGACAATACGGACCTCTTTATGATGCGGTCAAGGGGTCCATTGTCGCCAGTGTTCCATTACATTACATTACATTACAATTAGACTTTACTTGGGAATAACCCAAGATGGCGTTCAGTAAGGGGGGGTTCCCCCCTATATTGCCCAACGAAAAATGGCGGCCGTCGCCAGTGTTCCTTTGTGTCCCCTAGAGAGAATCACCCTATATATTCGAACTGCATGCCGGGCGACCGCTTGCGAGAACACTGTCACCGATCCATCTCGCCGCCACCTAGCAGTCCCCGGCCCGAACTAAAGGCGTCCGGGGAGACGAAACCCTTTCTCCCCCTCCACTAACGCCTACATGTTGGAAAGATAAACTGCGTCACGGGGCCAGGGGGGACCACCGCTATGAAAAATGTGCTATTGGCAAGAATGTTCCCTTATTTTAATATATCTCCCAGTTCTTTGCCATTATAAAATTTTTGATATAAAATCTGTATTGGGGCCCACTGGTGCAAGTTCAAAAATTCGCGTGGCAGCGAAAGGGTTAATTAAATTTTTCATTTTAATTGCTACTAGAGGGCGTTTTCCCTCGTACAGCAAACATTTACTAATTCCCTGTTCTCCAACGCCTCCGTTTCTTAAAACCGCCTGCCTCCAAAGCCCTGCATTACCGACCCGTCAAATCGAAGAGGTCACTTGCCGTGTCTACCCCCTTAATGCGGGGAATTACCGAACGGTTACGATGAAAATTCAAGTGTTAGATAAAAAGGAGTTTCCGACAAGGGTTCAATGGTGTCCCGTGTGATTTCTCAGCCGGGTAGAAAGTCGTCGAGGCGAATTATCGATTTATTATTCAAGGGGGTGGCCTGCTACGAGCACCCCGTTCTTCATGTAGAAAGGAATCGAAAGAAATGGAGAAGGATTGTCAGGAAGGAATGGAGTTCGGAAGAGGGTAGGATTATGCAAGGATGTAAGCAGCGAGGATAATCGTTCGCGAGGGAAACGATCCTCTCCGAAAACAGCCACTCACTGTTACCCTGGAATAAATTATTCAAGGTGGAAGAGTAGCTCTGACGCGTATAAAAACGCTCGTTTGCGCTTCGTTCTGCTAATGGAATTCCTGAATATCGTCTGACAGCTTGAAGAAACATTCTACTATAGCCACTTACATCAAACAATTTCAACTTTTAAGTATTCCTTTAAATGTACTCATCTTCTATTGCAGTATAGAAGTTCAATAACAAATTCTACATAAAGGTTTCATCGATATTTTCAATACAAAATGGCTGATTGTCAATTGTACCAAACGATCAATAAGTGGATTCATTATTTGTTCCAATGAAGAATCAGGCATTTTGTGTCAAAAATATTGATGAATCCTTTATGTAGTTATATTCTTTGAACTTTAAGCTTCAAATTGATGTACCATAAGTATAATTTTGTAATACTTTTCTGTCATGAAATTGCTTCCTTACTTTTCATTAAATTCTTCAGAAACAAACACAGATTAACAGTTAACCATGGCAACGGACGAATAAATCAAGAAAAGAAATTGCTTTAGGTTTCTAGAGGGAAGAAAACAACGAGGAATAACATCCTGGTGAGACGTTTCGCTTCGTCGAGGAGGATAGTCTGCCAAAAACCTTGGAAAACTGGAGAATTTAACTAGAAGGCAACGTTCCTTTCCCTGGACACTGCACCAGGCGATTATCCTTTCTTCCAGGAGCTTCACAATTATCTGAACAACGAAAAGAAATTCAACATCCAACCGAGTGTCTCGTTTCCTGTGAACATTCTTAATGGACTAAAGGAAAAGTGAAGAAAATAGAAGAATTTCTCTTTTCAAGAGTTTCACTTTGACTGCCACAGTAGAAATACACCAGTTTAATCAGACACACTAAAAAATGTTAATTCTCAAATTTTTGAAAAGGAGGAACTTTCTACTGTAGCCACTTACATCTAACAATTTCAACTTTTAAGTCTTCCATTAAATCTACTCATTTTCCATTAATTCATCCTTATCCCTCAGCTCAACGAACTGGCGCGACTGGGGGCGATAGGCTCCCAGCCATACCATGAGTACCCTATCGGCGTCTCAACCCACGCGTTGATGGGCCTGGCTGAAGAATGGTTGAACCAGGAATTTACCAGACTCTGGCATAACGCCGACGGCATGGGACACACGAGGGCCTTATTTGAGGGACCATCACAGAAGCTGGGTGACACCATAACTCACCTGGACAGGGCGCAGCTGCGCATGCTCGTTGGCCTAGTAACAGGACACTGGTACACGAGAAAACACCTAGCACGCATGGGACTCACAGAGGAGTCGACATGCCCGAGGTGTGAGGAGGAGGATGAGACACCCCTCCACGTAAGTACTTCTAAGATGCGGGGAACTAAGGGCCCTATAGAGGATCAATCCTGGGGACCTCGGTACCCTCATCATTAAGCGTTTCGGCTGGCCTGGTGGCGGCGCTTCTAAATTTCGCAATAGAAGCCCAGCTGCCAAGGCACAGCCAGTAAAGAAGCTGCCTAGCGGCCCGGGTACAATGGTCCCCAAGGACTGAGTGCCCGGTTAGCCTGAACCTAATAATAATAATAATATCCCTCAGCTCATCCTTAATAAAATTAGACAAACTAGTAATTAATCTGATAATCAATCAGTAGAATAATATTGAAATTTATTACAATTCTAACTCACCATTAATTTGTCTAAACTTCTTAATTACAGAAAATTTAAGAGCCTGATAGTCCTTCACTGATAACCACCCACAGTTTAAGCAAACTTCTGGTAGCAGATTCTTATTCAGGTTCGTGTTCGTTATCAAGAAAAGCGAGAACCGTGGAAAAATGCAATGTTGCATATTGACGAGGCATTTTTGTTGGCTCGTTATCGTATAACCAGAAGAATCACGTTCAACCACCGTCAGCACGAAATAGAGGGTAGCTGTGGGCGTTGAAAGCACTGATGATTATTTCTTGCATGCTCGTATGCATACTTAAAACGTCACCTGTAAAATTGAGAAAGTTTCGCCTCCGTTTAATTATAATTTTCATTTTGATTGCATGCTCGCGTGGAGCAGCTTGCGTAATTACATAGATATAGCATAAAAGGGGGTTGTAATTTTCAGACTACCCTGTTAGAAATTTTCCTTACACCTTATCCTCTTTTTCAAGAATTTTTATCGTTATTTAAGATAAAATAAAATAAATAATAAAGGAACTAGTTTTTAGTAATTCTACCTGGGTTTAGGGAGGGCAAAATGTAGCAAGAAATTTTTGAAAATATTTCCAGGGAGTTCAGGGCTGTTGGTGGCACGTTTAAAAGGCTCCGCGTAGAAAGTATTCCTCCAGAGTACCTTTTTAATGCAATGCAAATTTTATTCCCCGCTCAACCCCGTCTTCAATTTTTTCATCCCTGTAAACGTAGACGAGAATCTCACCCTTCCCCTCTGCTGGATGAAAAACCACGAGGTGAAACTTTCCTAAGGGTTAACTCGATGCTCCAAGAAGATTCCAGTCTCAGCTACCGTGAAATCCGTTTAAAACATGCTCGATACCGGGACGGAACCGGAAACGTTCGACTACCCCTGGGTGGTGAAAGAATTCAATAAACGAAACGTGAAAATTGAGGTGCATCGATTTCAACTGACAGAGAGATTCACAGTCTGATGAAATTTCATGACAGAAAAGCATCGCGAATTACCGCTTAGGGTACATCAATTTGTAGGTTAAAGTCTAAGGAAGATAACTACGTAAAGGATTCTTAAAAGGAACAGTAAACTTTCAACAAAAATTCAATGTGGATTAAATTCTTAAACATACGGTCCATCTTGGAGGAGGAAAGTTTTCCTGAAAGCAAAGATACGTTTCCTTCAGGAAAAATAAACTTGATCGAGGGGTGTCCTGTAACACTTACCCTCGTTTGCTTGCTACAAAGGGCGAAGTAACAAGACGCAACGTAACGCCCTTCAGTTGAACGTTGATAAGGGATTCGTGCAGAGCAAGAAAATTTATGAAGCGAGGTACATTTGTTTATTTATGGAAACGGTGTACCGTAGAACCGCGAACAGCGATAAACCGACAGAGTGGAAAGCACTCAATTTCCTTCTGTACAAGGGAGACGATCCAGCGCGGAGAAAACTTGAAATTAGTCAAATAAAATTTCTCTCTTTCCACGGAGAAACAGAGACCCTTGAAAATTGAGAAAAAGTTTCAATGCAGGGTAAGAGAATGTAAATATAAAAATTCTGATACACCACTGGACGTTGATTGATGAAAAAACTCCAGGATTCTATATTAATTTCTAACGAGACTCGGTATATATTTTTCCAACAGGAACAGGTGTCCCTTGAAGGAAGCCTTCCAGGAAACTTCTGGGAAATTGCTTCTGTTCCTTCTACTTTTTTTTAATTCATCATCAAGGAAGCCTGTTACCGACATATCATAGACTAGGGATGTGCAGGTACCCGATATTACGGGCTCGGGTGGGCTCGGAAAAAATCGGGCGAACTCGGGTGTCCGATACACGCGTACAGTCGGGCCAGGTCGGATAAAGTCGGGCAGATTCGGACGAGCCGCCGCGAGCCGCGGTCCGCGGACCGTGAGCTCGTCCGGATCTGCCCGACTTTATCCGACCCAATCCGACCTGACCCGAAACAGTCGAGCAACCCGACTGCACGCGTGTATCGGACACTCGCCCGAGCCCGCCCGATGTTTTCCGAACCGATCCGACTAGTCGGGCCGCCGGGGCCGCACATGTCAACGGCCTTAGCCACTTAGGCCATACCGGTACCCGTAAGATCACCGAAGTCAAGCTAAGTGGGCACGGTCTCGCCAAAAGATGGGTTACCGTGTGCTGTTGGCAAAAACGACACACACACACACATAAGGACTAAAAAGTATGGAGTATGGAAGAGTAAAAAAATTATGGAATGACAAAAACTCATAGAATTAAAAGTACGGAAAAATGTAAGACAAAGCAAAATTCCAAAAATGCGCGAGATTTGGGGTTGGCAGTGCTGCCAATTCATCCCCAATGCGCGTGGACGATAGTGTTCATTGGGCAACATGGGGACAGATAAGTCCCTAAAAAGTCCCTCGCAGGGGCGAAATTAAGTCACTCACTCACTCGGGCCGCACGTCACTAATAGACATAAAATTCTTCTTTTCTTTGATTTTCGATGAAATTACTATTCAATTCCTGGATGAAAATTTTCCGTCTCCTTTGTCCGACGATAAAATGTAGGTCGAAGTATTCCTTGCAGCAGTAAAACACCTTCCACTTCCTTTGTACAGTTTTTTTTTCAATTATTTATTCATTTCTTCCCTTCAACTTGATCCGAAGCGATTCCCTAGCGGAACAATACAGGGAAATCAATTGGCTGACGATACCAGACGACGCGAAAACAGGTTAGATAAAATAATACAGGGCTGGTGTCGAAAAAAGAGGAAAATTGTTCGGGGACAATTAACGAAACGACACGAGAAGAGAAGATAGAAATTTCCTGTGAAGAGAACTCGGTCCACTCAGCCAATCGCAGCCGTTCCTTTCGAATGCAGTTTCTCGATTGCCCGGACAAAGGATCTCTCGGCTTGCCGCGCGGCATTTGATCTTCCTCTGGGCGGCCATAACCGGGAACAATGCGGATCTACCTCGAGACTCCTATTTCCATTTCTTCTCCGCTCGAGTGACTCGTTTCCGCTGCGCCGAGTAAATTATCATTCCTTTCTGAGGCAAACTTTTTCATACGTCTGACCTCTGCCTTATGGATCCCACTGTAATGTCTGACGGGTGAGGTTATGGCAGCTATGGTCTCAGATAACAGTAACGATAACTGTACATCTTTTATAGTAAAATTATGTCCCTTTTATTGATCCTGGAAAGACGGGGGGGGGGGGGGGGGGGGGGGGGGGTCAATCCCACCGGTTGGAAGATATATTATTTGTACCTTCGAGATTAATATTGAAAAATTAATTTTTTATAAGGCTTGGTATTTTCAGGGTTAATTTCAGAGAATATATTTTACGGCTGTTCGAATGGTTAAGCTGATGAACGATAGCAATTTCAATTCTGACCCGATACCTTTAACCTAGCGACTGCTATCGGTTATCCATTACGAGCTTAAACGAGGTCACTGCTGCAAGAAACGATATTGCACCGGTATGGATTTATTTACAGCACGTCCAACCTGTTTTTTCTCATTCAAGTCTCGTGGTTGTTTGTTCCATGAATAGATGAGCGAAAAACTACGATCGTGATTTCTCTCCTCTTTTCTATCTTGAAACGATAATAGATCCTGCGATACATTATGCAGATACTTTCTTCGGACCATAAACTTTAACCTGATGCATCATAAGTGTTATTTTGTGATACTTTTCTGTCATGAAATTGTGTCAGACTTTCAGTCCCTTTCATATGGAATGATGGATTGTTTGATAAAAACTTGTGAGAAAGTGAAATAAGGATGGATACTCTAAATGGCCCTCTGGCGGTGAATTCATGAAGTAGCGCTATAGTAATCCACCTTGGATCCCACTGATCCTAAGAGGTTCATTTTTAAGGTTTCCCTTACATCCTGAAGCATATCTTTGTAGTTGCAGATGATAAAGAATTCAATTTTCCTTCAGGACACTCTAATAATCCACTGGTGGCAAAAACAGGAGAAAATTTATCTGAGGGATAAACAAGGAGCCTGGAAATTTCTTATGCATGCTGAAGAATGATCTGAAAATTGGAAAATTTTTAGAAGAAAGTTTGTCACCTTTGGAAGTAGGAAATTTATTTCTTAACACTTTGATAGCTGCACACATAACTCTACAATTATTGATAAAGAATTATATTTGAAAGCTTAATTTAGTCTACTTTATGAAATTATTAAATTTCAAATTGCAATTTGCATCTAATAGAGTAGAAGTTGAATATTAAAATCAGGAATACCTGACAGCAGGCATTAAAATGTTGAAACGAAGGAAACTGAAGTATCCTGCATACATTGCAAAGGATAAATGATCCATACTATAGTGAAGTGAAATGATTGTTGATAATTCCAATTTAAGAAAGTAGGTCTGGGGAAGAAGAACGAGCAGTCCGATCGAATTCAATTAAACCGGATAAAGGAAACTGGCCTACGGTTCGTCTTTGTGTCAGGAACAGCTGAAAACGAAGGCACCAACGTGCCCGTGAATTTATTCCCTGACAAAGATGCCTTGCACTGTTCCTTGGCTCTCGGCCAAACTTTTCACTCGACCTTCGCCTCTCGCGAACAGCTGAACCCAGACTGGTGGTTGAATAAGGAAAAGAATTTTGAAATATTTTTACCACCACAGAGATTAGATAGAAATCATCTCTGTTTGACATCATAGAAAGGCATACGATACTTTGATAACAGAGTGCAGGTAAATATTTTTCATACCAAAGACCAGAAAATCTAATTTCGATTGGATGTCCCTCTTTTGACCTGGTTTCCAAGCACCTGGATCCGACCAGGATATAAGTTCACCTTACAACCCCAAGAATTCAATATGTATGATTCTTTGTACAAAAGTAACTTGAGATTGTGCAGGTAAAATATTCAATACCCTCCTTGACTCAGAATCTATTGATAAATCTCCAGATACCAGTGGTGATTGATAAGATTTTGATCTTGAAGAATTTGTCTATACACTTCAACTGCCACACTAGAAAAGGCCATATTGCAATTATTCTAAATCTAAAATTGCAATTATTCTAAATCTAAAATTGTAATTATTCTAAATCTAAAATTGTAATTATTCTAAATCTAAAATTGCAATTATTAATGATGCTTTGAGAGACCATATTGCAATTATTCTAAATATAAAATTGCAATTATTAATGATGCTTTCAAAGGCCATATTGCAATTATTCTAAATCTAAAATTGCAATTATTAATAATGCTTTGAACTTGGCACCTTGTATAATTACTATAATATTACATAGTAAAATATTAATGCTGATTATACAAAATGTTAAGCCCCAGTCACTGAATACCACCATGGCAGTAAACGTGATAAACGTCGACTGAAGTATATAGAAATCATTGCACACATTTCCTGTTACATCATCGAACACGATCGACCCTGATCGAAATACAATTAGCGACACCAACGAGGCTTTACTTGCGATTAACTTTGTTGAATAGTGTAGCAGCTTCAAAAGAAACTTTCCAGAATAGCAATATTATCTGCAAATTAATTAAATTGCTATTGCACTAATGATACAAGATATCAAATTAAAATAATTAATAATATAATATTAATTATCCTGGAAGACTCGAGCTATTTTTGTACATTTTCCTTTAATTAAGACAAGCCTAATTTGCGCCCAGCTGTACATACAATACCGGTTACAAAGGGATGATTATCTCGAGGCCTCGAAAATCGTCCCGTCACAAGGTAATTAGAGAAGGGAATGCCGATAAAGGGAGACGCATCGTTGCGGTACACTTGGAGAATAGGGAGGATGTAGGTGGTAAAGTGTCGACGATATCACGACCTCTCGGCAGACGAGTCTCTCCTAAGCGATCCTCGATATCTGATAAAATGGTTCGCCTAGCGAGGAGGGCTGCTATACACAAAGCAACAGGCGTCGACCTACTACCTCCTTTCCATTCTCATTTTCAATATTTCTTATTGGACATTGTATTTTGTCTGTTGAATCTATTGCCATGACTCTGAATATAAAATACCCCACTTATATTTTATCAAAAGGCGGTAATATGGCCCTCCAGCTCTAGAACCTGATTCATAATTTAAATTGCTTTAAAGTTTCCTTAAAATATATAGGTTATGAGAGGGCAAATTACTAATGAGGTAATTGCCATAGCTCTGAATGTAAAATATCACACCTATTTTTGTATTAAAAGATAGTAATATGGCCCTACAATTCTAGAACCTGATTCATAATTTAAATTGCTTTAAAGTTTCCTTAAAATATATAGGTTATAAAAGACCAAATTATTAGTGGGGTAATTTGGGGTAATTGCCATAGCTCTGAATATAAAAAGTCATACTTATTTTTGTATTAAAAGGTTCTAATATGGCCTTCCAGTTCTAGAATCTGATTCATAATTTAAATTGCTTTAAAGTTTTCTTAAAATATATAGGTTATGATAGGGCAAATTATTAATGAGGTAATTGCCATAGCTCTGAATGTAAATATCACACCTATTTTTGTATTAAAAGATAGTAATATGGCCCTACAATTCTAGAACCTGATTCATAATTTAAATTGCTTTAAAGTTTCCTTAAAATATATAGGTTATGAGAGGGCAAATTACTAATGAGGTAATTGCCATAGCTCTGAATATAAAATATCACACTAGAATCTGATTCATAAGTGAAATTGCTTGAAAGTTTGCTTAAAATATAGATGAATTAATAAAGTTATCTGTGTTAAAAGGCCAAATTACTCTTTCTTCTACTGTGATATTAATAGTAATAGATAAGATGTCTGTCTAAGAGTTAAATTTTCATCAGAACTAGAGAAGCTAATAATACAGCAAACGTATAGAATATCGACAGGCAATGGCCGTCTAATAGCAAGAGGATTGGCGAACATAATTAGTAATGGGAAACGATAAGTGTCGTCTAGGATTCATTGTCCGGCTACATGCAAAACAGCTACGAAGTAGGTCGTGCATCGTGGAAGATAAAACTGTCCCTAACGAAAAATCGAAACGAAACGTGTGTTCGTGTTCCTGATCCATTCGTCGGATAAGGGGAAACAGACCATTAGCTTCGGAGAAGCAGCCACGGTTGTATCTGATTTCACGGAACGAATCTCCCTTTAAACGATCCCTGTTCCATGGATGAAGAATGTCTCGCGGGGGAGTTAAACGCTAAATCCTATTAATCTGGAAATAAAAAGAGGAGCATTGGAAAAGGAAAGAAATTATAAATTTCGATAAAAACGAATTTTTGGCTGTAGTTCCGAATACGACCGGTCGCCGATCAAGATGAAATTTTCAGGGGGCGGGGGGAGGGTGGAGGGGACGCCAAATATAAAGTGGTATCTTCGGCTTCTTATTAGTTTCCGAGATATTAATTAAAAACTTTAGTACAATACATAGAATTTTTCCTATACAGACGCAACTAACACTACCCTCTGCGCTGTAGCAACCGTCATCAAGTGTCGAACAGCCACTGACACCATAGCGATATCGGCTTCCGTTTCTTTAGGGTGTTCAATGTAAAATCCATTTCTTTGAGAATTTATTACTAATTCTCAAGGAATTAAACACATTTGATTTATATGTAGGTTAGGTTAGGGTAAATAATTTTCCGGCCACCGGCAACGCTACAACAGTCGCCGTATCTCCAAAGTTTTATAGATAGTCAGGTTGAAACCCCCGCTGTGTCAACGGCTGTTCGACACTTGACGATGTCAGTTGCATATACCCGCCCGGGTGAGGTGGCATATCCGTGTCCGACCTCGGATGGCCGGATTTACACTAAACTTGATGATGTCAGCTTACTGCAGCTAGACGCTGGTTCAGACATGGCTAGTAGTTTAGTCAAGTGGCGAGTAGTTTAGTGTATGGACACTACAGTAGTTTAGTAAACCGGCTTAGTCGAGTAGATCCGTTTCATTGGATTTTTCTGGTCGAGTAGGCTTCCCCCACCACTAACTAGGCTTCCCCAACCACTAACTAGGCTTATCCCAACACTAACTAGGCTTATCCCAACACTAACTAGGCTTACCCCACCACTAACTAGGCTTGCCCCACCACTAACTAGGCGTGCCCCACCACTAACTAGGCTTCCCCCACCACTAACTAGGCGTGCCCCAACACTAACTAGGCATGCCCCACCACTAACTAGGCTTGCCCCACCACTAACTACGCTTGCCCCACCACTAACTAAGCTTCCCCCACCACTAACTAGGCTTGCCCCACCACTAACTAGGCTTGCCCCACCACTAACTAGGCTTGCCTTACCACTAACTAGGCTTGCCCCACCACTAACTGGGCGTGCCCCACCACTAACTAGGCTTGCTCCACCACTAACTAGGCTTCCCCCACCACTAACTAGGCTTGCCCCACCACTAACTAGGCGTGCCCCACCACTAACTGGACTTCCGAACAGACCTGTCCGGACCCATTTCTTTAATCAAGCGATATATCTTGTACTCTCGATTTTCAAAGCTCAACTGTACTAGTCCGGACACTTTTCTATGCGCTAAACGGTTTAGTAGTAAGTAGCTACTCCCCACTCGATTAAATTAATAGCCGTGTCTGAACCAGCCTTAAGACGGTTGTGTTAGTTACATCTGTATAGGAAAAATTCTATGTATTGTACGAAAGTTTTTAATTAATATCTCGGAAACTAATAGGAAGCCGAAGATACCACTTTATATTTGGGGTCCCCTCCCCCTCAAAATTTCATCTTGATCGACGACCGGTCGTATTCGGAACTTCATCCGAATTTTTTCATAAGGTAAAGCAGAGGGGAAATTAGCGGGAATCGCGATGAAAGCAGATGTTTCGGGGGATAATCTGGTTGGAACGCGTCCAAAGTGGAACTCGGAAACCGCGTTAGAAGTAGATCGCGGGAATTTTACAAAAGCAAAGGAAAATCGGCTTACGGTCCCTCGGCAAAAGTTTAATCCCCCCGGAGAATAGCGCTGAAATTAGCCTTGGGTTCAACGTTTCGCCTCGCGAACGTTCAGGGAAAAGAACTTTTCTTGTTACGCTTTCTATAATTATATCCCTGATAAACGTTCTTTAAAT